GTGAGAACACTGGTCTCACAAAACTGGGTTTCTATCGCGAGAAACTTACGTAATCTCAAGGGAAACACTTTCCCTGCACTTGCCTGGACAGTTCTTACAAAGGAAATGGGCTTTGTAAGCAGCAATTTGTTCAGACTGAAGCTTTTTAGGTGAGAGTTCAATTTGCTCAAGTGGGAGTTCTTGAATGCAACAAGTGGGAGATCTATTTTTTGGGGGAGAATGGGCTCTCCTTATATACATTTTGTGTGGGAATATTATGTAAGTAAAAAGGTGATGTAATGACTTCAGAATGTGAGAAGAATATCCCAAAAACTGGAGCAGAATGTTCTAGCAGGTGCAAAAGAACATTCCAGAATATTCATGGTGGGATAATGACATCATTCTGAGTCACTCTGAGTCATTATGAGTCATTATGAGTCATTGGAATGTTCTAGCAAATTCCATGGAACATGACATCATTATGACATCACTATGATATCATATCTTTCAACAAAATACCTGCAGGAGTGTGGGTGAAGTCCTATGACATCATTATGACATCATACCCTGTAGGTACAATTTTATGAAGCATCTGATTAGTCAGAGCATCCTAATAGAAAAGTAAAGTAAAGAAACACTAGAGAAAACAACTCAGAAATAATGGAACAAGTAATAGTACACAATATGCAGGCTTTTTAGATAGGTTTTTGTTAGGCTTTGAACTTTTCTCTATGGGTTCCTCTAGCCAAAGTGAATAAGCCAAAGGAAAGGCAATACCTTAACCTTCAATTTGCTTCTCATATCAACTAGGTCATTATGTGATTCCCATCTCACATATGACTTTTCTTCAAAACATGGTGGATTCATGAATCACTGAGGGAAAACTGAAACTATTGGACCAAGGTTTGATACCAAGGTATGGGTTGACTAGTCTGAGGACTAAGCTAACAGACTTTGTCTTTTAGGGGGATACCTAGTAGTCATGTCCATGCATGATTCCCAAATCATGCAGGACACCATCGCGAAGGAAACCAGGAATAACCTTCATTTGGACTTCTTCCAAACCCTTCGCTTCACAGGCTGTCTGAAGGACTTTGTCACCCCAGCAAGTCTTAACATGCTTTTGCATGTTGCTCGTTGAGCGGGGCATCCTTTTTATCAAGGAACCAGTGGATCCGTACTTTGCATCCCCTGGCCATACATTTGAACGCATGTGCACGACAACCGTCAACAGTCTCGATAATGGGTGTGGGATCAAAAAAGCGTAGATAGGTGAGTTCCATTCCTTCATCAACCGTTCTGCAGTAGCTAACATTAGCTGGTATTAGAACTCAAGCTTGGCCTCTTACTGAGTTTGTCTTCAGCACTCTCTTCATCATGTTCATCTTCAGCATTCTCTCCATCGTGATCAACATCTGTGATGGTGCCTTTGTTCCCATCATTCTCGCTATCACTGACAAGAATAGCTTCTTCTTCAGATGTCTCTTCTCCTTCCGAGAGAACCACGCCTCAATGGACTTTAGGTGGGGCTTGCTTAATTCTTTTGCCGTTAGTGAGGGGCTGAATGGGTGCTTTAGAATGTGCTTCCTCGACATCATTACTCCGTTCTGGGGCCGACTTGGTTTTTTTTTGGCTGCGCATGTGTTGTGACACTGCTATCAGCATTCTTCCTTTTGTTGGATGACATTTTCAATGAAGCTTCGAGTTTTTCACCTAATGCTGCCTTTGCTTTGTCCATAAGTTTTGTGATATGTTTCGCAGCTATTTTGAGAAAGGTTGGATGCATGGTTGTAGTTAGAGTAGTAGCATGTCAGGCTGTCACTTTTTGGTTGATTTTTAGTTTAATTTAAAGTTTGTGTTTGATCGATATAGCATTAGAGTTCCGAAATGAGTGATTGGGCTTACAAACCCACTATAGGGGTAGGGGTATGGGTATGGGTATCCAAAGGTCATACCCCCACCCCTACCCACGAGGTACCCTTACCCATGACCCGCATGGGTGGCCAGTACCCCTGTCATTGCCTATTGCTTTATCATCAGCAACTTTAATTATGCAAGTGAAATATTTGTTGGCCTTGAATGCAACATTTGTGATGTCCCTAAAAGGGACTCGGGGTTCTGGGCGCGTAGTTGCCATTACCCATTAGATACTCTTGTGTACTGGCGTGTATTGTGTCAGAAATTTCCTAAAGTGGTTGCAATGAGGTATTCTTGCAACAAATTTGCCAGGAATCTTGCTATTTTTCAATGTATTGCAATAATATGGCAACCACATTGCAACGTGCCATACCATTACTGTACCATTGCAAGACCATTGCAATCTGTTGCAATGCGCATTTCTATGGTGATTTCAAGGATGACTCTATTATTTAAACCCATTTCACAGGCCATTTTGCCTTTAAACCTTGAAATGCCTTACAAGGCATTGAAATCCAAATTAGGAATTTCCGACAATTGGCCATGGTGCCACACGTGACATAGCGTGACGAAATTGTGCATTTCTATTGTGTTTTCGACATCTCAACTTCCGCTGCTGCCACTGCAACAAGCTCGCAACAAAATAAAATAAATTCTTGTTGGGTCCAATGCACAGAGACCTAAGATATACACTAACGTAGATCCAATACGAAAAATGTGTTGTTGTTGTGATGCTATTCAGCAATAAGTGAAAATTGTGCATTTCCCGTCGAATGATAGTATCATGACCTTTCGACTGCTTCTGCGATGACCAGGAGGCCCGAACGTCTGAGCAGCGAGTAGAGATGCGTCCCAGAATGCTCAGTTGGTACTTCCAACGATTTTGGTCCATCAGGAAAACCCTCCGATGCAAACCTAGACTAAAGTATGTCTAATTTTGAAAAAAAAATTAGACAAGTTATACAAATTAGGGCTAGATTCAATAATCCGTTCAAAATGATATAGGCTCGCTGCTCAGGGCTCGTGGTTGTTACATGCATGTGCAAAGCCTGTCAAAAGTTGAAATTTCAGTAGTAGTGCGGTTGTTGCGTCAAGGTGGGGAATATGTGTCCGAGTCGAACTGCAGAAGGATGGTCGGAGGTGCATCGAACTTACTACGGCATGAAGACTCACATCATCGAAGATCCCACGGGGAAGTCCGGCAAATTGTGGTCGAGGCTTGGAATGGTCTACTGGAGGAGTAAAGTTAGTGTCATTGCAAAAGACGACTGTGAAAGCCTACTTCAAGACACTTGTTTTCATACTGCGTGACATGTCAACGTGAAAAACGGCATGATGGGTCGCCTATTGACACTCCTTCTCCACTTTTCTCTGAGGAACCGTCCATGTGCAAACTAGATTGTCTCCACAGCCAGTCGCAATGAGCTGACTGTCCTCGGAAAAAGTCACGCAGTGCACGTCATCAGGGCGCTCGAGTGTCTCGCCGATGAGTTCGAAAGTGGTCGGGTCAAAAAAACCAGGTCGCTTATCGACCGATAGGGCGGCGAATTTGATGACATTGGAGCAATGGCTAGTGAGGTTTTGTCGGTAAGCGTCAAACTGTTTCCGGTGGCAGCATCTGAGATTCGGATGTCTTTGTCACTCACACTGACGAGACGGAGACCATCTGAAGTGAATGCGACTCACCAGGCCCTCTGTTGTATAATTAACAATTCTTCTCCGCTTGCAGTATTCCAGACAATGATGTGTTCGTCGGTTCCTGCTAATTTGCTTCCTTTCGAGTAGTACGACACCGAGTATGCCTCACTGCCCACTTGTAAAAGTCCGAGGACTATTTCACCCATCTCCCTCTGCCACATGCATACCGCATCGTTCAATGATGCACTTACAAATGCCTCGTTGTCTGGTGCAAATACAATGCTCCAGACACTGCCCTCGTGTCCCTTGGAGGAGATCGGAACTCTTGTTTGTCGCAATTTCTCGGACCAGGATTCTTCCGTTCTTCGCTCCACTCACATACGAACGCTCATTTGGGGATTATGCAACTGTCCAGACTGTGCCATGGTGACCCAATTACAAGGGCTTTCCCACTTGTCGTCCTGTGTCCAAATCCCACACACGAAGACTCTCGTCGCCAGAGCAAGACGGAAATCAGGGATGAGAGCTATGCTGTCTACCAAGTCTTCATGACCATTTAGGGTCAGTTCTGCGTAAGGTGGTTCCTTTGGGGTGGGGTGGGCGGGCGCTCGGGGAGAGGTCTCGTCTTCGTGAGTGATGGTTGCCACCGCCATTATTCTGTGTCTCGCTCAGCAGGAGCGATGAACAGGAGGTACACACTTACGTGCTCTGTGATCGGCGGTCTCTCTACATGTCGCTACTGAAGCCCACATTTCTGCCTTGCTGTAGACACGCGGTTTCCTCAACCTTCTAGCTCACAGCCTCAGTCCAAGATTTGCCGGTTCTCGACCGTCATTGGAACAAATGCTGTTCGCTGAAAAGTATCCTCTAAACCTGCTGCCGTCGAATGGGAGGATAAGTTGGCATTGCAGTGAGTTACAGTCTCGTCAAACTTACCTGTGATACAGCATCGCTGCGCGATTGCTTCCTCGTCAAATCCTGGAAATATCTGCAGCAGCCAAGATGACAATAAAGCAATACCTGGGATGCCTTCTCGCACTGCTAGAAATATCACTATGGCTTTGTCACAATGCCGGACCTGTAGCCCAGAGCCCCCGGGGCCCGTATCCCGATTCCTGAACATCGCCGCTCTCATTGGTCGCGTGCGCCTTGGTTACATATCTTGCTCAGCAGTTCACAGCTTACCACTTTGTCACCGTGCGATCAGCCGAATAATTCATGGCCTCCAGCCCTGCAAATGCATTGACATCTCACGAGTCTGACTCAGACGGTTTCACTAATACTTTGAACCGCGAGAGAAAAGCCGACCGCTCGAAATTGACATGCATGCGATGGCTTTGAATACGATATTTCCAAGAGAGACTTGCATGTTGCCTTGGATGTGTAGAAATGACGATCAGCGCAGAGCAGCGCGAATATGAAGTTGCCGGTGTCACAGGCAGAATGTTCTGGAGCAGTCATGATCACAACAAACTTGTAAACTTTAACTTCCTTGGCGGCCAAATTCTTATATTCTCGCTACAATTGGTCTGTTCATCCTTCAGCTGCTAGCACAACAGTCTTTCATCTCTTTTTATTATAACCACAACCAATTATGAGCAAGACGGCTATGCCAAGTTCTACTGCGAACTGGCACTGGAAAAATAAAAATGTCACTCCATGGGCAAAGGAATGGTTCCAGCGAGAGCTGACAGCTATCGTGATCGAAGGAACCGAGGGAAACGTCGCGATTTCTTCTGTGAGGATTGACGAGGGCGATGTTGAGCTCGGTCAGCGCAAGTCAAAGTATGCATTATGTTCTCTCTGCACTTTGTGTATTCATGAAGAGATCTTTTTGTCACTTTCAGGTTGATCACGATATACGATATTCAAATCAGGCTAGATTGGCAAGGGGCCACGAGTGATGGGACAGATGTAGTTGGAAAACTCAGCATCCCAGAAGTCTCGCATGAAATCACGCTGGATAAGCTGTCAGACTACGTCGTATGTTTCCTGATGCCCAACGCGGAGACCATGAAGTTGAAATGTTTTGATCACAGTACAACTGGACGCTCGACACTACTTCTAGTCCTGCAGTGAACGCGCTCTTCGCTTTTGTCAAGACACGTCTCCCATCTGCTCTCGAGGCCAAGTTTGCCGAGTTCCCTGCGGCTCTCATCGATACCCATGGAAAGGACCTTACTGTCAGCGGGGAATCTAGCCGCACAGGTACCCCAGCTCTTTCTATGGACGCAGTTGCTGCGACGGCCACATCAGCCTCTACGACCGTTCCAAAACCTGCCCCGGTCAAACAATCTCAACTTAACACGTCCAGTGTAGTCAAGGAAGCGACGTTTATGGCCGCTTCAGACGATCTTTTCGGACTCTTCACGGATGAAAAGAGAATTCCTTTGTGGACCCGTGCACCAGCTCAGGTAATTCGGGGAGCACGTTCGTGAGTTAATTAATGCTGACATGGTTCCTTTGGTAGTCTGCAGCGCAAGCAGACACCGAGTACTCGTTGTTTGGTGGTGGTGTCAAGGGAAAGTATGTGTCACTGACGCCAGGCAAGGAGATTGTGCAGACTTGGGCTTTACAAAGTCCTACGTGGCCATCAGGTTGGATATCTTTCTTCCTTCGTATTGTTTTAGGAGCGTCTGAATTTCTATTGTACCAGAGCACTTTGCAACACTGACAACGACTTTCGAGCAGTCGTCTGATTCGACAAAAGTGAGGTTTACTCTTGATGGCGTGCCGAAAGGCATGGAAGAGGAAATCACCAGGAATTTGGAGGGATACTAGTACGTGCGCGTCTTCGAGAGTGCTTTCATGCACTGACTTTTTTTCCAGCATACACGGCCTTAAATCCATTGGGTACGTACAACTTATACCCTACGTCAGACCTTTATCATCATCCACTCCTTCTCGTACTGGCACTTCTTCCAAACATACGAGTTCTGCTTCATCAACTGCGACGGCTGTAGGGATAGCCGTGGTGGTCCTTGTCGCGGCGTTCACCCTACCTTATTTCTCAGTATCCCCGATCACCTTGCGTCCTCCTGCAAAATAACGTTATTTGTATACTGATAATGCTATGCTTTTGCCGCTTTGGTTTTGATACAGGTTGGGCACAGTTCTCTGATCGAGTCGCTTCGCGCGGCGAAAGGAAAGGAAATGTCATTAAGTGTATCGCAGGTGTCTCTAGGTGATCAAGAAGAAATGCGCGGTGTAGGAGGATTTATACAGTAGAACCGAGCGTGGAATGGTGTATAGAAAGGTATAGAATTGGTAGAAATGAATACATTTCGAGTTTTTTGTACGTTTAATGGCGGTGCCAGTACCACGTAAAGTCGGACCCCGGACCCCGATGTGAACAATTTTGGGCCTCGGTTTGGTTGGCCGTTCTTCGTCTTGACCTTCTCGTCGTCGTTTGCACCACCAGCTCCTTTACATACTTTTCCCTCCACCCATTTTTCATTTCGAAGCTATGGCCGCTGCAGCTGTCGAAGAAATCCGTGCGACGTCCTATGTCGGTTTCGATTCTATTACGCAGCAGATTGAGCACAAGCTCTTGAAGCGTGGTTTCCAGTTCAATGTCATCGTTGTTGGTGAGTTTGATATGGTTTTATGGTGTTAATGTATCTACGGGGCTGAATGATACGTGTCGGGTTTAGGACAAACTGGTCTTGGGAAGTCGACGCTGATCAACACCGTTTTTGCGTCGCACCTTATTGACTCCAAGGGCCGGTTGGAATCGAACGACCCTGTTAGGCAGACCACTGAGATTCAAGCCGTCTCACATGGTCAGTCAGCATTTTCGAAGTCGTGTCGAACAGTATTCACGTCGCGGTCTCATTAGTTATCGTCGAAAATGGGGTCAAGTTGCGCCTCAACATTGTTGACACGCCTGGGTATGGCGACCAAGTGAACAACGAGAACTGGTAGGTTTCTTTACGCGTCTTTTTGGGCTGTCAGTAATGGGTGTTGTGTAGCTGGGATCCTATCGTCAAGTACATCAAGGACCAACATAGCGCATATTTGCGCAAGGAGTTGACGGCCATGCGTGACCGGTATATCCTGGATACTCGTATTCACTGCTGCTTGTACTTCATCAGCCCAACGGGACACTCGCTCCGTGCCATTGACGTTATTGTGATGAAGAAATTGAGCGAGGTTGTGAATGTCGTGCCTGTGATTGCCAAGGCGGACAGCTTGACTTTGGAGGAGAGAGTTGCGTTCAAGCAGAAGGTCGGTGAGATCTTATGAACCTTGGTTCATTGGCTGACCGAATTGCAGATTCGTGCGGAGCTGGTGTACCACAACATCCGTTTATACCCCTTCGATACAGATGAGAATGATGAGGAAGAAATTCAGTTGAACGAATCAATCCGGGTATGTGTGTTTGTATGACATTCCGTTGGTTGCTGAGACAGTTTTAGAGCGTGATTCCCTTCGCTGTCGTCGGCTCTGAGCGGAGTGTGATTATCGACGGCAAGTCAGTGCGGGGCCGCAAGAACCGGTGGGGCGTGGTTAATGTTGAGGATGAAAACCACTGCGAGTTCATGCACCTGCGAAACTTCCTCACAAGGTTTGTGGTATTTGCCGATATTTTCGGGTCCGCGTTCTCACCGTGTCCTGTAATAGGACACACCTGCAAGACCTAATTGAGACGACTGCCCAGATCCACTATGAGGCGTTCCGTTCGAAGCAATTGCTTGCACTCAAAGAGGGTGTACAGCAAAGACCGCCTACCAACCAATAGAGCGCTACTCCCCTGGTTGCGATGTGAGTGACGCTGTTTGAAATGAAAGTGTAAGCTAAGGAAGCACAGGAAAATCCAGACCATGATACCCTGTTGGTTCCGTACTGCTTTCGCGTTCGTTTGTTTTTCGATGGATTTTTTACACCTTTGTCACCACCACGTTCATTTTGCGTCCCTAACTCTCATATCTTAATATAAACGATTGGTCTTACTTGATAGGTCAGCATTAAGTAATGAAGTGAAAGTTCCAAGCAAGTTCCATATGGGATGTAAACAAGTACATACTGAGACCGCGGTTCTGCCATTAGCTGCTTTTGGAATCTTAAAGTTAGCTACCTATTGCGTTTGGCCAGCGCTGCGCTCGGATGGGGAAGCTTGACGACTGAGAGAAAGTGAGAGAGGGGCCCTACTGACAAGGCACGACGTGAGGAATGGATTGGTTTGAAACTGAACAGGAGAGGAGTCAGCGGATCTCAGGCTGGAGGGCGTGGGTTACTATCAATAGGGCTCATGTCATCATTGACTGAATAATCAGCCATCGGGCGCTGCGGCCTCGGCATATACATAGTACGTATACACTATGACTCTTTAAACAAAATATCTTCTTTCCATTAATACTCCACCCTCCTCCCGACCCCTCCCTTCTCCTCCAGCGCTCTGAGCTCATATGGCAAGGCATCGCTCTGGCGTTGCCGCCTTATACGACAAGGTCGCCAATTTCAACGTAGAGTCTTTATTTGCACGTCATCGTGGCCCGGGCACTCCTCGGACTGTATTCTTTAACCACAATCTCCCAGATAGCTACTTTGATCCAAAGGGAAAACCAAAGAAAGAGCATGTCTACCCCACTAACCAAGTCATCTCATCCAAGTACACAATCATAACATTCCTGCCCAGAAACCTCCTAGAACAGTTCAGGCGAATAGCGAATATGTATGTCTCCACTGTTAGCTCCGCCTTACCTCACTCCACTGACTCACCACTCCTCCAGTTTCTTTGCATTCATAGCAATTCTACAGTTCTTCCCTGAGTTTTCTACCATCTCTCCGGGTCTCGTAGTCATACCCATCCTCATCGTGCTCAGTATCACGGCTATAAAGGATGGCTACGAGGACGTCAAGCGCCACCAGTCGGACCGTCACGTCAACCATTCTCAGGCTCGCATCCTTGCGGGTGGCGATTGGGTCAACCCGAATATGAACGGTCAAAAAAGTCGGACCTTCGTCAGGGGTATCATCCCAAGACAGCGTCCAAAACGGAAAGACGTGGAGGCAGGTGCTGAAACCAAGCAGGACCCTGATATCGAGTACGACCGCGCGGATTCAATGGAGGAGAGTGAACATCATATGTTTGGGCATGCCGATGAAAATAGCAGGCCCCATTGGCAGAAGACCATGTGGGAGGATATACGGGTTGGCGATTTTGTCAAGATCGTGGACAATGAGCCTATCCCAGCTGATATCCTCATATGCGCCACATCTGAGGAAGAGAATGTGGCGTTTGTCGAGACGAAGAACCTTGATGGAGAGACAAATCTCAAGTCAAGAAACGCATGTCCCGCCCTTACTGACTTCCACACTGCTGCCGATTGTGTCTCCAAACTCAATACATTCTCTGTCGAGTGCGATCGACCGGACACAAACATGTACAAGTTCAATGCCACCGTCACTCGCAACGGGGCAAAGTCCCCAGTGGATGTACAGACGGTCCTTCTTCGCGGAACGGTACTCCGGAATACGGACTGGGTCATTGGTGTCGTTCTTTTCACTGGCGTCGATACCAAGATTGTACTTAATTCTGGTGGTACGCCCAGTAAGCGGAGTCGAGTGGAGAGGCAGATCAACCCCCAGGTGTCAGTCTTTTCTATCTTGGGTCTCTTCTATATCTGAATGCTCCAATTTCAGCCTGGCAAATCTGGCTCTTCTGGCGATTATGGCAGTCGTGTGTGGTATTGCCGATTCCAAGATCGAAGCGACGCTATACCAAGAGGGCGCCCCTTGGCTGTACGGCGATGACATTCATAATGATAACCCACAGATCAACGGACTGATCACTTGGGCGTTTGCGCTGATCACGTTTGTGTTCATGATATGATCCGTTATTCAAAACTCATCAACCATAACAGGTTCCAAAACATTGTGCCCATATCCCTGTACATCTCAATAGAGTTTGTGAAGACGTGTCAGGCGCTCTTCATCTATTTTGATTATGACATTTTCTACGCGAAGAAGAACCAACCGACCATCGCCCGGAGTTACAACTTATCCGATGACCTTGGGCAGATAGAGTACATATTTTCGGACAAGACCGGTACTCTGACACAGGTGTGCTTGCTGTAGCCCGTCTGTATCATCGTTTAACGTTCTTTGTAGAATTCTATGGTCTTTAGAGAATGTTCCATCGCAGGAGCCGTATATCACGGTGATCCCGAGGACGATGACGTCAAGAAAACCACAGGGAGTGGTACAGAAATCGTCCGTGAAACCAGCAACGACTCTTCCTATGCCTCGACCTCTACACGTGGGGATGATCCTGCCGTTCCATCCACTGCGGATCCCACCGTCGTCAAACTCTCCAACGGCGTTCTTAAGCATTTCAGCGACGAACGCCTTTCTCAAGACCTTACCCGTGCGGTAGAAGCCGAACCAGATTCAGAAAACGCTGCTCAAGCACGCTCGCTTAATGGCTTTTTCTCCGTCTTGGCACTTTGTCATTCCGTTCTCACTGCTGTCGACCCTGCGACAGGCGCCATTGAGTACAAAGCACAATCACCTGACGAAGCTGCCCTCGTCCAAGCTGCAGCGGACGTTGGGTTCATCTTTCGTGGACGTAACAAGGAGATTCTACTTTTGCAAACGCCTTTCTCGAGGGAGGTCGAGCGGTATGAACTGCTTGATATCTTGGAGTTCACGAGTGCACGGAAGCGGATGAGTGTCATCGTCAAGAAACTGGATGAACAAGATGAGAGATTGTTTTTGCTCACGAAAGGCGCGGATAATGTCATCTTTGAGCGGCTCAAGACTGGTGGCGATGATTTGAAACGGGCGACTGAGGGGCATCTGGAGGACTTTGCGAATGCTGGGTTGAGGACGTTGACTCTGGCATACAAAGTTATTCAGGGTAAGTTGGATCTAGCTCGTGCTCCCACTTGACTGAAGGGTTTGTGCAGAGGATGAATATGAAGCCTGGTCTGAGCGCTATCATGAAGCCTCTACTGCGCTGGATGATCGTGAAGGCAAGATCGAAGCGGTTTGCGATGAGATGGAGCGCGAGCTGCGACTACTTGGTGCCACTGCCATTGAAGATCGCCTCCAGGATGGCGTGCCAGAAACGATCGCTGATCTCAAACTTGCGGGAATAAAAATCTGGGTTGCTACCGGTGACAAGCTCGAGACTGCCATCGGTGCGTATTTATCCTATTTTTCAGAAGCCTGTCTCAATAGTGTTCGATGCAGCTATTGGGCGCAGTACGAATCTCATTGCTGAGGAGTCCAATATTATCATCATCCGTGGTAACGACCGTCCGGTTCAACAACAGATGATTCAGGCGGTGGAGGAATTTTTCCCGGACAGCGGCATACTCGATGAACACGGCCTCGTCACTAGTGCGTCTAAATCACCATCAACAGAATCAGCCAGCGCCTTCCCCATGCGGCGAGTAAGCATGGGAGTCCGTGATATTGTCGGAGACGACAACGGTGATCGACCTGGTGGATTTGTACTTGTCATTGATGGTGCTGCGCTGGACCACGCCCTTACGGACGACGACCACAAGGCTCTTCTTCTCCGCCTTGCCACTCAATGCGAGGGCGTCATCTGTTGTCGTGTCTCTCCACTGCAGAAAGCGCTCGTGGTGAAGATGGTCAAGGACGGTCTTGGCGTGATGACCCTTGCTATTGGTGATGGCGCGAACGATGTTAGCATGATCCAGGCTGCGGACGTTGGTATCGGTATTAGTGGTGAGGAGGGTCTGCAAGCTGTCAACTCGTCGGACTACGCTATTGCACAGGTGCGTGATTTTACTCGACCTTGGACGTATCGCTCATAATAGAACAGTTCCGGTTCCTCAAGAAATTACTTCTGGTCCATGGTCACTGGTCTTATGCTCGTAACGGAACTATGTCAGTCCGTTCATATCTGTGCTTGATGCTGGTGCTGATACTTTTCGACCATAGGATTGTCAACTTTTTCTATAAGAACATTGTGTGTATTGGCGTTTTGTGGTGGTTCCAGATCTATTGTGGATGGAGTTCATCTTAGTGAGCTATGCACTCGTCTCAATCCAGCATAGCTGCTGACTCTTTTCCCAAAGCGTATTTGAGTATACTTACCTGTTATTCTGGAACTCGTTCTGGACGATTGCTCCCGTCCTCGGAATTGGTCTGTTTGATCGGATAGTTGGTAAGATCATATCACTAGACATATAAGCTGCGGGTTCCTAATGAGTTACAGCAGATGCTGATGTTCTGATGGCCTTCCCTGAACTGTATCGCTATGGTCGCGAACGGACTTGGTTCTCCATGAGATTGTTCTTGATCTACATGCTTGATGGAGTCATACAGGTACTTGCATCTTTCCTTGGGTCGTATCAGTCCCCTGACATCCATGCAGTCTGTTCCACTATTCTTTATCATCACTTATACATACTTCTCGACTACTACTCGCACTGATGGATACAGCGTCGGATTGTATGAGTACTCGACTGTAAGCTTTCATTCATCTGACCAATATGTTGTTATTGATGATAATCCTCCGTAGACTATGGTTTTTGCCACCGTTGTAGCTGTTAGCTTGTTCAATGGCCTAAACACGAATGTCTGGACTGCCTGGGTCTTCTTTGCTGTCTTTATCGGTATCATTATTCTCTGGTTATTCACGGTGAGTTCCTATCACTCTTCCTGTCATCTATGAGACTGACGTCTCCACAGGTTGTCTACAATGCAATCAGCCCAGGATTGACAGTGACCAACGTTTATGGCAACAATCACTACCTGTTCACGTCGGCTTATTTCTGGTTGAGTCAACCCCTTGTCATCGCCATTGCTCTCCTTCCACGATATCTCTATCGCGCATGGCAATTGGGCTACGCGCCTGGGGACCTGGAGATACTACGCTACATCCGGAAGACACAGCCTGATCTTGACATGACAACACTTCGAAGTGAATCGATGCGCTCTAAACCGTATGCGTCTTCAAGATTGCGTCCGTCCTCACGCGCGTCACGGACGTCAATTGCTTGTTCCAGCGTCGACAATTTATCATTGGATTTACGGAGAACACAAGATCCGCGCTGTGCTAGCCGAACTGACATGTCCACTGGTATTCGCTCCGTGCACCGCGGATTTGACTTTGCGACAGAAGAAGGTGGCGTTGCAATGCGACGCATGCAGACCAATTTGTCAGAGCGAAGACAGAGTAGCCGCAACCTGCCTGCACTAGAGCAGAACCCGTCGACTCGGAAGCGCAGTCTACGCTTGTTCACCTCTCTGCGCCGGAAAAAGTCGCCTACTCTCAAGAAGGATGATTGATGAGACCTTTTGATTTGCATGCCATGATTTGCTTTCTTACATTTTATCAACCATTCATCGCATTGTGCTACTCATCGCCCCTCTTATTCCCACTTCACGTGTATGGTCATACTCACTGTATTCCTTCCACTATTTATGATAACGGGCTATCTACTATAACACCTCGATGACGACGCACTGACGAATACATATCAGAATTGTTAATACACTATCAACTGGGATATAAATGAAATAATAAAGTTAGGGCAAAAAAACTAAGATAACAAGGGATCATAACATATGGGTCTTTCAAACTTCGGGACTGTCCCCTTAACCTCGACGAACTTGCATTTTCCTGTATCCGCATTCCACACCAAGAGATCTGGTCCGTCGGAGCAGCGCCCAGCGTTCCATGTCTTGCGCTTTACAGATATTGTTCGTACGCGTAATTAGCCGATGTCAAGTTGTCGAAACTTATACAGACGTCTTTTGTCTGTAAATCCTTACGGGAAGTCACTCACTAATAGTTTCCTATATTAGACCCTTTATATAGGCACCGAGAAGTGCTGCCTATTCAAGTTGACGCAACTGTCTGATTCACACCTCTTTCCTCACACTCAGATTCTTGGTCATATCACCACTTCGTATACTATGCAAAACAACTCTGTTGCAAGACGTACGGCCACCACGACGAACCCTGGGGTATTCGGGCCTCAGGCCTCATGGGTGAACCCGAGTTTGGAAGGGTCACGAGTCTGGGCAACTTTCGCGAACTCAAAACCTTGACAGAAGGTCCCGACTCCAGATATCTACGAGCGAGATATAAATAAAACAAGTCGAATTCCCCATCACCACAGTGAAGGCCAAACCAATGGGACAGTTTCGTCGGGAATGAAAACGACAGGAATCCCGGTAGTTATTTCTACGGTCACTGTAGCGCTATCGCTTATGCATTATGACTTGCCAGTGAATGGGGGCTTACTTGCATAGTCTAGTTGGTCCAGTACGGTACCGGTACGCCCCGACTCGAGACTAATAAATCTTTTTTTTTGTAAAAACAACAACACTGGCCTGTTCGCAGAGCAGTTTTTGAGCGTATGTAGCTGCAACATAGGCTAAATCAGTTGACTTATATTCGCTCACACCGATGGCCTTGTCTCTAGTCGCACGCTTGTCTTTCTCCGCCTCGTCTTTGAAATACGTGATTGTCATGACATGAATGACCGCTCGGGCTTCCGACATGCTTCTTCCAGGACCAGGACAGGCTGCCACGCTCTTCCGAATCTGAAGCTTTCGAAATCTGCTGTAGCCGATGCACAATGTCGGAGCTAAATCGACCTGGCCAACGATGCATGAGAACAATTAATCAATCACAGGCGATCCCAGCTGTCAAACCCATCAGCTGTCAGTGACGCTTAAGGTAAACTCAGCATGCGTAAATCCGATTGACACAACTTAGCGCGCCTGGGTCCGGTGTTGCTCGATACTCAGAAATAACAAACCATAACAGAATATCATTGGAACAATGTCTGACAGCGGCTAATGCCCCACGCAGCCAGGAGGTTGGGAAGAAGTCTTCCGAGGTGTGTACAAACACTCTACTATATGGGAATTTGAAGCGGGGGAGAGTTAGGCAGGCCCTAGTGTCATTTTGATGCAAGAATTGGGTGCAGTTGTAGGAATGCAGTGATGGCATCAAGCTTCAAGCGCTGCAGTGGATTCTTAGTTGGAGTAATGCATCAATAGTCATGCATTTCTGATGCATCAGTAATGCACGTGCACCCTCAGGCTGATGCATTCCAGATGGCGTGAGTAAAGGACTCATGAATTCACTGATGGATTCGTCGCTCGTGACACCACGGTCAGCTTAGGCTGGCTCCCCTGCGCTTCTTTCGCATTTTGGTTGCCTGTCGGTGTCTTCAGATTATCCCTTCTCTTCAGAGCAAGCTGGTGATTGTTATGCGATAGTCTCCTTGTCGCGTGCGCGAATGTTGCGGTACATCCGTATGTCTACGTAGTGGTCTGCGCGCTGCTACTCCGAGCACGCGGTGTTTGACTTTTAAGTACTTTATGGTTACGTTGGGGACGTTGAAATCAGGATATACAATGCCCTATGTTTCTTGTATGCGGCAGTCTATAGATGCCTCGTGAATACACTAGGTTGGCCATGTAAGTGATGGGATGCTATGCAAAGTTATCAAATATTATATACTCCACTGGTACATTTGATCCGTGCAAATGAAAAAAAAAAAAACAGTTACGACTGGTATCTTTTCGGCTGAACGAGTGAACGGTGCGTATGGTTGTAGTCGTCTACCGGGAGCATCATCGAATGTCATAAATATCTTGAAGTAATATTGCACCAATGAAAAGGTTGGGAATGGATAGGAAGCCTAGGAGGAACCTGAAGCGGATGTACGGGTTCGTCGAGTGCGTGATAGACACGGGAAGCACCTTGCGAGAACTGCAAAGCAGCTAGTGTGCGGAACATGTTCAACGTCCAGCGGAGAAGGGGGTCTGTTAGTTACGGCGGGAGCGTCGGTACTCCCTGTCTGCAAGTGTCTTGATGTGGTTCCACTGATCACATTGGATGTCCCTGCTGGTAGCGTGCTGCTGCTTGAGGCACCAGTGTGGGCTTGCCGACGAGGAGGATGTAGCGGCCTCACCAGATGTCGTTTTCCACTCTGGGCATTAGCGGTGCGCTGCGGGGAAGTGTCACGATCACAGATGGAGGTCGAAAGGTCAGGAAACTTACATATTTGCCTCGTGTGGCGAAGACGTCCACAAGGGGAATCTTGTGTGTGCGAGGCGCATGGCCCTCGGGAGCGGAGGAGCGAGAAAAGAGACGATTCATCATATTTTTGATTCCGGACCCTTCTGCGTGGCGAGTGGTTGTAGCAGCACGGTTGTTGCGTCTAGCAAACTATCAAAGGATGGTGAGACAAGTATCGAATTCACCGTATCATATGGACTTACATCATCGAAGAACCTACTGGTTTGTATTGGAGCCCATCTTGGGCGAGGCTGTGGACCTGGGATGGTTTTCTGCAGGAGTGAAGTTAGGGATCGTACAAATCGACGGACATGAAAGCGTACTTTAAGAATTTTCTGTGTGGACTACATGACGGGTCAATACGAAGCATGACACGAGAAGCGAATTTACTCACCTGTTGGGACTCCTTCTCTGACTCGCTCAGAGGAACTGTCCATGTACGAACGACCTTGTCCTTACGGCCTGTGGCGATGAGCTGGCTGTCCTCGGAAAAGGCTACACCCCAGACGGTATCAAGGTGCTCGAGTGGCTCGCCGATGGGTTCGAATGCGTTCAGGTCAAAGAACCGCGTCGTCTTGTCCCATGAAGTGGTTGCGAATTTGGTGCCATTGGGAGTAATGGATAGTGAGTAAAAGGGATCGGTAGTGTGCGCATCGAACTGTTGGATGATGTCTCCAGTGGTAGCATCTGAGATCCGGATGTCGTTGTCGTTCCCACTGATGAGACGGAGACCATCCGGAGTGAATGCGACTTTGTATGCCCGCTGTTCTATTTTCAGCAACTCTTCTCCGGTTTCTGTATTCCAAATGATGATGTGTTTGTCGGTTCCTGCTGCAAGTTTTGTCCCATCCGGGGAGTACGACACCGAGTGTGCAGCGTCGCCCACTCGGAGTGGTCCTGAGGACTATTTTTCCTGTCTCCCTCTTCCACACGCATACCGTTCTGTCCCACGATGCACTTGCAAATGTTTCACTGGCTGGCGCAAATACAACATCCCGAACCTCATTCCCATGGCCTTTGAACGAGATAGGCACTCTTTTGAGCCCTCTCTTATTTGTTGCAACTTCCCAGACCACGATGCTTCCACCCCCTCCTCCACTCACAGTCCAACGCCCATCGGGGGACGCTGCGACCGTCCAGACTTTGGCATCGTGACCCGACAAGGGCTCTCCTACTTGTTTTCCCGTATCCAGATCCCACACCCGAAGACTCTTGTCCCGGGAGCCAGTGACGAGAAGACGAGTCCCGGCGATAAAAGCTACGTCGCGAACATCATCTTCATGACCCTTGAGCGTCATTTCGACATAAGGTGGTTCCTTTCGAGTTGGCACTTTGGACAATCCTTTACCCGTGGTGACCGTCATTGGGTCTTGTTCGGTGTCTCGGTCAACAGGAGCATCGGGGAAGTAGTAGTCACTTGCCTGCGCTTTGGTGAGTAATCGTTAGGTTGCAAGGATACTTAATCCATACGTCGGCCTTGCCGTATACACGTGGTGTCTCACATACAGGTTAGCGGCATTTTCAGCGCTTCTTTCAGGAATGTTCTGTAGCAGTGTTGTTATTAACCCGGGTTATAACTGAATAGGTTATAACTGGTGCGTCTTGATTTGAATTAACCGCGAAATAACTGGGGTTAATGGGGTTAAAAACAGTTAATTACTTCAAAGTGCTAGCTACTCTGAGTCGTCAATAACGATTGAACTCGATGGACTATTTCCCATGCCTGGTGACTCCCCTGGGACATTCCTACTAGTACTTTTTTCATCCTCGGGCAGGCGTGACATTAGCTCGTAGAATAAAGCCTCACTCTCCATGTTTTTCACACCCTGGAACCAAAACTCGTCCCATCCAACCTCAACAGACCAATTGAACATGTCGCGGATGCGAAACATTCTCTTCTGACTGAAGAAGCAACGAATTTGTCACTGCCTGCTACTTTCCAAATCCGAAATGCCTGAGATGTCATCCTCAACCTCAACTACTTGTCCTAACCCCGATATGTATTCCTTTTGCCATGATTTCGACCTTTCCGGCAATATAAGGGACATTATCGCATGCTGTTTGAGTCCGTTATACGGTATACATTAATCATTTATGTTACATGGCATCAATTGACAAAACTCACCTTCCTGCGTCAAAATTGTGAAAGTTCTGACAGCCTGTTGATCAGCATTTGCGAGATCTTTAGCCTTCACATTGACACAATATTTACAGCGTGCTTGCCAGTGCACTTTGTCAACCTTCGCAGTCCCCTGATGAAAATGATCCCACAGCCAGGACTTCTCCCTACCCATCGGAGCGGCTTGGAGAGGTAATACAGTCCCAGGACGCTGGCACAGAGAGAATCGGAGAGATTGATGATAACGATTAAAGTTTGGTGACCCCCAATTAACCCAATTAACTCCTAGTACATTAACCCTACTAACCCTCCCAAAATCACAGATCCATTTAACTAACCTCTTAACCGGTTATAACCGGGTTAAGTTATAACTGATTTAACGGGTTAGTAACAACACTGTTCTGTAGTACTAGTAAGGCGCCGTGGTTACTTTTACTGTGCTTCGATGTTATGACTAATACGATTTCTCTGCTACATCAGTCGACCCGAGATCTCCTTTGACATTGTTTTTGTACCGCTTAACCACATGGACGCAACGAATAATGGTTTAGCTGTGGTACCATCATAACCTCGGGGAGACTAGCTTTTTGTTCCTGTGGGCGCCGGGCATCATTTAGGGTCCTTTTGGTGTGATTGTAATGAGAATTTTGAGTGAGTAGGGTTCTGGAAGGTCTGTGTGATAACCACCTGGTACGGGAACTCAGAAATATCATAGGCCGACATGCATGTCTAAGTTTGACATATTCCCTACTAGTAGGCAGGTACTTGGTATAAGTGCAAATGTTGATCTCGAAGCTGACAGCATTCTTAGCACGCACTACAATGGCTCGCATCGAGAACCGACACACATACAACCTGAAAAACTGTAAGGGAGGCACTGCCGTTGACCTCTCGGGTAATAATAACTACTCCAGTAAACATATCATCCTTGCTTTAGGAGTATCCTACTAAGTCATCGTTAATATTGCCTTAACTTAGTTATTGGTTTCCACCCCCACAATAGTTCCAACCAGGCGGTAATGCGTTTACTTGTCATCCCCCCGCGAAGGGTATCAAAAGCCGGCTAATGAAGAGATTATACGAGGGAGTAGTCATTCCTAAAATGTTATACGCAGCTGATGTCTGGTGCGCACGATTGGTAGCGAAGGGCAAAGGAACGAAGCTAAACGGACGAGGGGCACGAGGTTTCGCATCGAAGATGGCAAGGGTGCAAAGAATGGCAACCCTGATGATAACAGGCGGAATGAGATCCACAGCTACAGACATCCTAGACGCACACGCTAACATACTTCCTTTCCAACAGGCGCTACGCAAGATATGCCTCAAATCGACCCTCAGAATGACCACACTCCCAGACACCCATCCGCTAGCACGAGACATCAAGATGGTCTACAACTACGGAAACGCGCGCGGCTTTGCCAAACCAAAGCGTCATCCCTCCCCACTCCACAAGCTAATGTACGAATTCAAGATAAACCCAGCTCAAATGGAAAAGATCCACCCAATCCGTCACAACCCGAAGTGGGAGCCAGACGTCGAAATACAGATAGCGAGGAAGAAGGAGGAGGCAGCCGACGAAGATAATTTGGCGAGGGAAGAGATCCGGGTATACTCAGACGGATCGGCCATAGATGGAGGAGTAGGGGCAGCGGCCATTCTCATGAGAGAAGGAGAGGTGAAGGACGAACTTAGATTCTACCTGGGGAAGGACAGCGAGCATACGGTATATGAGGGGGAGTTGGTGGGGATGATCCTAGCGTTGGAGCTAATCAGAAGAGCGGGAGGGGGAGAATCGATGGCACTGGGAGTGGATAATCAGGCGGCAATACGCGCAACGAAGGCATTCAATTCGCAACCCGGACATCACCTAATGGACTCCTTCCATGACAGCCTCCGCTCAATCCTCCCAGACAACAACAGCAACAAATTAGTGATGAGATGGACGCCAGGCCACATGGGGATCCCGGGGAACGAGAAGGCAGACGAGAGGGCGAAAAGGGCGGCAAGGAGAGACACCTCGGAAGGAAGACTCCTTCCAAAGTCCCTAAGAACGACAGCGAAGACACCCATCACGCTACCTATCAGCAAATCGTCCACACTGCAACAGTTTCGGGAGCGCATCAAGAACGAAGCAACGAAAGTCATGCACCTCTCTCCTCGTTTCGCCGCCTTACAGACCATAGACCCCTCCGCCCCGTCGAAACACTTTGCAGGACTCATCGACCAATTCCCGCGTCGCCACAGCTCGCTTCTCTTCCAGCTTAGAACAGGACATGCTCCTCTCAACAAACACCTGCACCGTATAGCGAAGTCAGAAACAGCAATATGTCAACAATGCAATGAAGGAAACGAATCGGTCCACCACTTCCTCCTCACCTGTCCAGCATACACCAGACATCGCAACATCCTCAGACAAGAACTAGGAACACGAGCGCACCACGTGAAGCACATTCTCAACGAAGCCGAATGTCTAAAGTCACTGTTCAAATTCATAGCCAAGACAAGAAGATTTGAGCCAGTCTTCGGAGACGTATCACCGCCAAAAGACAAGAACGACAGAAACAGCTAGACGCACCAGCCATCCACTACACCCTCTGTAACAACTATTCTTTCACCTTAAGCTGGTGTCAACGTCCGCGCCTCGGCCAGGACCATTGAACAAGACTCATTATTCCAGGGCACGCATATATATCATTTAGAGTAAAAACACCGCATGTAATGTCTACCATAGGGCTTCGCCCCAAAGGACAAAAAACAAGGATTCAAAACAAAAAAAAAAAAAAAAAACTTGTCATCCCACTACGAACAGGTCGTGCTGACTAACTTCTCGGTTCTTAGTGGATCTTCCAGCAGGATGGCGACCAGAACGGATGATTTATAAAGTCGTCCCGCTCTGGAAAATATCTTAGGGATTGAAGGCAGCCCCAATAATGGTACCGCGATCGTTGTTGTTTCGAACCCCTTCAAGTGGGATGTCAACGACTCCGACGTCGAAAGCGCTAAAGGCATTAGGTATGCACGTCTAGGTCCTGAATTTTTTTGTTCGACAGGATATTTGTCCATGGCACTAATTTTAGCCTAGACCTCAGCTACGGAAATTCGGCAAACCACACGAAAATTCAGCTTTGGAGCAGCTGGCCTGGCGCCAACCAGATTTAGGCACTTTCTGAGCGGGTTTCCATTAAGGATCGGCACACTCACAGTCTCAGAAATCGTCAGGGAGGTATTGCTGTTGAAGTCTCGGGTGATGATAACCACTCCAGTGAGCATTATCCTCACTCCACTGGGCCGCAGGGGTATCGTCAATATTGCATAAACATAGTCATCGGTTATTACCTCCACGGTGGCATATTAGACCCTTTATAGGCAGTGAGAAGTACTGCCTATGGTGGAGTTCAATATATATTGACGCAAATGTCTGATTTACATCTCTTTCCTCAATAAAAGGTGGGGATCCGCGTCAAAATTCATGGTACAAAATAATTCAAGCAATTCCGGTGAACTGCCGATTTTGGTTTATGCCAGCGGGTTTCTGAACAGGTGAACCCTCTGTCAATCAACAGCAGACGGAACGACGGTCAAATAACGAACCTCGAAACCACCATTCTTAGGGCTGAATTGAGCCGAGTTTGTGTTACCACAGGTCTCAAGACGTAGTATGCAAACGAGAGACTCACTTCATAAACAGGAGCTGCTTATGGTCTGAAGACAGAGTCATAATATAGCTGTTTAATGTGCGAGGGCTGGGATTGGGACCTGCGGTCATGAAGGCACAAAAAAAGGCTATATTCTGAAGAATCAGGGTTAGATCGTTCCCGTATTCTGCAGAGGGTCACTCACTTGTTGGAGTCGCTCCCATCCTTGAGGACGGACCGAACCCCCCACTTGGCCACGGCCGATTTGAATGCTGATCATAGTCAACAATCAGCTGCCTGGTAGTCAATGAGTATTGGAACAGAACAATGAACCTATAGCAAGATCATTTTCGTCATATATCTCCTGACGATAATTGTGCTTCGTCATGTACTTCCAAATTTCTCTTAACATGCCTTGCGATAGGACGAGATACCTGTTTCAGAAAGTATAGGTCGTCGATCACTTGAAACGTATGACGTTTGGTCGTGCACATAGCTGCTTACTCTTGATCCTGTATATACATTTGCGACTTCATCGGCCACGCGGTGTATCCATTCAGCATTGTTTCGATATCGCGGTCTAGAGATGCTGACTTTCTTGAAGTCCCAGCGTTCATTGGAGCCGCTCCCCAGGATGATGTTGATCCTGTATACCAGGGCGGATTAAAAATAATCGACCAGAGTCACATGAACTTACATATTGCCTGTATATCCGATGGATGAGTCTGCGCGAAGGATAGTTATTTCCCATAAAAATCCATGGCAAAGTCATTGAATCAGACGTACTTCTTCCAAACCGCTTATTTGTGATACTGTAGCAGGCATGAAAAGAATGTGATATAAATAATGCATGATTGGGATGTTGAATGAATATACCGACCGGTAGAACCCCGAGGGATGTGGTGTAATTGTCCAATGGTCGGATGTGTTAGAAGCAGGTTTGTCGGCTTATAACGCTGCTGCCTCTGGCCGAGCTCAAATACTTTCCACTACTGAGGTTCCGCATGGTATATACTATGACACCAGGAGTGGTGGGATTGGGCGTTTCGAGAAGCCAGAGCTGCACGAATGCAGCCTCGCTGTTCGCTAGTGTGGTGGTGTTATTCCATGGGATCAATGTGCCCAGCATTGCCGAGTCTTGTAGACAGGGGTGATGATTAACGGCAATTTCGACGACTGCCCTAGACAGAAGATGCTCACTGTTGGACCGGTCTTGCCAGTAACTGTAAAGGACACCAGGATTGTCCATACTCACGATAGAATCTGTGCGATGATGCCCATAAGTAAGGGTATTAAGGGTCATAAAAGGGCAATATACATACAAACCCCCGGGCCACTGCTCAATAGTGACGACTGCATGCTGGAGGAGGTGTGGATATTATCTTTCAAAGATGAGACATACAAGATTATATAGGCTAGATTAGCCAACATATGAATGGAAACTCAGACAACGTCGGATGACCGCGTGACACGATGCTCTTCCCAATACCATGATACTAGATTAAGGGGCTCTCGGACTCAAGATCGGGGTTTGTGATCAAGATAGTAGATCTGCATTGGATCTGCGTGGGGCCTCGGCGTAACTTACATAATGTCATGTCCACGTCAGTTATCACACACAGCTAGCCTCCGTGCGCGTGATCTCGATCATCGATCATTGACCACCGTACGTGCGTACCTGGACACATGGATAGCAGAAATCACGTATGTTTGTTTCACTATATAAGCTTTCGGAGGTTAAACTAGCTATAGCTAGTGCATTGAAGACATAACTAGTACATTCTGATTCTCTATATATATAACCTCCTCTGTCCCAACTTCGAAAGACGACCGTGACATCCACACCTCCTCACTGCCAGTGCATCCATCCACAGCATGTCGTTTACACGTGGCATTTGTAGGCTCATCGCCCTTTTCCTCACATTTACTTATTAGCCTGGACATCACCACAGATTATATTCAGAACAAGGATATTCCTGGAGTCCTTTCCCCAGGCAGTGAGCATCCCACTCCACCTAACATTGGACTGATGTATTGACGCGTATGTGGGCTTCCCTGAAGTCCCCCAAACTAGTGAGTATCTTCATTAGACGGGCGCCCAAGCTTTCATTCACTATCGCATCTGTCCACTAGAGTTTGCAACACTTCATGTAAAGCAGCCTTGGAGTGGATCATCGGATAGTCGCCGTGCGTTCCCGCAGCTCTGGCTCGTCGATCCGTCATCATCCAACCTTGGCATTGTGTATACTATCCGTAACCTTAGTAGCGGAAAGTATCTGACCTCTCGCAATGGGAGTAGCGTTGTCATTGACGACCCTACGCACACCACAACCGATTACTGGACAATAACATCGCATCCCTTAGGGTACTATCGGTTGGTTGTTCATTCAGTATTCGCATCATGCAATGTTTATATCACATTCTGTCCATGATGTCACAGTATCACGAATTTTGAATGGAAAAGTACGTCCGACTCAATGACTTTGTCATATATTTTTACGAGAAATGATAATTCTTTGCGCAGAATCCATTGGAGGTCAAAACCCGAATCAGTGAGTTCATGTAGCTCCGATTGATTGTTCTAATCTGTCCTGATATACAGCTACTACACCATTCTTGGGCAGAATCGCAACGAACGTTGGGACCTTGGCAAGCCACTGAGCTGCTCTGGGGCTGAAATCGACAGAATTTTGAACGTATTGAGGGGTCCCGCGAATCCTACGCTTGATCTTCAGAGGCTCAAGGGGTATACAACTACAACAGGACTGTAAGCAACTCTCTGCAAAATCAAACGCGCTGACAAACTCCGTCGGAAACAGATATCTCATCCCCTCGCGAGGGATTTTCGAGGAGATTCGCTTGGCCGCTGGCATCGAAAAAACCAACTTTCGCAATGAGCTATTTGACTGCGATGATTTTGCCTTCGGTTTGTTTTGTTCAAATGCAAACCACCAGGTAGCTGACCATTTCACTTTGACCAACCAGAATTCAAAGCAGCCGTGGCTGCCTGGTTCACTGACAAAATCGGCATTGACGCAAGTAGCTCATATCATCTTGCACACATGATTGATCCAGTTCTCATTATCCAGGGTATAGCCATATTCTGTGGCATAATGTTTGAAGAATATCTCGATAATACAGGGAACCCCGTGACAGGACATGTTTATAATTTCTTATTGTCTGATGACCATAGTCAACTTCAGTATTATGAGTGAGTTGTCTCATCTAAACTCATCTTTCCAATAATAAACTCGACTTGCATAGCCCCCAGGATGGCAATCCGCCAGTCAGGGCTCCCCAATATCAGAGTGGCCGGATATTCTTGGCATTGTGTTGAGTTATGTAGTTGCCCTACCTTTTCACCCGTGCCTGCACAAGTAGCTCTACATATTTACTATATGCACTACTTGTGTTTGAAAGCGAAACGAAACTTCGAAACCCTTGATTGTTTTGTCCGCTGGTGTCATGCGAACTTGATTTGCTTCCGCGGGATCAAACGTTCCGTCCTATATGTTAGAAGTGGGCGATTCCGATTCTTCCCACGGCCCCTGGGTCGACTTCGGATGCTTTAAGGTTATCACTAGTCTCCAAATATTCTCGGAGCGCCTTGTACAAACCAAGTTGAACGCTACAGCGCCGAATCTTCATCTTCGTGGGCAAACCATACTTGCTTCTGTGCACGTGCCCCCGTTATCATTATCTTGCCGGTAACCGAGCTGTCCGAGTCATCAAGTCATGTAATATTCCAAGTTTCCCTAATGAACTTTCTGATGCTGCTTTGATTGAAACCGAACATGACACAACTCCGACTATTCTGATAGATGCGTACAAGCCCAAACAACGAAGCAGAGCCTTCACCAGCTGCAAAACAGCCTGCAAATAAACGAAGACACCCCAGCAACATAGTTCTGTTCTTGGAGCTTGAAAGCTGCGAGTTTGTAATTTTTCGGGATAATATAGTGGTAAGCACAGTGTTTCACGCTGTTATCAATGTTTTTGCACAAAGCTGTAATCATTTAACGAAGACGCCTTGATAACTAGCTGATTGGCATAGATCTGGATCATGATCCCTGAAATGTCATTTCGCCCTGTTAATTAAAGCTAGTGAGTTTCGCTTCAGCATTGCCTTACCATATCTGAACTTCCGAAGTTCCAAATCACATTGTTTCGGAACACCTTATATAAATGCCGAGCGCTGAATCTTTATCTTTGTGAGTAAACCGGATTACCACCATCTCCGAGTCGCTTCTGTAGCGGTAACTGAGTGTCATCAAGTCATGTAATAATGTTCCGAGTTTCCCGAAACCTTCGTCAGCTGCGGACAGTTTACAGCGCCATATGATGTATTTAGCAGCAACATGACTCATCTTATCGATATCAGTGTGTCAAGTCACGTAGTATTGTTGGTAGAATGAAATAGTTCTACCAGTGACATTTGCCAGCAGTAGGTCAAGGGGTCGGCAGAAGCACGACAACCTAGTATTTTTTCCTACGAACAATCAATAAAATTTCGAATACATCTCGGTGTACAAGTTGGGAATTACCATGACCCAAAAGCTCAGGGGCCGTCCTGTCCGAAAAATCATGTCCGACTGCTTTGTTCCCAGAGAGAAAGTCAGAAACAAGTCCCGCAGCAATCATGTCCCAGATGGGAAAACACCAAGTAGAACCACGTACATGGCGGTGTCAAAATATATTTAGGCTGCATTCCAGGTTGCAGCCCCTGAACAAGGGTCATCATTGCGCCCATCTATTGATCAGGTGAGTTATGGTTCAGAATTTCGGATGTTTGTACTTGCCTTGAGAGTTACCCTATAACCCCGTTTTACTATTTTGAAAGAGCGCCGCCTACGCATCATTCAACTTCTCAAGCGACTTCGAGACTCCTTCTAGGATCATCATGTAATCACCATGATCCAATTGACATCTCGCTGTAAGGGATCATTGAGCTTTAGCAACGTGTTATAGATAGACGGAGCCAATAAGAAAGTCGTCCTGTGAATTGTCCTTGCAGGCGTCTGGTATCAGTAAAATGGGTGTAACACGAGGGTAGGCTGGACAGTGTGTCCGAAGCTCCCGATTGGTTCAGCGTCGCGATGGAAAATGGCAAATTAGAAGAAGGCTCCATGCTAGAATCAACGTCCTATGACATTTGTGGTGAAACGCATGCCACCCAAGCTGTTCAACAGGGTCAGAGAAAACTAGGAGACGATGAATCAGCATATATGCGCAGGTAGACGAATGCGATTGGTCAGGATAAGCAAGATTTAAGAACACACTCATTATTCACAAGGACACGGAGGCTCGAGCTCGTCCATAACAATTCCCAACTTCATTTGCAGTGGCTTCTATCGAAGAAAAGACGCTTTTCAAACCATAACGATAACAACTTTCAAGCGAACACTGAACTGAACCATCAGTTTCATGATCACATGAGGGATGGCCGATATGATCCTGAAGAGGTGGACATATGCAGGCAATACGACATTCCAGGACATCTGGAGCAGTGGTGTAGCTTGAATTCATGTCAGAGTAGGGACGATTCGTGATTGTTTAATGCGTTCCGAAGAAAAACATACATATTACACACGCTTACCGTAATTGCCAGTGCGGCCGAATCCCTTGAGACGTCGAATATTGCAGAAGCTCCCTACCACAGCGCAACCAAGTAACTCTGAAGCACGAATATGAGGGGCCAGGTGAAATTGACGCGGTCCTGCGGCGGTCGTGACGCGCCTGTGACGCGGCTTATGTGACGCGGCCCCGTCACAAATCCTAGGGTACAGATTATGTTCAAACACCAACTTCACATGTCGCTCGAAATGAATTCCAAACACTTTGAATCCTCGCTAATGGCCAACATCTGAATGTCCATCTGCGTGCAGTCCCTGGAGTGCTGCATTCACCTCGCACCAAATTTACAGTGCTTGTCCTCCGTGTTCGTACTACTTGGGAATGTTGTGTACATCTAGGCTAGTGTGTTTGTATTGTATTGCCTCTAATCATTGATCCAACGTTTGTTTTCAGGCAGCAGTGTGAATCATTGTCTCGCTATGATGTCAAGTCGGATACAGCCTCGGTACTCTGTACTACCACGTCAAGCCCGAAACATGCCATGTCAAGCTTCAGTCAGGCTGGGTCAAGCACTACTCACACCACGACAAGTTCTCCAACATTTTCGCAGCCTCCGTATCACGCCACGTCACATGCGCGTCACGACCGCGGCAGGACCGCTTCAAAATAGCTACGCCCGAATATGAGTGGATTGGGAACACCGTTAATTTGCAGATATCGTCTTCTTGCAACAACATGCACACCCTATTTGATGGCGTAGTGGGCAGGTGGAACTGCGAGATAGGACACTTCGTTGGACAATTTAACCACGGGCATGCGAGGACAGAAACATAGACACGTTGGCGCTTTCACCGGTTGGATGTCAGTTGCATCTCGAAAAATTAATATCTCATCGATGCATCAATTTACTGATCAGTGACTGCTACATTATGACAAGTCTCGAGCAGCACGCAGGTATGTTACATTGTATCTTATTCCAAACAATCTGGTCTAAAGTCCGGATTCCGCACGTTTCTTTGCATCCCTATGTTCGTTTGCCTCATCATCCGCATGCTTCTTTGCCAGCTGATCGTCTTGTGACTTCTGCTTAGCTGCCTCCTCTTTCTTTTCGGCTGAATCTTTCGCCATTATAGCCGTATTAGACTTGCTTTCGGCCTGTAACCTCGCTTGATTATCCTCTGCCATCTTCTTCTGCGCGGACGCTGTCTTCATGTCAGCTACTTCGATCTCGTCATGCAAGATTTTTGCTTGCATATCTTCAGCCCAAGTGGCGGACACGTTTATGACGAGGGAGCGTAGTACAAGAGGGGTGGGATTTTCAGTGACATGCAACTCCAAGTGCAGGCGGCTGTTGTCGATGATACGGATATGAGGGAGGAGTTGTTGTTGATCGAGGTAGTGGTTCCACTGACTAGTACGAAAGTTCTCCTTGACGGCTGGCGTGGACGAAAGGCACAAGGTGGGCGGGACTTGGAGCGTATGTGGAGCCAATCCTACCCCGTTGCCATTGCCATTGCCATTCATTCCGAGAGCATGCCCATTAGAAATGGATGTGGGTTTGGCGTCTAAGCTAGAGCCAGGGACCTTGGTGAGCATTATTCTTGTCCGCATTGTAGATGTGCCCTGCTTGTTTGTTATCATGATGCCGTATTTAACGGTATATTCAAGATAAGTGAGGGTCGGATAGACCATCTTGTCTGGAATGGGAACATCCAGCGAGAACGTCCAATGACCTTTGCCGTTCTCGACAAGGTCAGTGGTGGCTTCTTTGGAATAGGACGCGTAGGTGTATATCTCATTGATTTGTTCGGGCGGAAAGATGATTGGGGTCGGAGCAAATGTAGGCGGAGGTGTGGATAATACTGCCAAAGCCATATGTTCAATACTAATGTGTGATGATTCTCGAAGGAGTCTTAAAATGATGTACGTGAAAGACGGGGTTTTATAGTAACTCTCAAAAGAAGGCAATGCATCCGAAAAAATTGAAACATGGCTCACCTGACCGGTACAAGGATTTATTATCTGAGTTCTGGGGGCTGGGTAGTAGTAGGTAGTAGCCTGGTTATATTTTGACTCAGCCATATGCATTCGCGGTTCTCGGTTCTGCCTGGAGTGTTCTTATCGCATACACGATGATTGCAGGCCGCAGGGGCTCTTTGACACATCGTAAAAAGAATCCCAGACCTGCATCTGGTATTGCAAGCTGACGAGTGTTTCTGGAAAACATGACTATATTAATAACTCGACGATACGCCGGGTACGGCAGGGGCACAGAAGCCGAAGACGCTATGTATTACCGGGAACATGATTTCAGGAATTCCTGTGCATGCACATGATGCATGATGAACCAGCTGATTGTATCAGAGTGCTGTCATTGTCTTTATCTTCGGGAAGGTCATCAGAAGAATGGGAACCGCTGCCCAATGCAGGTGTCAATCTTGACCTGATTTAGGTGTGTCACTCGGCCCAGACTTGCTTCCGATACCGTGACATGAGTCTATCATCCCCTGTTAATCGTCTGACAGTCCTCGGATCTCCGAGATTGCTTCAGGGACAAGCGTCAGACAACAAATAAATCAGACATATGCGTATGTTATTATTGAGTGGGCATTTTGTTTTCACATACTAACATGAACCAGTAAGAAACTCACTAGCACCGGAACGAAGTCTTGAAAGTCCTCGCTGAAGAGATGGTCATATGACCCGCGCAGGGGCTGCAATGAGTTAGTCATCCAGTGCCTCTGCATCAGCTGGTATGATGCTATGAGAGACGTTGTAGCGTGCGAGGAATCTGCTATAGTAGTGTGAACGTGTTTTAACGATGTCTACGCTGACATCTATAAGAAAGACTGCGGGTACCTCGCATATAGTTGACTTCAAGCTCCGCTATGTACGTTCCGAATGCCAGTGGGTCTGTTTCAGAAAAAGGGGAACTGATGCCAACTTACGGAATCTTGATTGTTTGAAATAACAGCGCTGTCGGCGTCGGGCAGGGAAGTTTCGCGGCACTCGTCATGTGGAGAATTGCAAATGGTTTTTACAGATCTACAGATAAACTCTGCGCGTGTGCTGTGCCCGGGAAGACCTGCAAATCATTGCCGGTGTGCCATATGGGGGGAGGACTAGCGTGCGCCTCTCACAAAGTTCGACTTCTTCGATAGAAGATCTGTCACAACGGAGATAATCATCTACCCCGGGGCTTTGAGAATGACAGGTCATTCATCGCTTGGATCATCAGGTGCCCACTGTGGCATCGAGCGTGACATCGTTCCAACAGACACCCTTTGAAGCCCTTATCATTGCACCTCTGGATCTGATTTTCTGACAGGTCACAGGTAGGGATGCATGCACATGGCGGTACTTGATTGGATATACGGTTATGAGAAAATATGATTCGAATATAAGCAGTTTCCGCGGTAGGCGTTTCTGGATTACCCGCCATAGGATAAGTAAGGCTTAAAGTCTAGATGATCGCTATGGCAGGACTAATAGTGACCTGACCGGAAGATTGCGAAAGCCACATATTTAAACGCATAAATATCCTGTAAGCCCCAAGTCAAGTGCCGCACGATCGATATACACCACCTCACCTCGACAGCCTGAACGTTGTGCAGGCCCCTCCATTCATGTGCATGAACTCTACCATCCTTCCATATTATCCCAAGTCAATCGACCGCTATTCATCAATCTCTGCTAGCGGACGATCCGTTGCTAGTGCAGAAGGGACAAGTGAGCTGGCAGCCTCCTGTCGCTCACGTCCAGCAATCTGTGCGTGCGCACCCAGCCCTCAGTACTGTGATTGGTCAGTCCTTGGGTGCGGATGGAGCGTATTGCGAACCCACCATAGATCTCCCAGCATTCGCTCAATACTCCGTAAGTCCCCAATCACCCTACATTGCATGATCTCATTCCCAATCATCCCGCCATCTACCGATATCATTCAGGCATCAGCCACCTTTCCACCAGAGGACACAACTCTGGTTCATACCCATGCGGCATATTCAAACCAGCGCTTTACCGAGCTTATCAGCCATAATTGCGGGAACTGGACATTCGCATTGGATGTCCCTACCCCAGACGATATGATCAACCCAACGCTCACGTCATTATCGTATACGGCCAAATATAGCACAGCAAATGATCACCTGCCTTGCACCGTTCGGTCCAATATTCTACTCGCCAAAATAGAATCGGAGGGGCCGGAAGAATCGATTATCAGCGATAGCGATGATATAAGCGACACATCGCAGACTGGCGAGGGTGCTACCGCTGTGTGCCTTTCGTCTGTGCTAGGCATCAAAGCTAATGACTTGGAGAACCAGTGGAACCACTTTGTAGATCGTCAACATATTCCTCTTAATGTCCGCATTGTCCAGAGCAGCCGTCTGTACTTGCAGGTCCACATCTCGGAGTATCCTACCGAGGCTACGCTTCGCTCTCTTTTGATGGATGTCTCTGCTACTTGGCTAGATGACCATGAAGGGAGGCGTCTGCTTCAGAAACGTCAAGAAGCTAAGATACGAGCAGCTGTCGCGGAAGCAAAGGCGGCTGATGAGGAAGAAGCCAGGAAGGAAGCAGAGACAAAGCTGGCGGCTGATGTGCGGGCCAAAGAAGAAGCTGAGACGAAGCAGCATGCAGCTGAGGCACAATCAGCGGCAGATGCAACGGCTCGACAGAAGGCAGAAGATGAAGCCAAACAAGCCGACACAGAAAGAAAAGCCGCCGAAGAAAAAGCGGAGAGAGACAAGTTGGCAGGGCCGCGGATGAAAAGATGCAGGCAACTATCGAACAAGCGCTCGCTCGTCTTCCAGCGGATCGCAAATGTCCTAACGGATATGCTTGGACCCAAACTGAGAGTGGTTTCAAGTGTGGTGGCGGTGGGCATAGCATTTCTTGGGAGGAATTGGATAAATTATCTGGCTCGAAATAGGACGCTTGCCAAAACCAAGCCACTCACCTCTACATCACTATCGATGTTTTACCCATTTCTTTTGAGTGATCACATCTGCACGTTCTTCTCTCGTTCTCTGAGTCCCGCTAACCAGTTAACCTCCGAAACCAATCCGAAACTTGCTCGTTGTCTTCCTACAAATGTAACTGTACTTTCATAATAAGGAAATTTGGTGACAAATAAAGATACAGGAGGGTTTTCCTGATAGACAACTTGTCAATGTCAATGTCAAAAACAAAGAACGAGTCGGGACGCCATTAAAGTTGAACCGGTAGTGCTGCCGCGGTCCGGTCCAGAACCGTGGTTCGAACCTGACCGAATTGAGGTATGGTTCTCGGTCCATTTGGTCTGGGTTCAACAACGTTGGTTCTCCATTGGTTCTTGAACCGTTCTGATTCCTCTGAACGGTTCCGAACCTCACCCCCTTATTCCCGGTAATACTCACTGTATTCCTCTCCCACTATCTATGATATCGGGCTATCTACTATAACACCTCGATGACGACATATCTGATGAATACATATCAGAAATGTTAATACACTATAAACTGGGATATAAATCAAACAATAAAGATAGTGCAAAAAAAACAAGATAACAAGGGATCATGATATATAGGTCTTTCAAACTTCGGGACTGTCGCTATTCTGCGAGAACTTGATCTTCTTCCTGGGGCTAGGGGTGGAAATAACGACTTCGGCGATGAACTTGCGCTTCTTGGGCGAACATGGGGGAGTTGATGGTTCGATCATAGTAGCTGCAGGCATACGACTCGGTGTTGGAGTGTATGCGGAGGATCGTGAACGAGTAGAATATCTAGAGGAAGTTCCTTCGTCTTGGACGTCGTCCATGCGCGCGGGGATTGGTACAACGGGCAGAGCATCAGCGTCGTCCTCAGATTCGCACATGCGCTCCACCTCCTCTTCTTCGGAGTCGGATTCGATAGTATCCTTGGCTTTGCCTCGCCGCTTCTTGGTGCTTCCCTTCGACTTCCCCTTCTTCCCTGTCTTGTGCTCATCCCCTTTACCCTGCTCGTAAACTGAACACAACTCTACTGCTGCTCCAGCTCGGAGAAGGACGTCGATCCAGAGCTGTAGCATTTATGAAAGTTAGATTAGATACGTGCAAAGAAGCTCTGACAATGACCTTCTGATTTTCCTGAAGAGTATCACCTGGGCCCTTAACCTCAATGAACTTGCATTTTCCTGTATCCGCATTCCACACAAAGAGATCTGGCCCGCCGGAGCGGCGCCCAGCATAGTCTTCACAAAGAAGGTGGCATATCATAGACAGCGCTGTCCCGCCAAGACACTACAGCTGCGTCAGTTACCGGCCTGCTCAGAATGGAATTCGCACTCACACGAACTATCTCTACGATCTCCCCTTCCTCCACTAACTCCCAATCTACACCTACGCACCACGTCTTGCGCGCTCTATGCTCTGCTTCCACTCGGTTCACAATTTCCTCTCCTTGTCCATCCTCGAGTTCCTTGAGCCTTATTTCGATGGGATCTCGTCGAGCATGATAAAATGAGTCTTCCGCCATATCCAACGGTGCAGTCTGGAAAGGGGTCTCAAAGGCACCGGGGATGGGGAGGAAGATGATATCCCAGAAGAGGATACCAAAGAGGGTAGTGATAATTCTAGTTTCTGAGTGTATGCTACGGAATCGAGTGATCGTGAGGGTGGAAGGCAAGAAAGGCGAGAGATAGACATACCCTTTGAACCCCTGGTCCTCGTACCATTGTAGCGCGAGTGTCTCGACATTCACTTCTAGGTTATCTCGTCCGACCCAGATGGACTTTCCTTTCTCTTCTTTCCGTTCCCTGGTCTAGGAACAGGTCAATATTTGGTTTCTCATCCAGAATCCGAGAGCTCACTTCGGCTTTGATCGAGACAGGCGTCGCATCCACTTTTGTAATGCCAGGTTTTTTTGGCGACAAAAATTTAGTGATGTCTCCTGCTGGTGTGATAGAAACTTTTTGTTTGGCGGTGTCGTTGATTTTCCTCCCAGAACGATCGAGTTTTAAACTCGCTGCACGGTGGCGCACACGCACTCCTTCAAAGGAGACCAACACAGGGGGTTGGAGGCTCCATTCACTCGTATGTCGGTCTGCAGGATCAAGTTTGAGCTTTTTCTCAAGGGCTGTCAAGCGACGGTCAAGTTTGGGACGAAAGACTATCCAGTGATCAGTTAGGATGCAACAGCTAGCTTCCAGATCCCAACCCACCAATATGCGTATCATCGTCTTCTAGAGCATCAAGACACGCCGAAAGCGCGTCATCATTTCTGGCTACATATCTCTCTAGGATCAGCGCCCGGCGCTCGTGCCACCTACCACGTCGTCCACGACGCCACCGATTCTGCGCAAGCAGGGACTCGAGAACACTGAGTTCATATTCGTATTCATCGAGGATACCGAGCGCATGCGCGCCTTTACAAACGAGGCGGGTTAGGACGTGCCCTACAAAAATGTTAACCAAGTAGGTACATGTAGTGGATGAAATATACATACCGCTCTCAAATCTCTCCAATCCATACCCCCTCTCTTTCCCCTCAAGACCACCTTCACTCTTCATCTTCACCAGAGCTTGCCAGTGCGGGTACACCTCCTCGAAGATCTCCTTAACTAGTCGCGCCCCACGCACACGCACAGAATCTAATTTTTCAGTCTTGACAGACACACCAGATCTAGATTGCGGCTTGCCCTTGCCATTTGAAGCAGGCGTTGTAAAGGTATTTGACACAGGGGTCTGCACAATCTTCGTAGAAGTCAGTGTTTGCGGTGTTCCAGGTGCAGCAGTGGGCGTGACTGGTGTCTTGAATCGAAGTTCATCTGCAGCTGGTGTCTTGAATTCCCTCTCGGCTCCCACTGCTGCAAAGTTCCCGGCGAACACAGCATCTACAATTTCTTCTTGCTCAAGCGCTTGTTCATAAGCGAGAAGAGCATCACGTGTAGGCCAGATGTCCTTCGTACGTATGCAGGCTATGCTTGCGTAGGAACGCTTCTTAAACCGCGAAAGCAGGGCGGGCAGAAGAAGACTCTGGGAGGATTGAGTCCTACATTATGAGTTAGATTGTGGTGTAGGGATAAAACGAAAAGGCACAAGAAAGTGCAGAGGGAGAAGAGGAGACGCACAGCCTGAAATAAATTATGTTTGCCCGCCGCACTAATCGGTGAAAGTTCTCATGTACACGCACGCACTTGCCGAGTGTGCCGAGAACAATATCGCGCAGTCGTTTCTGGGCTGTCTCGCGACCGAAAGGGAGGTTAGTTTGTCGGAAAATGGCTGTTGATGTGAAAGTTGTAGAAATTTTGGATGTCGATCGAATCTTGGACGTCGTCGTAGCACAGGCGAATGATGATACTAGTGTTGACTGAGTGCAGGAACCTCTTAGAAGGGCATGTATCATTTCGGGCTGTATTTGCGGAGATTCAGAAGATCAGGACTAGATGTGACAAGGACTACGAGGACGTACTTTTGAACTAGCTTTGACACGCATCTGCTTTGCGATGCAACGTAGTTCGTCGACTCTGAGGCACTCAAGGAGGGCAGGAAGATCCATTTGAGACTCGTCTTCTGCTAGGATGCCTACGGGCTCTGAGAGTGTTTCAATATAGTTCATAAGCTTGGTGTCAGCCATAGGAAGGTCTTCAAGTTTTATAGAAGAGGGACCAGCAACAGCATTTGCGGCAGAGAGCGTTGCACCTAGGGGTATTGGGACTTCCTCAGTCTTGATAGTGGAGGGTGGTGGTGGTGCGGGTTGATGCAAGTGCGGTGTAGGTATTTCCTGAGGTTGAGGAATGTGTGAAGGCAGGTAAGGTGGTGAGTAGACATCATCCGTGAGGTCTATTATTTCCCTCTCTACGCCCATGTCGGTGGCCCCTTCGTCTATAGCGTCTACTTTTATTTGACCTGGTACAAAGCATATCTCGTCGATAGCTTGAATAAGCCCTTCTTTGCTGCCTATTTCAGCTTCATATTTGAGCGAGTCTAGACGGTGCCATGCATTGGGTTTTCGCAGGAGAAGCTTCGTCGTAAGAAACTTTGCGCTTGCTATTTGTCACTGAGTTGAGCTCATAAAGTATGAAAAGTAAACATACGCGAAAGTCTGTCGTATCTCTGGAAGCAATCGAGTTCTGAAAGGTCGAATAAATGTCCCTCAGTCTCTACCAAAGTCTTGAGCATGTCTGAGTTTGCTCGTCATTAAGATGCTTGATAATATGACATTGATACACGACACACCTTCAAAAAGTTGGACATATATATTGACGGCCTCCTTGTCAGATGCATCTCCTGTCTCCTGATCGTAGTTCAAGTTGGAGAGTTCTGCCAGGTGGTCGCCTTCGCATATTTGAGTTTCGTATGAGTAGCCGCTTCCAACATCGCCACCGGAAAATATGAGCGTACTAACTGAGGCCGCTTTTGGTGAACTTGGGCTCATCGTTGATCTTGATGCTGAACGTGTCTTGAGCGTGTCTTGAGCGTGTCTCACAGAGGTATCGCGATCACGTGGGTTTCATTTGCCTTAGTGCGTTCGAACTTCAAGTTAAGTTGATACTCCATTGGCCATAGTACTTGTACCATGACCACCTGACGACTCCAAGCATGTTGACGTTGATCGACGCGCTCTACGTCTTCCGCTATGACCAGGAACACACCGGATGTTCAGCGCCACTCCCGTTCCTCGTTACCCATTCAATTTCAAGCGTCAAGTTAGGAACAAGACTATCACTTCGTACAAATCGGAAACTTCAAGGTTTCAACATTAATATTGTCAACAGTCGCGCAGTATCCTTCAAATTTGTATTTGATTTCCTTCAATCCAAAAACAAGTTTGAAGGAGATGCATTTCCACGAGGCTCATCTGATCATTCGGATTCTCGAATTTCTGCGGTAGACCTCCCCTCAGACCATGGAGACCACTACTTTTCATTTCTGTTGTTCTAGACCCCCGACCGAAATCTCTCTTAGCCCACGTACCAAACGAAATCAGTTCTTTTGTCCGGTGTCACTACCAAAAATTTCTTCCCCCCCAGAAATGCCACAGTAGATCTGCGCCCAAACACATCCTTTCCTTGCTTCAAAGCATATAGGATCTTCTTGTTTGGCGGTCGCCTTTGTCAGAATCAACCGTTACTGTAAGTGGCAGGCTTGTGGTTCATATGTCCCGCTTACCGTCATTTCAAGATCTGCAACATCCATTATGACTTGAGCCAGGTGTTTGACTTGCAACTTGGAGGCCACGGCCTACAACACGGTCCTCGGGCCCTATCTCCTTATCGTCGTTCGCCGCAACGCGAAGTTCAAGAGCTACCAGAGCCGAATATGCACTAATGCTAATTCCTTGACTCAGAAGGCGCATGCTGACAATTACCACAGTGGACATTGCAAATGTGGGTGATCCGTCTCGGGAGTTCAAGGGAAAGATCGTCAGATTGATCAACATCAAAACCAGCAGATATGTACAACCAAAGGTAGTAAGCAGTGGAGGTTTGCGCCGAAGTACTATTTTAACATCGATACCAGGGCGAACACTGACATGTTATCTGGGTTGCTTTGTCCTGCTGACATCATCAGACAGTACTCGTACTAGATAATTGGACTGAGGGCCACACTTCGACAAACCACTCGTGCGCGCGCAGTATTCAAACCCCTGATGGAGAATTCGCCTGTGTCCTTCTCTACCGCACAGATTACTCCAATATGCACTCACCACATACCAGAAGCCTAAGTACTCACGCTTCGCATTTACAGGTCCAACTCGAACCCGTTGATGACAAAGACCCTACGTAGCCTCGGGGATTTCCCCCCATCTAAATGAAACAGTGGGGCAACGGTTCGAGTTGGCGAATGACGTACTGTGTTGTTGGGGTGGCGTCTCGAGGGAATGGATAGTTAACAGCTCAATGTAGTACCGAGTTCTTGATCGTATGTAGGCGGTTACTAAAATTTATCGGTCGTGCAAACACAATGTTAATGTCTCCATCATGCACTGGATCGTCATACTTGGTCAATTGGCTTAGCTCCGCCATAAGAATATTTCCAATCCAAGACTATCCCTCAGGCCTCCCTGTGGAGAGTGAAACTAAAGAACAAGTCTCAGCGTCGTGGACAGAACCGCTGAGGTAACGAGAGATAACGAGATTATAAGTTACAGTATATAGGTCAAGATGCCAAAGACAGCAATAGAACTCTGTGTCGATGTTGGACACTCCCTAGGCCTCAGGCCTCAGGCTCAAATTGCATTTCTAGAATTCTATGACAAATATGTCACAGCCCGACTTGTGACCCACTTGAACCTACAACACTACTGTCCGCTTCCACCGAGTGCCTCACTCCTCGGGACAGTCAAATAGTTCACAAACACGATAGTGAGCAGCGACCGCAGTCTGAATGTCACTTGTCAGGGCGCTGCGAACAATATTTTCCCCACAAGTGTAGCAAAAGTGAGTGTTGCAGGCCGGGGAGATGCACTACGACAGCATATACGTTAGGACGGTGTGCTTGTCAAGAAATAGATCACGCACGGTCATATGGCTGCATCCCCCGTCTCTCTGGACTGGAGTTTTGCAGTCTCCAAATGACCATAAGTAAATAGCAAATAACCGACAGGAAGAGCACATACTCGGGCAATACTTCCACCCTTGCTGCTTCATTAAATCGTCCAGTTCCGAGGTTCCGTCACAAGAATGGGGAGGACCGTCGATTATAAAAGATTGCTGGCATGCTTTGCACCAAATATGATCACAATCGGGTAGAGGACAAATCAGCATGCGAGATTCGTCATGCTCCTGTCTGTCTACCGGCACCGAACGCTGACATCTAAAATAACATGGTTGACGCGCTGGAAGGTAGCACAGGCGACACACTCACTTGCGGCAGTGAAGAAGAACTGAAAGCTGACTTAGTTCCATTTCTTCCCAAATCGCATATTGCCTCTCATCGACACCAATTTGCTGCACGAGGAGTCCCGAGATCGCTAAGGAGGGTGAGTTAATAATAGGTGCTACACAGGATGTACTAACCTGCAGGCTGACGGTTATTCTCTGCTGTCATGCAAACGGGACACAGGACTGGAAAACGATGTTCTTCGATCTTGGAGGAAATATGTCCTCGGATACAGGTTCTGCATATCGAGTGATCACATTCAAGATCCACACTGTTGTCCGCAGGTTGTTCTTCCATGCATATTAAGCACGAAAAGTTGTGTGGGAGTGAGGCAGCCAGAGTTTGCATCTGATCTCGAAGTTGCAAATCTTCCATGTCGTAACATTGCTGCAACTCGAGGGCCGCAGCTAAATTCAGGCTGTCAAGCCCCCACTCGTGTCCTAGGCCTTCATCAACTGTATCATAAAGTGATGACCATGCATCTGCATCGCGATCGCGAGCGTTGTTCAGTATTTTGTCGGATGACGAGGACGAGTTGAGCGGAGACAATCGCGATGGTCCAGCTATTCCGTTTGAGGGCCGTGAATGGAGGGGCTGCGAAGTGAAGCGCTGTTCATTGGCCTTTGACTGAACGCCTTTTGATTTTGTGTTGCCCATTGATGAAAACAGACGCTCGACTGATGTGCAGTTTGGGACGAAGCTCAACGCAAGCTGCCATGAGGTACCCGCTCGGGAAAAAGTGAAGTTGACGTGAGGCCGCCCTAAGCTCAAATAAGGCCCTCTGCCCTCCCATGGAAATTTCCCATGCCCTAGGGGCATGTCAAATATGGTAATTTTTGCGCGGATGAGCGACAAACATGTATTGCCGAACATCCTAGTCGATATCGATGCGTACAGACAAGCCTGAGCATATACGACTTTTAGACTTGAAAAAGTCATCAAGTTAGGAAGGTCTAGTGTTCGAACTTAAGTTGATACTCCGCGTTTGCAATTGGCCGCAGTACTTGTCTCGACGGATCCAAGCATGTTATGTAATTTCAAATTTTCGACCGATGAGGCTCTTCCACTACGACCAGAACACACCAGACGTTCAGTGCGTTATCCATCCAAGCCCGATTCAATGTCCAATGCTTGTGTCAAGCACCTTATCGTGCCCTGTCAGTACTTGCTACTAGAACGCCAGGAACAAGACTGCCACTTCGTACAAATCGGAAACTTCTAGGTTTCAACACTGTCAACAGACATCGCGCGGCATCCTTCAGTATTCAATATTCAATCTTGTTTTATATTTGAATCAAACCGAAAACAAGTTTGAAGGAGATGATATTTCCACGGGGCCCATCTGATCATTCGGATTCTCGAATTTCTGGTTCATGGTAGACCTACGCTTAGACTCCACGGAGACTGCTACTTTTCATTCCTGCCGTTCTAGACCCCCGACCGAGATCTCTCTTAGCTCACGTACCAAACGAATTCAGTTCTCTTGTCCGGTTTCTCGCAAGGATGGCTCACTGCCACAATTCTCTTCCCCCCAGAAATGCCACAGTAGATCTGCGCCCAAACACATCCTTTCTGGGCAATCCCTTGCTTCAAAGCATTCAGGATCTTCTTGTTTGGCGGTCATATTTGTTAGAATCAACTGTCAATCGAAGTTACTCTAAGTGACGGGCTTGTAGCTCATCCATCCCGCTTACCGTCATTTAAAGATCTGTGACGTCCATTCAGGTGTTTGACCAACTTGGAGGCTACAACACAGTCCTCCCTATCTGCTTATCGTCGGTCGCCGCAACGTGAAGTTCAAGAGCTACCAGCGCCAAATATGCATTGACGCTAATTCATTGACTCAGAAGGCGCATGCTAATAATCACCCCAGTGGACATTGCAAATGTGGGTGATCTGTCCCCGGAGTTCAAAGGCGGGATTATCAGATTAATCAACATCAAAACCGGCACATCAACCAACGAGTAAGTAGTGGAGGTTTACTCAGGTCGAACACATCATCGGCGCCCCCCTGTCGCAGATTGGTCACCTTGTCGTACCGACACCATTACACAATACTCGTAAGTAATCGGACTGAAGGCTGCATTCCATTATTGTACAAGTCACTTCGTGTGCATGCAGGATGCAAGCCCCTGATGGAGAGTTTGCCTCAGGCTGTGGCTTTCTCCGCCACACACATTGGACTCCGGTTGGTCCACCACGCGCATCAGGAGGCGGCATCTTGGTCGCATCTCCGCATACGAGGCGTCATTAATCATCATTAATCACTAGTGAGCTCGGTAACACTCACTGAGATGTACTCGAGTCACTGAAACTTTAACTTTGCCTCAACGGTAAGACAGACTCGTCGTCTGAAGTTGGTGCCCAGTTTAGCTTCTCCGTAAGTGTAATATTCCAATCTAAGACTGTCCCTCAGGCCTCCCTGTGGAAAGCGAAACTAAAGAACAAGTCCCAGCGTCGTGGGGTGAACCGCTAATATTGATAGTACCTAAAGAACAAGTCTAGACGAAATACAGCGAGGAAGAGCTCAGCGTGCAAACTAAATATGAAACATACTCGGCGTCGTGGAGAGAACCGCTGGGGTATAAACGACGAGAGACAACGAGATTATAAGTTACAGTATAGCGACCAAGATGCCAAAGACAGAAATAGAACTCTGTCGATGTTGGACACTCCCTAGGCCCCAGGCCCAGGCTCAAATTGTATTTCTGGGATTCTATGACAAAGATGTTACAGCCCGACTTGTGACTCACTTGAACCTACAACGCTCCTGTCCGCTACCGCCGAGCCCCTCACTCCTCGGGAGAATCAAACAGTTTGCAAACACGATAGTGAGCAGTGACCGCAGTCTGAATGTCGCTTGTCAGGGCGCTGCGAACAATATTTTCCCCACAAGTGTAGCAAAAGTGAGTGTTGCAGGCCGGGGAGATGCACTACGACAGTATATACGTTAGAACGGTGTGCTTGTCAAGAAGTATATCCGAACATACGGTCATATGAGTGCATCCCCCGTCTCTCTGGACCGGGGTTTTGCAGTCTGCCAATGACAATGAGTAATAGCGAATAACCAATAGGAAGAGCACATACTCGGGCAATACCTCCACCCACGCTGCTTCATTAATTTGTCCAGTTCCGAGGTTCCGTCACAAGAATGGGGAGGACCGTCAATTATAAGAGCTATCTGGCATGCTTTGCACCACATATGGTCACAATCGGGTAGAGGACAATCTAGCACGCGAGATTCGTCATGCTCCTGTTTGTCTACCAGCACCGAACGCTGACATCTAAAATGACATGGTTGACGCACTGAAAGGTAACACAGGCGAGACACTCACTTGCGGCAGTGAAGGAGAACTGAAAGCTGACTTAGTTCCATTTCTTCCCAAATCGCATATTGCCGTTCATCGACACCAATTTGCTGCACAAGGAGTCCCGAGATCGCTAAGTAGGGTGAGTTAATAATAGGTGCTACAGCGGATGTACTAACCTGCAGGTTGACGGTTAGTCTTTTCTGTCATGCAAACGGGACACAGGACTGGAAAACAATGTTCTTCGATCTTGGAGAAAATATGTCCTCGGATACAAGTTCTGCATATCGAGTGATTACATTCAAGATCCACAATATAGTCCACAAGTTGTTCTTCCATGCATATTGCGCAACAAAATCTGCGTGGGAGTGAGGCAGCCAGAGTTTGCATCTGTTCTCGAAGTTGCAAATCTTCCATGTTGAAATATTGCTGCAACTCGAGGGCCACAGCTAAACTCGGGCTGTCAGACCCCCACCCATATCCGACGTCTGTATCATAGAGTGATGACCATGCGTCTGCATCGTGACCGCAATCGTTGTTCATTATTTTGTCGGATGACGAGGACGAGCTCAGGCTGAGCGCCGGAGCGAACCGCGATGGTCCAGCTATTGCGTTTGATCGCCGTGAAGGGGGAAGCTGTGAAGTGAATTTTCTGCTGCTCTGCACGACCTTGGAGGACGCCTCTGACCGAGCAACTTTTGATTTTGTATCATAGAGTGATGACCATGCGTCTGCATCGTGACCGTAATCGTTGTTCATTATTTCGTCGGATGACGAAGACGAGCTCAGGCTGAGCGCCGGAGCCACCCGCGATGGTCCAGCTATTGAGTTTGATGGCCGTGAAGGGGGGGGCTGTGAAGTGAATTTTCTGCTGCTCTGCACGATCTTGGAGGACGCCTCTGACCGAACAATTTTTGATTTTGTGTTGCCCATTGAGGGAAACAGGCGCTCGACTGATGTGGAGTTTAGGACAAAGCTCAACACAAGTTGCGCCGCAAGCTGCACAAGTGGATTTTCAGAGTCGAGTAAGCCCCACATACAGAGAGGGTCACAGGAACCAGGTCCCGAGAGACAGCGAGAGACTCGCAGATAATCAGAGAGATCGAAAGTTGGGTGACCCCAATTAACCCAATTACTTAATTCCTAGAACATTAACCCTACTAACCCTCCCAAAATCGCAGATACATTTAACTAACCTCTTAACCGGTGGAAGGGTGACCACTGACGAATGGCCGACGGAGTCGAACAAAGCAGAAAGCAAACGCAGATGGAATAGGGTGAAGACTGACTACTTACATGCGCTAGGTACAATGTACATATACCTCGGTCCTCGTTGACTCCTCAAGGCCCGGTCAAAACCCCTGGCACCCCTTGCAGACCTAAGACCCCTGGCCAAACCTCCCTGGTTATAACCGGGTCAGTAACAAGTTGAACAATAACTGACGAGGACTGCTACTTTTCATTTCTGTCATTCTAGACCCCCGACCACAGATCTTTCTTAGTTCGTGTACTAAACGAAATCAGTTCTTTTGCCCGGTGTCTCGCAAGGATGACTCCGAGTCATTGCCAAAGACTTTCTTCGCCCAGGCCCCAAACACATCCTTTCAAGTCAATCCCCTGCTTCAAAGCATATAAGGTCCTCTTGTTTAGCGGTCGTCTTTGTTACAATCGACCGTCAATCAAATTTGCCCTAAGTGGCAGGTTTGTAGCTCATCTTTTCATGTCCGTGTCCCGCTTACCGGTAATTACAATATCTGCAGCGTTCATTGTGTCTCGAATCAGGTGTTTGACTTACAAGTTGTAGGTCATGACCCAGTCCTCCCTATCGCCGGTCGCCGCAACGCGAAGTTCAAGAGTTACTAGAGTCGAATATTCGTTAATGGCATTCAGAGGGCGCAGGGTAACAATTACCACGGTGGACATTGCAAAATTTTAATGTGAGTGATCCGTCCCGATAGTTCAAGGGCAAGACCGTCAGATCGATCAACATTAAAACCAGCAGATATGCTCAACCAAAGGAGGAAACTCCGAGCATAGAAGTAGTGGAGGTTTGTACCAAAGTACTGTGTTGACATCGAATTCGAATATGCCAGGCCTGGTGATCATGAACACGTCAGTCGTCGGTACCCCCCGATTGGTTGCCTTGCCCTACCGACACTATTGGACAATACTCATTCCATTATTGTACGTGTGCATGCAGGGTGCAAACCCCTGATGAAGAGTTTGCCTGTGCCCTTCTCCACCGCACACATTGGACACCGGTATGCACTCCTCATGTTCCAGAAGACAAGTACTCACGCCGATTCGTATTCGCAGGTCCAGCTCGAGCCCGTTGGTGACAAGGACTCCACACAGCTCCGGGATACTTCCCCCCATCTAAATGAAACAGTGAGGCAACGGTTCGACTTGGCGAATGGCATCGTTAGAGAAGCTCGGTTGTGAGGTTTGGGTTGTTGGGGCCGTGTCTCCAGGGAATAGGTGTTAACAGGTCAACGTTACTGTAGTATCGAGTTCTTGATCGTATGTAGCCTAGTAGGCAGTTATTAAAATCCATCGGTCGTGTAAATAGGATGTCAACTTTTTCTTCATCATGCGCTGGATCACATGGCGCACTGTACACAGTTAACTAATTCCTCTAGACGTACAGAACCCGATTGGAGAGAAGCGGGGCACCGGAAAGGATTATACAACATTCTACTGGCTACACTAGTGTATTGCAAAAGGGTCGAAATCATACAAACCAATACACCGGTCCATCTCCCAAAATAACCTGAGGGATGCTCAGTACCCTCTCCTCAGCCTATCGTTTTCTTCCCGCAACCTCTCATTCTCCTCCCTCAACTTTTTCACCTCCCCGCCCCACTCCTCCATCTCCTGCCGAAGCCCGCGCCCCATTCGCAGCATGTCAACATGCAGCGCTTTCATGTCTGCGTGGTTCTTGGCTTGCATATCCGCAATGAGCCCCTGGAAGAGCTCGTATGCACCGCTTGCGCCAGATTGCATAGATAAGGGGCCAGAGGTTCGCCGAAGTGGTGATGGAACATGGGTCTGTGCCGCGGGGCGGCGAGGGGAAACTTGCATCAAGAGCTCGCGCTCACGGGCTATTTGCGCCCCTTCTTCGTCTTCTTCCACGGCGTCTAGCTCCTCGCACTTGCCAGCATCTTCCGCATCCATATCGACCTCTTTTTCTTTCCCTTTGTTCTTGCTTCCCCTGGACTTTGCGGTACCGATAACACCAAGACCTGTGCTCCCCGTCTCTGTCCTCGTCCTCCCTACACTTGTTCTTACCCTTGGTTTCTGGGCTTCAACAGCTACTCCTGCTGTCTGTCTCTTCATGTCGGAGACGGGGGTTACGGGGTCTATTGGCAAATCCGGAGACGATAAATCTGTGCGTGCATCCTGGTCTTCATTGGTAGGTGTCTTTGAGCGAGTGCTGTCCCTTGTCTTCGATGAAGAGATCGATATTGTCGATGGGGCACGCTTTAACGAAGACCCTTTGGTTTTCGTGCCAACACTTGAGTTCGACGACGTCCGTGTAATATCGGAACGAGCAGACGATCCGGAAGCAACCCTAGTCTCTCGCGATTTATCTGTGCGCAATGAGGCCAGTCTAGCGGAGATCGACTCGCCAGGGTGAGCATGAATACCCGATACCCCTGATTTTTGGGACGCTGCGGCGCGTGCACTCGATCGCATTGAGGTGCCACTTGCATCATCAAAGATGTTTTCCCGCGATGTAGACACCCTGGTGCGCAGCACGCCAGTTGCTAGTTTTTGAGACGCATGTTAGCGGCCCTTACATATATTGCGCATAAAAAGTAACTCACCAGAACTGTTGGTGCCTCTGCCACTACGCGGTGATATAGGATTCCTCGATGGCGAGAAAGTACCTCTGTTTGAGACGCGCCTAGTCGGCGTACTGGTCTCTAGAGCAGCCTGCTTCATAGGTGCCCCAGCGATGGATGATTTAATTGACGATATCCCATTCTTTCTCGGTACGGCAGCTGTCACAGGTCGGAGGGGGGGAACGAACGTTTGAGGCTGCTTTGGCACGAGCACGTGCAGGAGGGGAGTTTGCTGGTGGATTGGAAAGACTTGGTTTAACAGCAGACGCAGAGGCTTTTAGTTTTTTCTGCTTTTCTCGTCAGATTTGGAATGCTAACGAATGGCGGCTAAAGATACGTACCTGAACAGCGAGACATACTACTCCTTGTCCAGCCTCGCCCACAGAAACTCTCTTCATCTCCTTGTCTAGTTCTCTGAGATTGAGAATCCTCAGTCCATCCCGCACACCGAGGTAGATAGCTGCACCTTCGGGTGAAAATACGATCGAGGTAATGAGCTGCGATGACAAGACTGTCTTAAATAACCTATGCCAAGGGAGTTAGCGCATAATGAGATGGAATGTGTGTATACGCACCCCTTATCCTTATCCAAATCAACAAGGCCGACGCTATCTGTGCTTGCAACAGCAACGAGCGTCTTGCTAAACGGGCTGCACGCGATGCCCACTACATCCCGTCCCATGGTAATAGGTTTCACAGGCGCAGAAGGATTTTCCACGTCATATACCAGCATATCACGGCCGAGACCAAGAAGCAGACGGGTTCGAACATGAGGATGGAATGTCATGGTGCTCACAGACCTCGGAGCACTGGTGGGAAGGGGGAGAGATGTATGTTTGGTAGGAGCGAGTAGATCGTGAATATGGACGCCCTTTGAAGAGGCGGAAGCGATGAGTGTACTGTCGTTTGACACAGCCAGCGCGGTAATCGTCGTTCCATGAGATTCGAACGTTTTGAACACTTTTGTTGATCCAGTTGCGTATTCCAGCACGATCACCTTCCCCCCGACGCCCAATACTACATTTCCTGACGGAGTTACTGCCATAGCATTTATCTCTCCTTCTTCCTTGGACTGCACGTATGTTGGCTCATCTAATCGGCTTTCCGAGATTATGAAGCGATCGATGTTAAAGGGAGAGGCAAGATAGAGAGATGAGTTATCGGGAGACCACGCTGATGCAAAATATTGAGATGGAAGAGGCTGGCTTATTGGAAGCAAAGATGGAGGATTCTTTAGGGTGACAGGAGAAGCCAGCGCGAGGGCTGTCGTGGTGACCAAGGCAAGCATGTTAGTCGCGTTGTAAAATTATCACTGGTTGATTCTCAAGGAGTAGTTGACAGTGAATGAAGGAGTGCAAACAAGTTGGATGATAAATACAGAGAATTGATTGAACGAGTTCCACAGGTGACAGCGCGCGACGAACAAGACGCGTCGGTCACGTGGTACAAAACTTACGGGACCGCGTGACCGTCAAGACGCGTCAGCCACATGATGGCATGATACGCAGAAAGTCTAATTAAGTATAACGGTCGTCAATCGACCTTGTTCTATTTATTCACCAGTGCATCCATGCATGCATCCCATCCCATCACCACTTACCTACGAATAGACCGGAATCATCACATCCTTCTTCGTCATCGCTTTTGTTTCTGCTTCCTTCGTTCCTGTCCACATCATTTGATCGTTCTTTCTTTGTACGACCACCCTTGTCGCTACACACGTCGATCGTGTTTTATGACAGGGAATTCGCATTTGTACTAATCAGCGTGTGCATAAACTAGAAGAAAGGTTGTGGATTATGCTCGTGTCACAATTGACTATGTCTGCCACGAGGTCGACTTAGGCGCCTGTGTTGGATCAATGATGTTATTGATGGGCCGAGGCCGAACCCCTCACTCGACTGTAGCAAGAATACCGAATACCGAAAGAATATTTCGAAGATCGCACTGCAGCCCGAAATCACGATGTACAGTTCTCCGATCTTTTGCGGCATTCAAATATTCCGCGTGAGTCACTGCTTCGCGATCTCATCGACAACTTTTACCTTGATCCCATCGGTACCCTTGGATGCACATTGCCTGTCTTTCTATTAGAATTCAAGCTGTAGCACTTACTTGGATCAGTCAGATATCATCCCTCAAATCTCATTTTGGCGATGTAAGCGCTGGATTGTGGTATATCAAGCACGAATGCGATCGTTATACATCCACAAGGTCCTCCCGTTCACTCACCCCCATCCTCTAATAGTATGGCTCTAGTCTCGAATGATCCCAGTTGGTGGCCATTCATCAATGCGGATATTATTTCCTGCTATTTTATAGGTTCGTGGAGAGTCAGCCGCATGGTGATAGTGACTGGCCTTCGCTGCCATTTCGCAGTTGTCGCCTCTGTCGGGGTAATGTACGATTGGGGTGAGCAAGATTAAACATGAAAAGACCACTGACATTATGGTATTTCTAGGACTTACGTTTGGACAAGAGGTAGGTTGACCTATTACTGGGGCAGCCCACTCGCTTAGAATTGTGTTATAGATTGAACTGATCTGGGTAAGCGGACTCCCACATCAAATGAACGACGTGAAAATACAACTTGTTCATGGCAGAGACAACGCTGGTCCCTAATGACCTTTCTCTATCTCAGTGTATGTACCCAGCGTTGCAATATTTATGCTTAGCAAGTCCAAGTTTTGCTGACTTCAAAATATCCTAGGTGCGCTATGCTGGAATAGGATACGTTGTGTACGTTTGGAAGTTTCAGCCATTGATGTTGCGCTCATTACCTGCTTCTCGCGATCAGGGTCAATATGTTGAGTATGTCTCCTCGCATGGACTCTATTTCTTTCTTCTGACGGGCGGCATACAGTCAGTTTACCAACTGTTTCGATGACAAATGCAGTGAGTATTCCACACTGATGCCTTCCGTCCTCGTCCAACAATTGAACTAACATATAGGGGTGAGTGAGATTCTCAAACAACTCTTTGGTTCAACATAACCACTCCCATAGTTGTGAGTTTCCTGTGATACTCCGAAGCTGATAACTAATATTGCTGGATTTGTCAGGCCGTATCATGTACGACGCACTCGATTTGACAGATGTGGTTTTAGATGCAATAATGGGCGGTGAGCTATGCACCTCCGTGATATTTACTTAACTAAAGCACCATGCAAGTCATCATGATCATTCGGTTACATGCTATGTATCAGCGATCCAGAAAGGTGCTGATATTTCTCATCGTCATCTTTGTGGCCATCAGAATCGCCATCGCAGTGATGAGCGTAATATTTGTGATGCAGGTTTCAGGGGGTAAGCTTTGATTATGTATGTAACGTTCAAGTGCATCAGGCTCATTGACAAATACCAGAAGAATTCATTCTCTCTGGCACCTATCATTGCTTGATTGGCTACGCGGGAGATTCCCTATTTCTGGTTTCCATGACTTGGATACTTGGGACTATATGGGAGGTCATTGCACTGTGCCTCGCGGCCTGGATTGCTGTGAAGCACTTCCGTGAACTACGACAACACTCAACAGGTGATATTATTGAGGACTGTTTCACGGTGTTAATGAAAACTCACGTGAGTTACTTTGCGAGGTGAGCTCATAGTGTGAATGTGGTTCTCTTGTTCTGCTGAAGTTTTGCACGTGCTAGTTTTGTGGTTATCTCTTGCTTCCGGACCAGTTCATTCTTTCTGACGGTATGTCGATCTGTCACCGACCTCTGTATGCAACCATGATTCATCATTTCTATAGAACCCATTTTCCCTGGACACTGAGATTTATCTTGGTTTCGCTCAGATATTCCATTTTGTGGAGCTATTTGTGCTGGGACCGCGCCTCATCCTCGGTGTTCGAGAATTTCACGCTGAGCTCGTGGCCAACTCTGATGAAGCAACCGCCATGACTTCAATTGCTTTTCAGGAGCACGTCCATGTGTCAACCAGCAGCAGTGTGTAGCGCAGGAGATGCTCGGTATAATCGATTTGCGGTAGGGGGGGTAGTGTGCAGGGAGCAGAAGAATTTGTTTTTTTATTTATTCCAGGTTTTGTCGTGGTACTTATTTAAGTTGCGAAGTAAATATAGGTCATACGAAAGCTTTTAGCGAACTATGAGTAGAGATCTCTCCCCCGACGCTGAGGTTTACGCACTCTATCTCAGTGGTACTATCAAGATCGTAGCAGCTGGTGGTCCAAAGTGCGTTCACTCCTAATACCATCGCTGAAAGATGGCTGTTTCCAGGACCTCGGTTTAAATGTAGAGCGAACTGGGTTAATAAGTTACTCATAAAATATAATGAGGATGAATTCGAGCGTCTTGTGGTTCCAAGGATCATAGGCATCGACGCTTGAACGTCCAAGTATAGCTCCGAGTCTGCAGAGTTAATCTAATAACAGACTCCTCCCTTGATATGAAAATTCGAAGTCCTCGACTCCTCGCAGTGTCTTGATCACCCGCAACGCTATGATGGCGGCGCCATACCTACTGGCAGGAGCTCAAGTGCTCATTTCACTCTCTCTTCCATCCGCAGGCGGCGTTATTTGTTAGTAGTGATGGGAACAAGAACGCGAGAATATTGGGGATGAGCGTGAAGACTCTTCAAACCTGGTATGGTTTTGCCAAAACTCGACCAGCCGAGCCGCAATCCGACCCATTTTCCCATGATGTCATCATCATCAATTTGTAATCACTTCCGCTTCCATGACCTCACAATGCATATGCTCTGAGCTCAGTACATAAAGTCAAACATTCAGGAATGCCTCCTACTGCAACTCATTTCCCCTCAAGCACCCAAAACGCCCCTACAACTCTGCCTCACAGATGATACCTGCCAACCACAAAACTTCGAATCACATAAAACCAGCACTCCTAGATTTATCACCAGAAGATAGCACTGAAAAAGGTCCAGAATCCACCAAATCATCTGCTGGGAAAGGGGAGGCGCCAGAAAACACAGCAGTAGATGACTCTACCTCCAGTATGTTCAATGAGAATTATGTGTTTAATTGACGATATTCTAATCGGGTTGAAGATGTATGGAGGGTATTGGATTATTTATCCAAACCACACAAGAATTACATGGTATGTCCTCTTGTTCGACGCTGTGCTTGTATACTTACTAAATGCCACAGGAATTCCACGGTGTGAGAGCGCGAGAATTCGGTTTAGTAGAACAAACATTGGACGAAACGGCCCAAGTATTAATCAAGCCCAGGCACGTCGTTAAGATTATCTAGCTGTATCAGGCAACTCTAAACTTGTCCAGGCTGACTTACGATCGCAACACTCGTATCCTCATCATTGACATACCTACTATTCTCCATGAAGCATCATTTGATGATGTGAGCGATTTCATTGGCGATTCTATCAAGGCTCTCCCGTATGATCGCACCATTATCTCCCCCAAGATTCATATGATGCAGTCGCTCGACACACCGGACGGAGTAGTAACTCCTGATATGACCATTTCCGTCACCGCTTTGGAGGGCCCAACGGAAGTCGTTCTGATCCCCTTCTTTGGGGAGTGCGCCCTCACAGAGACTGACGAACAAGTGTTTAGAAAGACGGAGAAAGTGATCTTAGCACATCCGGATACCATCTGCGTGATGGTTGTATTAGCACGCGAAGCTACAGACTACGACGCCCCCGGGAAAGATTCCACCGCATCAAAAGTCCTGCGTGGCGGCACCAATGGTAACCCGCAACCCCTCACTCTCAAAGAGTTTATCAACCTACGCACCACGCCACGTTCGTTCGGTGAACCCATTGTGATCGGCGATCACACTTGGGGCCACCTCTCTTCGGTGGAATATTTCATTTGGGTGAAGGGAAATGATGGGCCGATAGACATTCGTTCCGAAGACCCTGCGCACATGGCATACGGTTGTAAGTTTTCATCGTTCTCAGTCGTTCGAATAAATCTAACGAATTTGATGCAGACCTTAGGGCCCACGTTAGACATGGACGCCGTCACGGGGATGCTCGAACGAGGGTTGACTAAGATGAAAGATTCTTTTGTCACTTTTCAGAAGCAGATTGTCCCTGACCTCGACTGCACCGTTCTTGCGGAAGCCCGTGCCACATCATTCACTGACTGGTGTGGTGCGTCGAAACGAATCATGTCCGCTCCGGATTTCACTGCCTACGAGCGCTATCTTGCTTGGCACAAGTCGTTTTTCGACACGACTTCGGACAGTGACGATGCAACTTCTCAGCGTAAGCGTGCGAGCACGTCCAAGCTTCCTTCGTCTAGGTTCAAAATTCCGAAGGCAACATCCGATTGAACGCATCCAAGTCATGTCAGGCATTTTGAATCTCGGCTAGAGCGACTCACGTTATACAGATACTCATAGTCGCATTGTAGTACATACGAATCGATTATGTTAGCTGCTGCATCTGCGTATGCCTCACCCCTGACTACCCCGTCCTAAACATGAAGTATTACAGGAACGAACCTCTAAGCACTACTCGACACCCAAAACAATACTAACTTCCACCTGCGGCTTCTTCGCCTCACCTCCGATGACCATCGCCTACCCATCCTTCCCTTCCTCTCGATGAATGCGCATTGTAGGCGAAGTATTCCTTGACATGCTCGGGAGAGGCTGATTGCGGACGAGCAGCTGCTTACACTTGAGCTGCCTGTGATTAGCCCTCATCAAGAGTTGGATGGGTAGTTGGATAGTGTCATGGTCCATGCTGGTGGGCATGGCTTCGAGGGGTGAAGAAGTCAATTGCGGCAAGCCATCTGTTTATGTCAGGAAGAAATGGAGTCTGACGAGGAAAGGATGTTGTGATGGTTCAAGTTCACATTGAGTTCTGAGTTGCGCACTTTGACCTGCAGTGAGTAAACGGGGAAGCAATTCTAGAGAGTATATTAGCGACGGGAAGAGCGTGTAAACGTAGTGAATGAAATATTCATGCAGCAACTGTTCTACGAGAGCGAGCCCATAGCAAAACGGAACGAATGAAATGCAAGAAGGTAAAAATGCACTGTATGTGTATTGTACGAAATCTGTAGAATGTGCATAGATGTTCTGTCGATTAACATAGATACATCCCCAAAGTCCGACTGACAGATACTACCACGAAGGCAATACAGCCTACTACTGTTCCCGACACTTGTGCCATGATGTGCCGTGTGCGGTACGACTCAAGTCCAGCTGCAAGGCATTATTGGCTATCGCCAGCGTGTTGCCTGGGACATACATGAGACGCATCGCGCCCGAGTATAAAGCGAGTGGAATGCGGAGAAGAAGCCGTCCTTCAGGACCTACAACCCATCCCTCCTCGTTCGGGGGGGTTTCAGAATCTCGGAGAAAGGAGGAGGCGGAATGAAGGGCATGAGTTGGGTTGGATGAAAAACACATTGCGGGTGCCTCGAATGGTTGGTGCTGGATTAGAAATTCTAGATCCCACACCCGGATGATGTTGTCGGATGACCCAGACACGATGCGTTTGCCATCAGGCGAGATTGCAACAGACAGAACGGGTCCAGTGTGCCCTCGGAAAGGGGCAACCACTGCCTCACCAGTCTTCATATCCCACACCCGGACTGTCTGGTCATACGAGCCAGACACGATACGATTGCCATCTGAGGAAATCGCAACAGTGTTAACGGACCCAGTGTGGCCTTGGAGAGGGGCGCCCACTAGCTCGCCAGTCTCCATATCCCACACCCGGACGGTCCGGTCATCCGAGCCAGACACGATACGATTACCATCTGAGGAGATCGCAACAGTGTTAACGGGCTCAGTGTGGCCTTGGAGAGGGGCGCGCACTGGCTCGCCAGTCTCCATATCCCACACCCTGATTGTCTTGTCTCTTGAGCTAGATACAATGTGACATACATCCGGTGAGATTGCGACAGACCGAATCCCGTCCGTGTGGCTTTGGAGTGGGGCACCAAATGCCTCGCCGGTCTTCATGTTCCACACCCGAATTGTCTTGTCATCTGAACCAGACACTATGCGATTTCCATCCGATGAAATTGCGACAGACTGAACAGAGCGAGCGTGGCCTTGGAGAGAGGATCCTGATGCCTCGCCAGTCTTCGCATCCCAGACCTGGATTGTCGCGTCGTCTGAACCAGACACGATGTAGTTTCTGTCCGGCGAGATTGCGACACACCGAACACGGACAATAACATCCGATGGCTCCTCAATTTTCGCATTCCACATGCGGATGCTCTTGTCTGCTGAACCAGACACAATGCCCTTCCCATCTGGTGAGATTGCGAGTGACTGAACAAAGTCGGTGTCTCCTTGGAGAGGGGCAACTATTGCATTGCCAGTCTCTATATCCCACACCCCAACTGTCCCGTCCCCTGAACCGGACACGATGCGATGTCCATCTGGGGAGATTGTAACAGAGTCAACGGAGCCAGTGTGGCTTTCGAGGGCGGCAACTGATGGCTTGCCCGTAATGGTGTCAGCATTCCACACCCGAATCGTCTGGTCGTATGAACCAGAGACTATACGATCTCCATCTGGCGAGATTGCAATAGATGAAACCAAGTGAGTGTGGCCTTGGAGAGGGGATCCCAAGGCCTCGCCAGTCTTCGCATCCCACACCCGGACTGTTGCGTCCCATGAACCTGAAATAATGCGATGTCCATCTAGTGAGAATGCGACAGATACAACATAATAAGTGTGGCCTTTGAGGGGGGCACCAACTGCCTCGCCAGTCTCCATGTCCCACACCCGAATTGTCGTGTCCTCTGAACCAGAGACTATGCGTTTTCCATCCGGTGAGATTGCAACAGACCAAACCCAGTCCGTGTGTCCTTGGAGAGGGGCGCCTGATGCCTCGCCGGTCTCCATATCCCACACCCGGATCGTGCTGTCTGCTGAACCAGACACGATGCGTTTCCCATCTGGTGAGATTGCAACAGACCGAACCCCGTCCGTGTGGCCTTGAAGTGGGGCACCAAATGCCTCGCCAGTCTCCATGTTCCACACCCGAATTGTCTTGTCGTATGAACCAGACACAATGCGTTTCCCATCCGGTGAAATCGCGACAGACTGAACAGAGCGAGTGTGGCCTTGGAGAGAGGATCCTAATGCCTCGCCAGTCTTCGCATCCCACACCCGGACTGTTTTGTCCGATGAACCTGAAACGATGCGATGTCCATCCGACGAGAATACGAGAGACATAACATAGGTAGTGTGGCCTTGAAGAGGGGCACACAGTGTCTCGCCAGTATCCATATCCCACACCTGGATCGTTCCGTCACGTAAACCACACGCGAGGCGTTTTCCGTCTGGCGACAGCGCAACCGAGTTAACCGCGTCATTCGCACTGAGTATCTTCTCCATCTGAGGCCAATTGACATGGCCAGCAACAATGTGGGGGGTGCAAGGAAACTTTGATGCGAACTTGCGAAACATTATCGACTGCCTTGGAGCGAACGGCAGAGCGGACAAGTATAAATGGGGAGTGCTGCGTAAAATGGTGGTTGCGAAAGTTCGGACGAAACGCAGGGTATCGCTGGTAGCGTCACTAACATGCGTGAACTCGGCATGACCCTACAACCACCCACTACTTGTAAGAATTCATTGGGAAAAGAATGAGCTTGAGTTACGCACCGAAAACCAATTTGCGATAGATGAGAGGGTCACTGCTGAGCCACCGAGGCTTTTCATCAGAGCCAGTGCTTCCAACCACCAAAGGAGGCGCTCTCCATCGAAGAAAGCTTCCACTTCCTTGGCGAGCGATGATTCGAAGGACAAGGCTACCACATGCGTGCCCCAGAATCGACATGAGTATGATAGCTCAGTAGAAATAGAGTCCTTCACTCGCTTCTCCAATTCAGGGACAGAAGAGTTAGGCAAGTAAGAATTCTCTAAGGAGCAGATGTTGAAGTAAAGCCCGCCCTCCATGACCCGAAGTGAGGCAAAGGCGAGGTCGCTCTGTGCCGACGATGTATCAACGAAGAAGTCATGGCTTCGCGATTCGTCTGTGAGAAAGTCGTAGAAGGATGCGTGCAGGGGACGTATGGGAGTATGGGAATCCGAGGTGCCGGTCAAAAGCGACCCCAGTGGCCCAACGACTCGGTCCATTTTGTAATCGCAACTCCCTTCGGGAAAATGCAGTCGCATAGTGGTCAATGCAGGCATGGGAAGCGGTTCCAACGATACAAGAATTTGCCCCATCACAGAGCAAAATATGGGAATCCCTTCCTCGCGCTCGTCCTCTGGCATGATCTCTGCCAAAACGCGTATATACATATCATCCAATAGACGTATTCCTTTTGCAGATGTTCCAGCAACTACAGCGTTGAACCGACCCTTTGGATCCATGCCGACTCTGTTGGTGCCCTTGATATACTCGCAGGTAAGACGAGCCCATTCAAACAGACCGTCAGATTTCAGAGTAAGTGCCTTAAAGTGTGTATCGTTGAAGACGTGATGCAGATCTTTCAACTTGTGGGAGATATAAAGTTGAATGTCGAGTTCTGTGGACACAGACGAGACGTGATCCAGGGAAACATGGCGAACGTGTGGTGCGGCGTGCAGAGTATTGTGAATATCTTCGAGTTGACGGGAAGTGAGGAGAATGCGGAAGTTGGCTGGGAGTTCGACTGGTTGTAAGGTGGAAGTGTTCAGTTTGCCAGCGAGCAGACGAAGAATCTGTTCCCGGGAATTAGCTTCACCACTCTCGTCTAACGCCTCGATGACAATCAGGACGGGTGCAGCGATGACTTTTGAGGCTATGCTTGTCGGTCCGACGATGAGTTCCTGCCATTGTTTTGTGATATCTGCAGTGCGCTTGAGTCCGTCGTGATCACGAACTGCTTGCGCCAAGGCTCGCCGCATGATAGGGTTGCGGTCTGCCAATTCCCTTGCGATGGTCGTAAATATTTTGTCCTGACGGCAATCCGCTTGTCGAGTACGATCGAAACAGAAGCATGAGCCAAGACCACCGTTTTCGATATACCAGTTGGCTATTGTATGAGCAACAGCCGATTTACCCTTGCCTGCTGTGCCAGACAGCCATAAGACGCGTGGAGCGCCCTCCTCGGTGCTGCTGATCCAATTCTGAATATCATTCAGAAGGTCTTGCCGAGTGTTGGGCAAACAACATTTAGACGTATTCAATCCGACACCCGTTGCGCACTCCATGCCGAAGAGGTCCAGACTCTCAGCTATGCCAGTGGTCGTGGAATGTCAGATAAGCTCAAAGAGACCTGAAAGCGTCTCTTACCCATATGGTGAACGATCACAACGGTTGTCACGAGCCACTCGGTCTCGGAATTGCTGCATGAGACCATCAAGAACATTATTGTAGCTCTGGATTGTGGAGTCCGTTTCGTCGAAAACGTGCTTGCCAAGTCTTATCCCTATGCAAACAGGCAACATTGAGTCTCAGGGGACGAAGCAGTGGGATAAACTCACAGGCGCTCTTCGTCTCAGAGTAATGGCTGATAAAATCAGCGCACTCCAGTGTCTGCTGCGCTATTTTCCCGTATATCGCTAGCATGGATTGAATCTTGGGCAATTCTTCCTCTTCCGTAATGAAGGTATAGACTTCAGAGATCTTTGAGAGCAGACCAGAAACAGCGTCATCACGAACTGCCTGATCGAGAATCATCTGTTACCGAAAATTCGTTAACCTGCGACGGCGATGATTGAGAAAAAAGCCTACCTTGGACGCGCAAGTGAAGATACTCAATGCCACTTTCGCGTAGGGATGGACCTGTGTATGAATGTTAGTTACGTACAGAAGAGAGATAGATGGCTGTACATTTGCAATAGAGTTGGCAATGGAGTTGAACGCCTTCAAGGGTCTAAGCAACGCGGAGAATGTATCGATTGTATCAGAAACAGATTGTAAGTTGTTGACCGCTGAAGAAGTATTTTGGGCAATTCTTGGGACCTGGCCGATGCCTGCGAGACCTTTGGTAGCATTGGTGATTGTTTCATTCACAAACTTCGGGTCAAGATGTTCGGCCTGAGTATAGATGTTAGCACGTTGTCAATAGAGACGGGTGAGAATATTTCGATCTTCGTTAGTCGAACTTACTTCTGCAATCCCTGAATTGGAAGACTGCTCAGGATTAGGTTCAAGAATGGGAGCGGTGAGATCCTACAGAAGTGATGAGTAGCAATCATGGCACCCAGAGCATGCTCAGAGTTGAGATTGCACATACCTTGGTTGACTGAACGGGATGGATGTCCTGTGGACTGGAACTTGTAGCCGTGGGCTCAGGGTTGGGAGACTGTCGAGCGCTGCGAGCGAAGCGCTTGGTTATCCTGCCAAATAGCTTCCAAACTAGCCCTGGGGGTCGTCCACTACTAGACCCATTCCTCGAAACCGGAAGAGAGGACGGCTGCAATGATTAGACACAATGCGTAGTTCTAAAGACGAAAATCCATACATCGTGACTAGCTGCCCTCCTGCCTCTCTCCTCTACCAAATGAGAGTCTGGATGACTTGACTTCAACCACCCCCTGCGCGTCTTCTGAGGAGGATTGTTTTCACTCATCGAGAACGTAGGAAGGATGACCGAGTGTGCGTGTTAAAAGGTTTCTTGGTGCAAATGGATGGAGGAGCGTGGTGGGTGGCACGAAAGATAGATGGGCGCGTGCTGCATGTCTGCAATGAGGATTATTTACATAAATGATGAACATGCGTTTGGGAGCGCCCATTATCGATTGGCCGGACTAATGACTTATCGTTACCGAAGGCTGAGGCAAGTTAAACGGGAAAAATGACATTAGGAAACCTCGTCGCTGTTCGGTGCAAATACTGGTGCAGCGATCATCGATGCTCAACAAATCATTCAGGATTATCGACAGTGCTGGTCATGATAGGTGACAATTGGCGCTTGGGTTTGGCCGCCTTTGTTTGTGCATGTTCCTTTCTTACTGGCGCTGTAACAATTAACATCCGTTTGATGTAGCTGGGAAGAACGCAGAGGCCGTGCATTTCGTTGTGAGCCTTCCAGAACTCGTTTGCTTGCGGAAGTTTTCTGAGATCGAGGTGATCATGCTTAGGGTGCGGAACGGTGTGCTGCAGAGGATTGGTGTGCATAATTTTATACTTCTCACAAATCATGAATTTCATCATGTTTCAATCGAACGCGTTCTATGATAGATCGAATGCCAATCTCTCAGCGCCAGTTCTACCTGGCGGCGAAGGTGTTCTTGTTAGTAGATGGAGCAGTCCGTTGACATATTTTACGCTAATGGCTGCGAAATTGAACACCGTAATGATCGTCTTGGGAAGCAATCTTTTCCTACAGCTACAAAGTACACAAAGATCAGATCTCAGACGCCGACAGTTTATCGTATTACAAGATATCTAAGTATATAGAACAATTAGCTGCGCTATACATAATACAGATTATCAACTGATTACACATATTCTACGAGCTCAATCAGGGAGTCCATTAGTCCAAAGGAAAGATCAAAGTGGAGTACACTCCAGAAGCCCATACCATCGATCATCTTTCGCGATCCAACTCTCGACGGTGAAGCGCATCTTCGGGGAAACTACTGGCAGGACCATCGGCTTCGCATATGCGTCATGTACTTGCACGAGGTTGCCAATCACGGGTTGTAGCCTAGCTACGAGTCGATCGAAAGCACCTTTATCCGCTTCCAAGTCGACAGGAGGTAATCCGGACAGAAGTTTACACTTTGCAGCCGCTCAGAACCCAGCAGGGTGTATAAAGTGAGGCACAAAACTTACCCCTTTGTTGCAGGCAGAAACAATGATATTGTTGCCTTCATCATCTTCCAAATGGAAAAGTAGGTTGTAGAACCATTTGCAATGCGTATCAAGCATGTCATCGCAGTCGACACAGCGTTTCCAGGCACGCCGTAAGCTACAGAACACATTAGCGTCGCCTACGGAAAGAATTGACTTGAGCTGACTTGGTATTGCACTTCGTGCACCGCAAGTACGTGGCTTGGTTCAGTTCGAAAGGATGAAAATCGGTCACCCGCGCAACGATGGTAAACGTGTTCGGACAAACGGTGCTGGCGATAACTTGTTTCAAAGTGAGATCCTCTGAGGTCTCGGGAGTAGGATGGCGTGATTTTGCATTGGAATTGACCGCTGGTTCGATGGATACCCTGTCTCGTTTCATTTCTAACTTCCACTTCTCCTTGCGTCTGTTGTGGAGTGTCAGTAACTAGCGCAATGTCAACAGCCCCGCCAAGACGTACTGTAAAAGAGCTTTTACTTCCTCCTTCTCGCGGTCATTGGCTGCAATGATCAGTCGTTCATCGCCCCCTAAACGCCCGAAGGCACCCTTAATACCTGTCCTCTTGATCAAACGCAGATTCTTGATTCTATACATTGCGCCTGGCTGAAGGTCACGAGCCCTCACTCTCTGCCCACCCTCCAGAACAATCTTGACGATCCGGCGGTCGAGGCCAAGACCCCAGGGTGCTGGCTCTACTGGATTGGCGAGGTCGGGATTGAATGTGTAATCTGTGACGTAAACAACTGGCTCTTCCGCAGAGGCAAGATCAACGTGAAGAACCTGTGAAACGTGTCATGAAGTGAACGACGAAGTCTTTATTCGACCCCACCTCAACCGTGCAGTGGAAGAATGCTACTTCTCCGTCAATATCTTCAATCAACTTGGTGTCAAACCGTGCAGAAGAGCCGGACGCCCCTCCCTCTCGCTCAAACTTCTTTTTTCCGCCTGGAGAACACACCGTGAGTGATATGATTGTTGGGCCAACAACACCACTTACTCTAACAATGCACGAAAATGCAAGTTCTCGCCATTTGCGACCTCGTCAAGCTTTTTTGACTTATGTGTTTCCACCAATTTACCGTGGAGACGAAGATAGGAATCTCTCATCATGCGTGCGTTTGGGAGGGTACCAGAACTCTCCGGGCTGCATCGTCTTTGCGAGGATCCCTGCGCCATCCCACATATCCATTTTGAAAACGTATGCTGACAGTTCCGGCGAGCACCAGTTTGCTTGCGGTGGGTTGGTATGAGGGTTCACAGTGTAGTCAGTCACATACAGCGTGTGGGGTCCAGCAGTATTCTCATAGCTGTACAGAATCTAGGCTTTCATCAGTTTCACATTTACGAAGAGTCGTCTATAGACTCACTTCGACGGTACAATCGAAATAACCTTGAGGAGCAGTGTCAGGGGTGACCTCAGAGATGAGGTGATGCTCTCGCGAAGGGCGTGGGGCACACTGCACGGTTGTGACACCTTGTTCTTTCGCATGTATCGCTTGCCACCAGTCGGCAAGCTGAGCACAGTACTCCGCTTCTTTGCCTTGTTCACTTGGCTTGTAGTAAGGTGAGAACGAATACCCAAATCCATCGTCTAGTATCTCGGAATGTAGGGCGTCATTTCTGTTAGGATCACGGAAACGCCGGGCTTGGGTATCATAGGTGGCCCAGCGCAACTTATTCCAATACCCTACGCCATTGATACCGCCACAGAACGGGGAGGTCTGGGCAAATATCGTGAGTGAGGGTAAAGTGGTACAAGGGATTGATATATACCTTCAGCCTGCGAAAGAGGACTATATCGCCAACTTCAGCCTGAGGGAGCCACTCCGCGTGCTTCTTCTGAAAACAGTTGACCTTGAAATTATAAGTCACGACATCCACATCGTCTTCCATGCAGGACGGGTCGACGATGGTGAAATTACGGGTCCAGTCTAGTACCACGATGAACAATGAACCAACAATAAACGCTGACGGAATCCCACCTTGTGAGCGCGCTTGTGTCAGGGGCTTGGTTGACGTAACTACACCAATGACGTTGAAGAATCCCAGTCCCGATTCAATCTTCCTGATTGGTGTGAACTTATCTCCCTACAGACATATTTTGAATGAGCTTGCGGTGAACTTCTCTAAAAACACGAAACTCACCCCTTGCGTAGTCATTCCAGCCCTCATGGCCAGCGGTCCATGACTGCGCGCAAGATCGTTGGCAGGAGGCGGTGAGTGCACGATCACCGCCACTGGGGTTGCCCTATTGGACGACGACGAACTGGTCTGTTCAGAGCCCGAGCTTGTGCGCTCGTTGGAGGGTACTTGTGGTGCTGACTGCACATCAGTGGGGGGCGATGATGGTGCTCGTGAAGCAACCGCCTCGGCTTGGGGTCCCGCTATCTCATGCCCGCCTGATTCACGTCCGGTCTCAAGAACGACTGACTTCAGTGCTTGCTTTTTCCGCCTGCGCTTCTGTTGTCTTGTGAGCTCCTTTTCCGGTGGCTGCACGCCAGATTGAGGAAGATTAGTAGCTGATGGATCGAGATGCTGATGGGACGCAAGGACAGGCGTGGGTTCTTCTCTGCAATGTTGTCGGGCAATGTCTCTGACGCGGGGAATGTTGCCGGTAGCGCTATACCAGTCTACTAGATGTTAGGAAGGTCGTGTCAACATCAATTAATTTTGTGGACTTGACATAACATTAAAAATCACCTTCCCAAGTACTGAATACCTTCCCTGCTAAGGGTCCCGACATGAGCATGGCCGCGATCCCATCTTTGAATACGAGCGCGACGGGTAGATAGTAAGGGGAAGAAGATTGTGCCCTCGGCCGAATCTGCGCGCCCTTGAGAGAAAGGCAGATTCTGTCATTAACAGCGAATGGGAAGGGAAGTAATTCATCGACTTTGGACGAAATGATAACGAGAAAGCGGTAAGTGTCGCCATGTTCGTGCATCTCAACGTTCACCTGGCGTGTTTTACTGATACAAGGAAAAATCATGTGAATTTTGGCTTCGATATTGTTGGTTTCATCTGTCGCGGGGTCGAGGAGGTCAGTTGCACTCTTTCGACGTGTTTCATCGAATAGCGTGAGGTTGTCCTCCAGGCGAAGTCTCTTTGGAGAGGATGTTTCCGCCACGGATATTCTTTTCATGACTTCGTTGGAATGCGCAAAGCGTGCGCACAGAGGAGATCTGCTAAGTCGATAATTAAAGCTAAGAGATGAAGAAATTGCAAACTGAGTTCGGAAATGTACTGAGACGCGATGTAACGCGGGTTGACCCCCAGGCACTTCAAATATATAGAGTTATACGTATGATGACCCTGGCAGGACCCCGGGAAACTCTCACCATGACCAGCACACTTCCCTTGCCAACTCTGTTCTCCAGGGCGCTTGCAACAGCCTCAAAGGCCGCAAATCTGCCCACTGTCGACGACGAAACACAGGTACGCTTCCGTCCTGGACGACATGTCGTTTATCGTTATCTGACAATACTATAAAGGAACTAATCCAATCAGCCGTAACTGATCTCAAGGAGCTGGACCGGCGCGTCGCAGCCCTTTCATTGTTCAGTTCCAACGAGGTTCTTGAGGATATATCCACAAGGAATCTTGTGTACTTGTTTGCACGTTATGTTCTTGCTGAGGTGCAGAATCGCATGAAGACGACAGATAGGGACGAGCGCATGACTGTTCTCAAGCAAACACAAGTGAATTCTCTATTTCAATTGCACAATCAAAAGCTCTTAACCTGTGATCAGGTCCATCTAAGATTATTCATCCATGATTTGGATACTTATTGCTTAGTACCCGAGGTGGATCGTGCGTTGTACGCACAAAACGCATCTTCCATGAAGGACGCGGCCAAACGGCGAGAAGTCAAGATCAAGCAGTTCAAGGCTGAGAAGGATTTGCGTGCGCGAATCGAAGCTGTGCGAAGACGACGGAAACAGATGCCCATCGGCGACCTGTCCCAGGCTGATTTTGATCTTATCCGGTCGTTACTCCCGTCAACCGTTACTCCTCAAGTGAGTGATGACGACGACGAGGATGATTCAGAGACAGATGAGATCCTTCGGGAAGCAGTATTACTACTACTACGATTAAACTATGCCCAAGCGTACTCTCAACTCGAGAGCATGGATCAGGAGCTCGAACTCCTACGTAACGCCCCACCTCCTCCCAGGCCTGGTCCAGCCTCAGACGACAGGAAAAATCAACTGAAGGAACAAGATGACATGTGGAAACTGGACACAAAATCTCCTGTCGGTGAGAGCGGACCATTACTTGACTCTAGCGGGAAGGTACAAAAGCATTGCATTACCACCGCCCAACGAAGTTGAACGTCATGATAGCCCCTAAGGCCATTTACTATCCTTCCCGCGGGTGCATCAGATCGCACACGTCTGCAATCTCAGGTCTTCGGGCCTGGTCACCGCCTGCCAACGATGAGTATTGACGAGTACCTCAAAATCGAACAAGAACGCGGCAACATACTCACAGGGGGAGGGTAAGTTCTCACCATTTCAGTTACTTACACACACTAATTAATCTGCGCAGCCCACAATCTGAGGAACAGCCAACGTCGTCAGAACAACTGGCGATGGACTCCGAAACGGACGGTACAGTCTTTGGTGATATGAAATCGGAAGAGAAACGGCAAAAAGACGAACAATGGGCACAGTTCAAGGATGCTAATCCGCGTGGAGCGGGAAACACGATGAATCGCGGTTGATGGGGTTAACAGTGGGAAATGAGACAGTTTGTTGCATTGTGTCACAAATGATTAGCAGAACATACTTGTGTGCAACACGGGCAAGCAAAATAGGTATCGTGAAGGGGTAGTACGTATCATCCCATGGAAAACACTGAATCAACAATTGCACTGTGATGCCTCTGGTACGGCGGCAGCCTGCTGTGTCGTAACATCAATTTCTACAACGAAAGGTCAATTCTTGAATCAGCGATACCGCACGAGAAGCATACTTGTATTCTGAGCATCTGCTTGGCCTTCTTTCTCCATCCCAGGTAATGATAGAGCAATCTTCTTGAACAAGCTCTTTACGTTATGTCCAGCTTTTGCTGACGTTTCCATGAACATGATGTTCATTTGTGTCGATTTTGCAGTTGCCTCCTCTATAGTGACTTGGCTAATTGCTGTGTCAGACGACTTCGTGTTACAGATGAAAGGAAATCCTTCGACGAACCGTTTCTCTGACAAATCGGCCTTGTTACCGACGAGTACAATGATGACATCGTTCCCCCGTTCTGACCGAACGTCGTCTATCCATTTTGACGTTGAAAGGAAGGATTGACGATCTTTCCAGTATTTAGCACCTGTCACACCATGTGAACTAAACTTACTCACTAGTGATATCATACACGACTATAGCTACAGACGAATCTCGAATGTACGATGGTATTAGTGAACGGAAGCGTTCCTGAAGCAATACAGATCAGCCAATAACTACCAACACAACCAACTGCCGCACATCATACGCACCTGTCCGGCAGTGTCCCACAACTGTAACCGCACTGTCCGGTCCTCCAGGTACATAGTCTTGCTCAGGAAGTCAATACCGATGGTGGCCTGGTAGGTGTTGTCAAACGTGTCGTACATGAATCTACGCCAATGTCAGCATATGAGACGGGCCCAGGATCCACTGCAGCTGACCTGGTGATGAGACTGGTCTTCCCAACACTCTGGTCGCCAAGAAGGACAATTTTGGTCCGTTTCGGGGGCGTCGAAGAGAAGTCGGCGGTTGCGGGTGTTGATGGAGCGTCCATTGGTGGGGTACAAGCCTGGCCTATTACTAAACCGTTTACAACAATGATACAACAAGGCGATCGGCTTGCCAAGTGCCTGCTAATTAAGACCTCTGGATGTGAAAGTCACGGCCTCGTTGAGCTCTATCATGGCAGTGTGTTTATCCATGTTTGCTCCATTATTACAGTGTATGTCAGCCACGTGGTATACTAAAAATCATCACCGCTATCAACCTCGGTCCTCGAGGCTCTGCAACCAACCTAACTTGATTTCCGCGTATTTTGGATAGGGCATGCAATGAAACTTTCAGACAAGATTGCGACGTATAACTCGTCGCGTCCTTTCTACACCTTTGAGTTCTTTCCCCCTCGGACTGACCAGGTTCGTGTGTGGTGTTTCCTTATTATGTGCATCCTTCAAAATCTATATCAGGGGTTCGAGAATCTGATTCCACGTATATCACGCCTGTCAACTCTAAACCCCCTTGCGATAAGTGTAACATGGGGAGCTGGGGGTTCAACGAGAGAACGAAGCATTGACCTTGCAGGTCTGACCCAATCAGATTATGGGATTGACACTGTTTTGCACTTGACATGCACAAATATGGTCCCAGGGATGGTGGATGATGCTCTTAGGGTGAGTTGCTTCCCACGAATCTCCGGACCACGGTTAACACTGCCTTAACAGGCTGCCAAAGCACGGGGAATACAGAATATACTCGCGTTGCGTGGTGGTGAGTACCGCGGTTCTCGTTTGAGACATTTTTCGTGTTGCTGATGTTATACGCAAGATCCATCTCGAGGAACCGAACTTTGGACGCCTGTCGACTCTCAATTTACTTGTGGGATTGACCTGGTGAAATACATCCGTTCTTCTCCAGAGTTTTCCTCCCATTTTTGTATTGGTGTTGCAGGTAAGGGTCATTAGCTTTGAACTCCTTATTACTGACATACGCGTGATAGCCTACCCCGAGGGTCACCCAGACCGTGAGACCGATGAAGACAGTAGTTTAAATGTCCTGAAAGAGAAGGTTGATGCCGGAGCAGATTTCATCGTCACGCAACTATTTTATGACGCAGATCCGTTTCTCGAATGGGTCGACAAAGTCAGAGCAAAAGGTTAGTAGCAACTCATAGTGTCATTTATTTCCTTCTGATCGGATCGCAGGCATCACTGTACCAATTATACCCGGCGTCATGCCTATTCAGACATATTCTTCCTTTTTGCGCTTGATCAAGCTATGCGGAGTCAAGGTTCCCCCCTCCGTCATGACTGCTCTGGAGCCTATCTGTGTAAGTACTCCAATTTGAAGTCACATTACCCTACTCATTAGGGGACAGCATGATGACCAGCTTGTCAAGGACTATGGTGTAGGGCTTGCTGTTGACATCATTCGGAAGATTACCTCCACAGGAACAGTCAAAGGAATTCACTTTTGCACTCTAAACCTCGAGAAGAGTGTCCAGCTTGTGATAGAGAAACTGCAGTGGGCAGGCGGCAGCCCGACAATGAAGAACAGATTGATCGCTGCAAGTCTCGTTAATATATTATTAAGATCAAGTCGCTGATTGTAATCTCAGGATGCGCCAGGACCGATGATCCATGTGCAGCTCGCTAACTCCTCCGATTTGGTCATCGATCCCACCACAGCAACAAACACAGCAACAAATGCACTGACGTTTAAGCAAACCTTGGACCCAGATCCCGGCCGAGGGGAACTGAATAATGCAGCGACATGGGATGATTTCCCGAACGGTCGTTTCGGTGACTACAAGAGTCCTGCGTTCGGTGCTCAAGATCAGTGGGGTGGTAGTGGCTTGTGTGTGCGAATTGTCTTTCTGCCCAGCCCAACTAGCTTGCTGACGGTCTTTCCAGCAGTATGAAGGTCTTAGCGAATGGGGTCATCCCAAAAGTACTGATGACCTTACTTCACTCGTCCTACGCTACCTTCATTCTGAGGTGTCATCGTCCCCATTTTCCTCCTTACCACTTTCTCCAGAGTCGTTGACAATCCTGCCGTACCTCGAGCAGCTCACGAAGCGCGGGTGGTGGACGGTTTGCTCGCAACCCGCAGTAGACGGAGCGTCCTCTACGGATGAAATTTTTGGGTGGGGTCCGAGAGGTGGGTATGTTTATCAAAAAGGGTTTGTGGAGTTTTTCGTGGAAGAGCAAGATCTAGCGAATATTGAGAAGAAGATCGAGGAAGAGGGGCAAGGCTGGGTGCACTATTTCGCCGGGAATCTGCAAGTGAGCATTCCCACGAATGTTGCACCATTTTCGCGGACTCACACGGGTACAGGGAGAATGTAGAAGTAACGTACCCGACGACGGCAGGAACGCGGTTACTTGGGGTATGTTTCCCGGGCAGGAAATTACTCAGACGACCATAATCGAGCGCGAATCTTTCCTGACATGGAAGGTATGCGTTGCCTTCAGACTCATTCTGCTCGTGGTTGTACTGATAATATCAATGTAGGATGAAGCATTCTCTATCTGGGCTGAGTGGGCCTCCTTCTACCCACCAGGATCCGAAGAAAGAGAGTTATTGAATTCTGTTCGCAAGGAGCGGTGGCTAGTGAGCATTGTGCATCATGACTACAAGAGACCAGACGCTCTATGGACATTCCTACTGGATGGAGAGTTCCCACTATGACGCGTGTGCTAGCATGAAATTGCCATGTTCTGATTTGTCGGAATAGTGTTTTTGCTAAGTCTGTTCAACTGTGGAAATTTACGATTAGCTAATGTAAATTGTAAATGATCGGCGAACCGGAGAACCCCAGGTGGAGTTCTAGTGGCGTGCCTATGCAGAAATCCAGAGTCTAGCCCCAAAGCTCGAAGTATGCTTGGAGAATGCTTGGGCATTTGGATGCTGGGAGTTTTGCATTTGGCGCTGGGCATGGGCGTTGGGCGTTCAACGTTCTACTTTGAGTTCCCCGTTTGATCTCAATGGTCCAGCTCTAGGTGTCACTTAAAGGGTTGAAATAACAGGTCTTTAACTGGTAAGTACCTGGAGCTTGGAATGAAATTGGAAGCAATTATGTGAAACTGACACGCAACGCTACCGCCATCGTTGCGTGGCATGGTGTTGGGCTCCCCGGAACGCTCGAACTTCCAGATCGGGGTTGCCATCGATTTACTGGCCTTCTTGCAGCGACGCCCTGGCAACCCTGCAGGTGCAGGATGATCGTTGACGAGCTCACGTTGCTAACAACAGTCCTCCGAGATCTGGAGCTCAGCATGAAAAATGTACCTATCGCCTGAAACAGATTAGCAGCGCTGCTATCCCCTTGTTCTGAGAGTGTAGGTAGGCTGCTTAAAATCTCCTTAACTCTCTCTGTATCAGAGTCGCTATTGGCGGTCTTGGGTTCTGGGTTCACTGAGTCAGCATCATGATTTGCCTGCTGCAACTAAAGGCAAATGATGGTCGCCGACACTCTTTGCCAACAATCGTCCTCCACCTGGAGTTCAGAACGACAAATGGAACGAAATGCCTGCAAAAACAGACGTTGCTTGCTATGGTATGGGTAGCCTGCTGCCAAATCCCCGAAATCCTCTGCATCGTAGTCACCATATTGCAGTGGGGGGTCTACTTGCGACGCTGCAGCTGTCGCGATTCAATGGTAGGAACCTTACGTTATGCGTCCACCACCAGTGGTCATTAATTCTGTCAAATTTCATAATATATCCCTTCTCTTACCGATTGGTTTACAGGCGCTAAAGTGATGAACTTCACACGGGGGATCATTTTGGGGCAGCGCCGAATTGAGGACTCCAGAGCAGAAGATAGGACGTAAACGCCTGCAATGAGAACAGGCTCGTGTCGGCGAGACATGATTGGACATGATGTGGGTTATTCTCCGGACCCAAATGTGACCTCGAGCAGGTTATTTGACTGATGCTGCCTTTATCATACCGTGCAGTTAAGTCTTTCAATCTGGTGCAAAACTTTCAAATTGATATTGCGAGTTGCGGACCGGTTCCGGTGCTGTTTGGTTGGTCGGGCAGATCGGCAGTCCTCAACGCCGCGTTGTGGCGCATATTGTTGAAGCAACTCATTGGGGCAACACGCTTCGACTACTAGTCGACTTATTACCGAAAAACACACACTCTGGGGCTCTTTTGACTATTGAATGGCTGACGCATTCAATGGACGCCAGCGCATCGCCAGCATGGCCCTCTTCACAATGCACTGTTCAAATACTTCGTAACTGTACACTTGACATTCCTGCCGTGCCCTTGTCATTCTGCATATCTCCCCGAAAACCGCCATGTCTGCCTCCCCAGGCCATTACCCAGATGATGAGGAGAAATCTGTCGCCGGACTTGAAGATACTAAAGATGTGTACGTGATCGAAGCAGCGCCAGATCGCGTGATCGTAAGGCGTTTTGGTAAATTGGGACCCCTTCTATCGAGACTCTTTGCAAGCGGTGTCGAAGCCCGTGGAGTAGAGCGTATGCCAGAAAACCAGCGCGAGTCGAAAAATGCCTGGAATAAGTACGTATCCGAGTTCTACTCGTATGCCTGATCTGAGCTCAGTGCAGCATCCTAATGTGGTGGTCAGTCTGCGTCACCGATATTCGAGCTATTACTTGACGTTGGTGTAGGTCTGTTAACACAGTGTTTGATATGATTCCCATCGGCGTGCTCGCACAGTCAACTTTTACTTTGAGTTTCGGGTGGGTCACTCGGGCGGGCATGGTGTCGCAACCACACTTATTCTCCCAAGTCATGCTGTAGCTACTATCCTCTGCTTCGGCGCTCTCGGGGCCGTCGCGACAGCGTTTGTTGCTACCCTCGGCCCCATAACGGGCCTCCGCACTATGATCATCACCCGTTTCAGCTCGGGATATCTCGGTTGTACCATCTACTCAGTCCTCAACATCCTCACGCAGTGCGTTCATTCTCGATCATGTTTATTTTGCTGAGCCTTGTCTAGGCTTGGCTTTGCCACGACGACTGTTATTCTTGGAGGTCAAACCCTGTCCAACATCATCCCTGGTACCCTTCCGTCCATAGTTGGAATCATCATCATTGGTGTGTGCTCCCTCATCCCGTGCATTGTCGGGTACAACATGGTGCACGTCTACGAGCGCTATGCATGGATAATTACCCTGATCAGCATGCTCTTCCTTTGGGGTCTTGGCGGAAAAGCCGGATATGACATCAACGTGCAAAAGCCACTTGGGGACACAGGGCACGCCCTCTCAGCAGACATTCTCAGCTTCGGCGGGATCGTATTCGGCTTATTCACTGGGGTGGGTTTAATCACCATTTATATTCGCTCGACGATTGCTAACTTGAAATCGTCATGTAAACGATTACCAGTGGGCGCCAGTCGCGGCGGACTTTAACTGTCGGCTTCCCGCCGATACACCACCTATGCGCGTATTTCTGCTTACGTTCTTCGGCTTGTTCATCCCTATTTGCTTTGTCGTGATTCTCGGCACCGCCCTTATGACCATCACGGACCCTGCATACGTCGCAGCGTTCAGAGGCGGTTCAACGGGTGGCCTTGTTGCGCAGGTCCTCTCGCCATTGGGTCATTTCGGCCAGTTTATCCTCGTCCTGCTCGCGCTTTCTCTCATGTAAGAATGGGTAAATGCCTTTGCCTGTTCACACTAAACCAGTCATAGTGCCAACAACATCCCGAATACTTACTCCGCGGGCTTGTCCATGCAGGCACTTGGACGCCCGTTCGCCATTATTCCGCGCTTCTTCTGGGTACTGCTAGCCTTCGTGGTGTACACTGTTGCTGGTATCGCAGGCCACGAGCATTTTATTACCATCCTTTCCAATTTCCTCAGAATTCTCAGTGACTGGACGGCATTCTTCATTGTGATCGTAGCTGAGGAACACTTCATCTTCCGGCGGAAAAACGGACCACTTGGTGGGTACAACTTGGATGATTACGATACGCCATCAAAGTAAGTTCAGCTGCCAGTGGTTCTGTTGGATGAAGATCGTGACCTCGTCATCCTCTCCTCACTTCTTAAGACTACCAGTAGGCGTAGCGGGTATCCTTGCGGGGTGCTTTGGTGTCGCAGGTGCTGTCGTTGGGATGTCACAGGCGGGTCATCGGTGCTGCATCAGTCCATCCATGTGCACTCACACATCAATTTGTTCGTAGGCGTTGTACACAGGCCCACTTGGAGAGATGGTAGGAGCAGAGATCGGGTTTGAGGTGTGCATTATCTTTGGTCGTCTGAACATTGATTCGCTCACAAGATTACGCACAGCTCGCAGCAGCATTTTCAGCTGTTACTTACCTTCCATTGCGTGCGCTTGAAATTAGGCTCACTGGTCGATGAATGGAAGTCTGCTGGTGCTGATGTCAGCGAAGTGGTCCAAAGGATTATGATATACATTTATGTGCGTGGCTTACGTATTAAGACGGATGGCTAGATCATCCGGTAGAGCCAGCAGAGGCAATATATTTCGAAGCGTCGAGGGTAGGAGTCGACCCCTTCATAGTGTTGTTGGCAGATTATTGCCGTTCTGGCAGAACGGCAGAACTTGGTGTCCCCAACTCATGCAGTAGATCATATTTCGGGTGTAAACAAATATTGTCCGCTTAATTTCCTTGGCGCTCACATCGAGAACCGCGACAACAATGATCTTCCGAAACCAACTTAACGAGTCACGTGACGTGTTTAGATTGAACGTGACAACAAATGTCACGTCCTCTCCTAGTTGTGACAGACGCGCCTTTGAGACGCGACTAAGTACCAACAGCACACAATGTCTCTCCCGGTGCTCAACATACCCGTTAATTACGACGATGAACTAGGTATGTTTGCTCCATAAATAGGTGACAAAGCTAATGTATTTACAGATAAAATACAGAACTTTTTATCCACATATGTGGGTACACACAAGCAATGGGACGACGGTTTTGCAGATATGGCGCTCAGCGATGACGAGGATGATCAGCAAGGCGCTAGCAGGAAAGGTCTCAAATACATGCAGCAGCTTGTACGTGTAATGCAGTAATTGGGACGCGTCTTTACTCAACGTTTGATTCATCAGCAACGCATAGCAAACCGTGAGCAGCAGATGCTCACCATTGACATGGAAGACATTCATCAGGTACCAGATCTCCACATTTTTTCTGATGTTCTACATGTGTTGATCTTCCGTAAAGCACGAAAAAACGGTCGCTGAACTGGTATCTCGGATACGAAACAACACTCGGCGCTACGTCGCGCTTTTCAGTGAAGCCGTGGACAAGCTCATGCCGCCTCCAACCAAGGACATCAGTGAACATGATGAAGTCATTGATGTCATCCTGCACCAAAGGCGAGAACGGAATGAGCAGACTGAAGGCAGCCAAGAGGGCTTCCCCAACCATCTCTTGCGGCGATAGTACGTGGTGATGCCGATGTTCGTTCGAGAGCTGACGTTTCATTCAAGCAACCTTTATTTCCAGCCTCTTCGGTCCGACGTTGCTCTGGCCGTCCGAGACGTTAAGGGAACCTATCTTGGCAGGCTGATCACTGTTCGGGGCATCGTTACTCGCGTGTCAGAGGTCAAGCCATTGCTCCTTGTGAACGCCTACACTTGCGATGTTTGCGGGTCCGAAACATTCCAGCAGATATCTAGCAAAACCTTCTCTCCCATTGCGGACTGTCCAAACGAACAGGAATGCAAGAAGAACGGCATACGTGGCTCCCTTCACATGCAGACTCGAGCATGTCGGTTTAGTCCTTTCCAAGAAGTTAAAATTCAAGAGATGGTGAGCCATGGATACCTGATTTTGTATTGGCACCAACAATTTCCAGGCCGACCAAGTGCCAGTAGGACACATACCCCGATCCATGACTATACACGTGCACGGCAACCTGACGCGTCAAATGAACCCAGGTGATGTTATTCACCTCGGAGGTATCTTCCTCCCCATTCCCTACACAGGATTCCAAGCTATCCGAGCTGGACTGCTCACGGACACCTACCTCGAAGGACACCATATCCACCAGCTCAAGAAGCAATACAGTGAAATGGAGATGACACCACAAATACAGGCACAGATCGCGGAGATGCAAGCAGACCCGTCGCTATACAACAAGCTTGCCCAGAATATCGCGCCCGAAATATATGGACATACTGATGTGAAGAAAGCCTTGTTGCTGTTACTTGTGGGGGGTGTAACAAAGACGATGGGTGACGGGATGAAGATTCGTGGCGACCTCAATATGTGCCTGATGGGTGATCCTGGTGTGGCCAAGTCGCAGCTCCTGAAGTATATCTCGAAGATCGCCCCCCGAGGAGTCTACACCACGGGTAAAGGTTCATCAGGAGTTGGTCTTACAGCCGCGGTCATGAGAGACCCGGTTACCGATGAGATGGTTCTTGGTGAGTCTCTTTCGGTCTTGCTTAAATGCTTTGTCTGACAATACTGAAGAGGGTGGTGCCCTGGTTCTCGCCGACAACGGCATTTGTTGCATCGACGAATTTGACAAGATGGAGGAAACAGACAGAACTGCGATCCACGAAGTTATGGAACAGCAAACAATCTCCATCTCAAAAGCTGGAATATCAACGACACTGAATGCTCGCACGTCCATACTTGCGGCCGCGAACCCTCTGTATGGCCGGTATAACCCGAAAGTATCGCCTGTCGAAAACATCAATCTGCCTGCTGCGCTCCTATCTCGGTTTGATCTTTTATTCCTCATCCTGGACAAACCGACCAGAGAAGACGATGAGCGACTGGCGCAACATGTAACCCATGTGCACATGTTCAACTCCCATCCAGAGCTTGAGTACGATGTTGTTGACCCAGTCCTTATGAGGTGAGCATTGGCGTTCAAGACGTTCATTCGAATTTAACGAGCTGCCTGGCAGGCACTACATTGCCCAAGCTCGCCAACGCCGTCCTACCGTTCCCTCGGACGTCTCTAGCTACATCGTCGACTCCTATGTCCGCCTTCGCAAGCTCTCGAAAGACGAGGCCGCACAAAAGAGATCCCATACTTACACTTCCGCGCGTACACTCCTCGGTGTGCTCCGTCTCGCACAATCTCTCGCACGCCTGCGCTTCGCAGACACCGTGCAGCGGGATGATGTCGACGAGGCACTCCGGCTTATGGAATGCAGCAAAGAGAGCCTGCACGATGATGATGACAAGGAGTATGAGCCTGATCGGTCTGTTGTCAGTCAGATCTTCAGGCTCATCAAAAGCATGTCGAACGAGGGCGGGAGGAAACGGAGAAAGAGACAGAAGAGGTTTGGTCGAGGCCCCGGCGGGGAACGCGACATGGAGGTCGACTCGGACGAAGATGAGGACGATGGGGAAGAACTCGCTCTTATTGATGTTCGGTCCCGTGTGTTGGGTGCTGGATATACCGAGGCGCAGCTTAATGATACCATTGCGGAGGTGAGTATATATGCCCCTGATGACAAGGCTTTTCTGACACCCGCTTCCAGTATGAAGCTATCGATGTTTGGACACGTGTAGCAAATGGCGCAAAGCTGCGGTTCATTCTTGATTAGGGTATCTTGAATAAGATACTTACACTATGACATTTCTCTCGATTGATCCTTCTGTGAATTTAAAATCTGTTGTACGAGTTTGCACAAGTCTTTTGCGTCTCCCAACTTCCGCACCTGCCCCGAAATTGTTCACGCAAACCACGCGAGACTAATGCTGTCTTGTCTGTACATCAAATAATTCTGAAACCAGCCTGTCAACGATCTGGGCCATCCGGTAATGCGATTAACGGAGTTTCTCAAAATAAAAAAAGGTATCATTCGATAACTGCAGCGCAATACATCATGGCTGCGTCTTTGGCTACGAAATAAGCCTCGGTATCAATCCGCGAACCTAACCGTTCGAGGTCGTTTCAAAGCCCGGTCTGCTGTGCCGTCTGGCTGATAGGTATTGATGACGTTGAGATTCAGGGCTGAAGGTGCGGCCGAGTCCTCCGAGGGGTGAGTAGATGTGAAGTTCTGCACTTGAGGCTCTGCATGTGTTAGCAAGGAGATCTGTAGCGATGAAGGGAAACGCTCTGGCTCTGTTGGAACAGCTAAAAAGCGAGGGTTCTAAGAAGATAGAGGTTCTCATGAGTGATTCCATGGCCGGGTATAACCGAATTGCATGTACCTCCATGAAGTGACGCATCCCCACGTCGGTAGTCATCCTCGGAACTTTGCCAGATCCCTTCAGAAGATGACGTCTAGAGACCATTGCCTCTTCTGCGGTGTGTCTGATCACGAGAGTCTTCACTAAGGATAGTAATGTGATGAACCGAACCACAAGCATCATTCAGGAAGAATTACCAGTAATTGGTTTTGTTTGTCCGATACGGTGCGCTCGCTGGCAACCATTTCAGCGACATTGATCTAATCTGAAACAAAATCTGACCTTTATGGCTTGTGCCTCGACATCGGGATGCCAGACAGGCTCACAGAAGATAACTCGGGAAGCAGAGGTCAAGTTCCTGTCGGATACATTGTGAACAACAAAAATAAGTGCAAATGAGATATACTCACAAACCACGAGCACCGAGCTTCAACTCCATCAGGAAAACACGGAACGTATCAGAGGACTCAAAAGTCATGACGCATTGCTCTCGTAGTGGCGGAGAAACATCTGTTGTATATCGGAGGTACTTGGTTTCGATCAAAGAGAGTGCCTCTGCGATATGGGCGAGAGTGAGTGGCGAATTAGAGAATATGAGGAATTTTTCCTTCTCTGAATGTTTCAGAACCTAGAAATAAGAGTGAGAAGTGGGTGATACAATGATACTGTGCACTAACCTCGGATATGATGAAGTTCAGCTTGGTGGATAGAGATGGCCCGATATATGTTCTTGATAATGGCGACGAGCCGAGTAGTTTGGATGGCGAAGGAGTGGCGGGATGCCCCAACTTGCGGCGAACAAAGTCATCGATGTCTGTTTCAGGCACATCCTCTGTTTGATATACTTTCTCTTTCTCCTTCATGACCTCCAACTCGTCCTTAACCTCAGACACCATCTTTTTCATCTGTGCGGCGTTTGTGACATCATGTACGTGTGCAGATCTCTTCTCGCATCGTGCTCGTTCATTCAGATCCAACGCTTTGCCTTCCTCAACCAATCGATCGAGATTCATCAAAGGTCGGTTGCGAACGAGAGCTCGTAGTTCACACAGCCGGTTCGCGTGCATGAAATCGTGAACACGAGATTTGTCCTTCAACTTTCCCCGTGTCCAGGCTTCGAGTACAGCTGCGTCTATCCCCGTCACGCGAAAAGGGATATCTTCATGTTGTTGCATGGCACGCCACAGAGGATCTTTCGCTGCCGCTTCTCTGCGAGGCGTCACTAAGCCTGAGTATACAGTAACAAGGAGAGAAAACTAACGCGTGTGCTAGCGCTTGTTCCAATAGCGCCATATCATCATTAGACACTTCGGCTTCGGTGGCACGAGCCATAAATTTAGGGGCCTCATGTCGTATTTGATCGACGTTAAACAAGATGTCGGACGCCGACCAAAACATTCCTCTGCGTTTGATCTTGATTTTAGTTATTATTTGCGCTGGGGCCAAGAACTTACTGTGACAAGTTGTCCATGGCAACCTGAAGATTTTTTGCGTTCTAGTGTAAAATTAGAGTCAGTGTTCGAATCGTGCTAATGGATTTGCAAGTTTTCACCCTAGGGTGGAACATGTAATCCTTCAAGCGACGTGAGTGAAAGTTCAGACACACGACCAGACACGCACCTGACCCTCGCGTTGAGAGTCGATAGCATTGATTGCAATGCTGGCTTGCATCGCATTGTAAGACTTCACAGCGTAGGCATCGAGATTCATGTAAATGGGTGTATGCCGCATGGGAGGTAGAACTACTTCTTCCTCGATGTCCTCGATCCTGGATAACATAAGCTTTGCACGGTCTCTAGCAGTATATAATGAGACTAACCTGTGACGAATCATGACCATCTCCATGACCTGACTCAGTACTTTGACTGCGCCTACGCGAGGCCCACGACGATCACAAAGGGGTAAAGATACATGGCTACCGAACAATTTGAAATCAGAATGGAACTGAGGGACGGCGAGGAAGTCGCTGATCATTGTCCCCAGTTTTCGCAAGTTGACGTAGTCGTACGTTCCCCATACCCTGGCTATGTTCTCCGCGCCGCCATCAGAAATCGAAGAGGTATCGGATGTAGAGCAATCCGTCGTAGCAGGTATAGGTAACGAGTAGGTACCATCAATGGCAAAGTCATTTTCTACGTCGTCGTCCTGCTTGCGCCCCAAGCTCAGCCCTAGTATATTCGACGTCGGCGTTCCTGTCACAATCCATTTACGTTCGATGCTTAGCTCACGAACGAAGTGATTCAACGTGGCGGCCGTGTTTCCTGAGGTATGGCCTTCATCGATCACCAGCCTCTTCCAGCGAATTTGAAAAAGAGGCGATACAGCTGGGTCGCCGGGACAACAACAGTTTGGTACGCGGCTGCCAGGAAATGGAGCACAAGTGCAGGGTTTGAGTTTATGCAACTGAACAACTTTGTTCTTCACCGACTCTCTACGAAAACCTGAAGATAATAAGCACGAAAAAGATATGAGGTACCGAAACGCACGACTATCCGTCATAATGATCAGCTTGAATATTTACAAATGAGCAATGCAGTCACTCGATGCAGAGACAATGCTACACACATCATAATCAGACGCTAAAGCCTTCGCACTTGGAATTTGCGTTGTCTGTCGGATGATAAGATATCTCAACGTGCTATGACAATGTTTCAGAATTTCCCTGTCCCACTGTCCAAGCAAATTGACGGGCACAACAACGAGTGTTGCTGTCGTTAGGTGCATCACTCGTGGATATTCCGAGACTCGATCTCTTGTGCGAGAAGTGCCAAGAGCACGCATAGGTGATTTGACAGGGTAGTGGTGATAAAATGGCGTGTTGGCTTGCAGGAGCTGCCAGAGGTTGGACGCCTCTAGTTGTTCTTCATGTGATCGAACGTTCACCTTGTCACCCCACGTCCTTATGCGGTGAAGAAGAATTTCAACGAGAGATGGAACACCTGTTACATCGAGCGTCGAACTTTTATGCATGCCAGCCCTTCTTCGAGCATTAAGGCACTCATCTGCGGGGAAGGTGCGATAGGCCAAGGGAGACATGACAGGGCGGTAGTCCAACAGCGATTCTTCTGGCTGAGATAGTTGATCGACAGTAGCAAGGATCAAGCCCAAGATCATCACCGTCTTTCCCGTGCCTGTATGCGGCCATAGATAAGTCGAGGAGTTGAGAATGATCTGACACCTACCTAGTTCTTCACATAAAATGCCGCCCTTGCACCGAGCAACTGCTGGGCATTCACGCGCAGCGGTAAGGGTTGAAGGCTGGAAGTAAAAACGTTCGCCATGCACATTTGAGATTGGGATGTATAAAGGGTCTTGAACAGGCTGGTTGCTCAGCTCCTTCTCGATCATCACGGCCACTGACTGTCTCTGGTACTCGTACAAAGTACTGCGAAGACCCCTGATTTCTTGTCCCACAGTACTTGTTGAAGAGACCAATGAAGGCAGGTCGTTGTAGATCTCCGCCATTGTGCGATTATCCTGTGTGATAGGATATGCAACTACTAGAGACAGATCACACGTAGGAAGTGCTTACAATATCCCTTGGCAAGAAATAATTTTGAGGTTGACTGATTGAGGGGAGTTCATCTGCATTCCAGGAACGTTGGTCCTGTACGATCGAGGGTAATAACGCCTGAAGGTGACGGTGACCCTCTTTCAATACAGCTTCACTGCGATGTCGTAGGCTTTTTTGCACAACTGGTAAATCGGTAGGTATGAGGTATATGCGGATATATAGCACTCGTTGACTCGTTCCAAGGCAACAGGTAGCACGCAGGAATTGATGTTCAGTTAGGAAAGAGAGCTTGCAGAACACATCATCCTCTGGATAAACAGACAGCTGACGTGATGGTACTGGATGCCATGTGTCACTTGCGTGTCTATGAGCGCAGTGCAGATGACTGTCTTGAACGTCTACACTGATAGTTCCCACAGATAACAGATTATCGAGAGCAAGGGGGTTCGATTTGTCGTGCTCGTTGTCCACGCCATTTCCTACGCATGTTTGACAGCACAGTAGACAAGATTTAGCTCCTTCCATGCGCTCAGGCTGTCCTCAGACAGAGGTGATAGTGATGACGGTCAAAGGAACGATTACTGAGATAAAGCACCGAGACTTGCTGTACTAGCGCCGAGAATTAATCTAGATCGTAACATACGTGTGGGAATAACATTCCTGTTTTGGTATTTGGCTGATCGTGAAGGCTGGTTGAAATGAGGAACAGTTAAAACGGGAAAACTCCATCTTTCTCATAATGTCAGTGTCTCTTGCAAGGATCAGCTGTCATGAAGTGCGCCTCGTGCCGCAACGGATATGTCGTCGGGCATTCTTGAACATCAGACATAACTCAAACACAGTGGTCTCCGAGGCAGAACAGCAGAACTTGACCTGGCCAGAATACTTGGAGATTCGCAAAAGTAAACGAAAATGGGAAACTGTGAGATACTCTAGCTGGAATTTATGTTCGCGTTTTCTCATAGGCTATAAACGTATGATAGGCTGCTACCATTCCGGCATGTATTCTCGGGTTAATGGGAGGACTTGCGTACTTTGGTTCTCTGGAGTCAGACTCGACGAAGCCTATCATGGTGTGTAGCAAATTGCTATATGCTTGTATTTCTTTCTCATAAAACTAGGGGTTAGATCCGTTATTTTTCTACAGCGGTTGCACGGTCTCATGCATGGGTAAGACATTTTGTCTATGCAAAGGTGACCTTAATTAATGCAGCACAGGGCTCGGATACCTCATTGGCCCCGCTATCGGGGCTGCGGGTTGGAGAATGACTCACCGTCGCGCAATGAACCTCATTGAAGCCAAAGACCGCAGATTTCACCAACACATAGTAAAGAATCGCGTAGATCCCACAGCTCAAAGTGCCACGAACCCCGTGCCGGATTTCTATGGTAAGTACCGACGCTCGGGTTGTGAATGTGAAATGTATCTTATGCTCGCGGTACCATAGGAGAAAAAATTGGATCTCTCCACCAATATCGACAGGTGCGTGTGCTTCTTAGCCTCCCCTGCAATAAAATTTACTTTTTCATACAGTGGTTGCGTGACCAAGCTAGGTTTAGACGGAAAGCACGGTTTGCGGAGGAATGAGATGTTTGTTCTAAGACTGCTAAGTAACTTCGCACCTTACCCTCCATAATTGACATATCTTTGGCAAATCGCATTTGGATAGTAAATACATATTTACCATGCTTCGTCCTCTCCTCCCAGTCTCAAGAGTTTTGCTGGAGTCCAGTAAACAAGTCACTGACCATCTAATAAATTAAGGGTTACATAAAAAGGAGTGGAATACGCATTAAGCCTATGCGGTGAGGCTTCAATATTCAATTGTCCCCGAAGAGACATTAAAAAGAGGAATACCTAATTTCAGAACTAACGCAAAGCCAACTGTAGATAGTGGACTGTAGTGGGATCTCGTTGAGTCCGCAGTTGACATCATAAGAAGCAGTTCCGTCCTGAACCGTCAGGGCTATGCAAAGGTTACAGTAACTCAGACTTCCGAATCCCGTGTTCCCTTCTCTTTCGTCCAGAGACCTCTAATCTGATACCCACTCACGGAAAGAGCGTAGGGCTGAGGAGATGACGGAGAGGAAATGCTAATGTGGTCTTCCACATCACGAGTCACGGGTGACTTTGGAGGAGCAGACTTGGGTCGGGGATCAGCAAAGGGATCCTCAAGTGGTTTAGAGACGAGAGATGGCGGTGGAGAACGCGAGCGCTTGGGAAGGGGTGGTTTGGACTCTTTAGCAGCTTCTTTGACATAGTCAGGACCACTAATCGAGCGAAACTGGGGTGCCCAGCCAACACCAGTTGGTGCCACGATGGTGTCAAGAGCTAGGGGAACAGTTGTAGACGGTGCGAGCCATTTCTCTTTCTGTCGTTCTACATCTCCCCTATCGGCGACGTTGACGACGCCCTTGATGGATTTCCTTCTCTGCACTCGTATGTACCAGAACGCAATGCCTGATAGATGTAAAGCCCAAATGATATTACCATACATAGAGGACGACATACCGAGAACGATAAACCCAAGGATTGAAAGTGCGATGACAAGGGTTTGATTTGAAGCAGGGAAACTATTTGAAGTGGCTACAGGCGTCGTTGTTGGGGGAAGTGCCAACCCAGGTCCTTCAGGGATAGTAGGTGAAGATGTGGAAGATGTAAAGGAAGCGCTAGCGCTAGAATCGCGCCGTTGCAGAAAACGGGCGATCCTGCGCCCTTCCCGCTGAACGGGACGCATAGAATATGTCATGGAGAAAGTGCCGAAAGAAAAGAAATTGAAGGGAGGCTTTGGAGGAAAGATGAATGAGTTCCTTACTACGTACCCTGTCAAAACCATGGAGGTCTGTCACACATAATCAGTCCTTGGCAACAATCATTGCACCGCCGTCTTGAAAGCGCTGAAGATCATCATCACTAGACACTTGAGAAGTGTCATTGATTGCTAGTGGTGTGAGAAGATATGGGTAGTATACTAGGTAGTATTTGATTGCAACACGGAGACCTGAAATCAAGTTCAGCCTGGGACACTACGGCCTGCAGCAGTTCGAAACCGACTAGAAACATTGGCTTCGTACAAGCGGCTCTGTGCCATTGTTCCTGATTCCTAAAATACTCGATCGACTTGACTGGCATAGCCTCGCAGCGGCAGTGCACACGATCATATACACGCCGGGGTAGATTGGGTTCTGATCCATAATCAAGGACTAGGAACGACTATCTTCCTTCTATCACATGACGGTCCGACTGGGGACAACGGGAGATCCACGTTCATAATTTTCTCTTTAGTGAAGTTCATCCAAGTCGACCATGTCTCATTGAAATTTCGAACTATCAGATAGCCCGGTACTTGTTCCATCGTCACGATGGCATAATGTATTGCACTTGTAGTAGATCTGTATGGACAAACAGAAAGACATACCGCAAATGCAAAGATGCAATACCACAATACTAAGTACCATAAATCACAGGAATATCGAAGAAGCCCAGAGTCGGAGTTTAGATCAAATCCACCAATTGATTCGACACAGCTCTGTGTAATGAACGAGCTCCCTCCGATGGAACGTAACTTGGCAGTACTTTCATCACAATTGCCTCCACATCTTGAGGGGATAATGTCTTCGCCCCGTCGCCGGTGAGAGAGTACACCGCTTCGGCCGCGATTGCCATTTTTTCTTCCACGGTGAACGGAATAAAAGGCAACACGGTGGTAACGCGGGACAGGAGTGAAGCCTAAAAGAGACAGTATCGGGGAGTCCGTAAACGATTTGACCAGTTCAAGCACTTACTCCGAGGCATTGCGAGACATGAGGTCTTAAAAGATCCATGAGACCTCGGTACTCTTCTCGAGTAACAGGTTTGCTTGGATCTGGTCGGGAATCATGGTGCTCAAATACAAGGTTATGGCCTATATTGGACGTTCCAAGCCAGATCACTTTCGTAAGATCAACATGTCGCTTTCCCGTTTCAAGGGAGCAGCGGCCTTTGAAAAAGAGTAAAGCATTGTCGTACTGACAATGTCATATGAACTCACCAAGCTCCCAAGGCATGAGAAGAGAGTACAACGCCTTTGGATCTTCTACCTTCTCGATCTCCTGAGGTAGGAATAAGTCAATCTCGCGGAACAAGGTTGAGGGGAACGTACGTCTAGTACGACCACGCATCGCTCGCCTTCATTGTTGAGCAGAAATTGGGCCAACGTATCCGAGGAAGGCTCCTTCACGGAAAAAATATCAAGGTGCATTCCATCAGCAAACACAATGTAACAAACCTCATACGGACTCATAGAGTACGATTGCCATAGATCGTGCGTCGAGCGCAAGGTGGTCATGTTAACAGTATGGGTGGGAATATCCAAGAGACTTCCAACTGCAAAAGAAACGATAAGTTAAAGGGGTGTAACTCGTAAAGACGAGTTACGGACATTTGCGGGCCAGCAAGCTCTTCCCATGACCACTTGGACCTAGAGGAGGTATAACGATGCACCTTGTACTTAGCTAGAGAACATACCACAAAGCAGAACCACGATGGGAGCCACCGACAGCCGTTGAGAGTGCATACTCAACACCTTGAAGAGTTGTTCTAATACCCAGTCTTGACCAATGAGATCATATCGAACTCTTGTGAGGGGCCGGAAGAATGAGCGATATATAAGCTGAGATGTTTGCCGAGTGTGTGTCGAATCGGCTCTGGTAACATAGTATCTAAAATCGAGTGAGCAAACAGTGATTAAAGGTTGAGGGGCACTACGCACCTCGTAGCGGGGTCCATTCCTTCTGGCGTCGTCTCTCCGGGCTGTGAGTGTGAGCCTGAAACACCCTCACTTCCCTCCGATGACGCTTGTGCAGATGGATTCAATTCTGGATTCCGCAACGCCGATGGATCTGCGCCATAGGCTAACAGAGCCTTGACAATCTCATTCTTGTGCAACAGTTTGTCATTGGTCAAAGTAAAGGCCAGTGCGGACTGAGGACCAACTTGGTCGTTTGGTCCAGCTTCGCCGCTCTCAAGCACCTGTCGCACTTCATTGACATCGTCACTCGCAATGGCAAACAAGAGAGTCGGCTTTGGCGTCGCTATCGCATGAACCGGAGCTTCGAGAACAGACGAGGGTCGTGGAGGAAGGCCGGAGGCGGAACGACGAATCGTGCGGGTGTATTCATCGACATCTTCCTCTTCATCGTCATATGCCAAACTGAGAGTTGACAGTCGGCGTGGCAGGGAGTGGAGCGGCTGACTAAAATCACGTGAGCCTCCTCGGTAACGCGAAAGGCGCCAAGACGGAGCCTGTTGGACTGGTGCAGAGTGCAACTGGCACTCCATCTGCATAGAACGAACAAGAGACGAAGGAGCAGGAGTAAATGCGAACGATGATGAAGAACTATCGTGAGCGGGCGTGAGGGTATTGTGAATATGCTCGGGAATATGCTCGGGTATGCTTGATAAACATGGTGAAGGCAGCTGCCCACAAAAATCAGACTGGCGCCAACTTGGCAAAAAACATGATTAGATTGCGTACCAGTGAATTATGCGATAGCGAAGTACTAGATGATACATTGGGCGAATGAGGTGAAGACGAATTGAAGATATGGTCTGTATTCAAGAATGAGCAATACAATGACCGAAAAGGTATTTGAAGTACTGACCGGATGATATATTAGACATGATGGACGAGGACGATGATACGGACGACCTCGGATTAAGTAAACTAGACTGAAGGCGAACTTCAGTGATGATGTACAAGATTGCTGTCGGTTGGCAACTCACCAGCCTGAGAGGTTTTAATCCAGTAGTAGATGATTCTTGCTGCAGTTCAACCGGAGACAGGAGCCGGTCGGCCGATGGTGGGTTCGGTGGAAAGGACTTGTTGAGTTGTTGCGGGGCAGCGTTCGCACTGGCGGTGTCACTCTCTCGCCTCGTTGCTGGACAAAAGACAGGTGAAACGGAAGATGAGGGCTGAATATCTTGCAGTGGTCTTCTGGCTACAAACTACAGGGACATACATGAGTGACAATCAAACAACGTAACTTCAGAAGCTTACCTGTGGATTGACACGTCGAAAACCGAACGGTACCTTTGTGCCCCTTGCTTCCCGCGACGAAAGATTTGATGTTACTGGAGCTGAGGCGGAGGGACTATTTGCTGTAGACGAAATCCCGTCTGTATCAGAGAACCATCGCTTCGTATCACGTCCATTCGAGAGGGATAGAATAAGTGGTAGACTCTGAGCAGTAGACGATGAAGATGGCTGAGCCTCAAAGGTCGATGGAATGCGTATTGTGAGATTCAGTGGAGCTTTATGTGTCGCAGGGGACTCCGTCCTAGCTAACGCGGAAGAATGTTTCTCCTCATGACCATCTGCTGTTGATTCAAGAACAGATGCCGGATGCAAATTCGGAGATTCCCTCGTCTCATGGGATAGTTTCATGGCAGTAGCCTCCATACTTGGCAAATCAGTGGGTTGTGCATCCGCGCTTCGATCGTCAAGCGCTTGTAGGAAGTCTGCATGATCGTCCAAATTAGTGTCAACGAGGGTAGCCGGGATGAAGGCCACGGGTGATGGAGGAAAACAAGGAGCACTCGGAGACCCTAAATCGGGTTTCACGGTGGCATCTGAGATAGCACGACTCCTCTGTACAAATTCAACGATCGAAGGAGCATCTACAGAACCAAGAGTCGCAGCCGAGGAATCGTTGACAGTACTAGTGTCAACTAGTGATTGGTCGTGCAAATGAGTTGTTTGGATATTCTGTTTCCCCTGAGGTAAGAATGCATCTATGTCGCGAGTTTCGATAGCCTGCCCGGCAGGAGCCGCTGGTAAAGATACCAGGTCATCCAAGAGGCCTTCAGTGCTATGTTGGCCACGGAGCGCATCGCCCCCGTCAGGTTCAACAGGGCTAACGCTCACGTCCTCCTCGACAGACAAGACGTTTTCCGCGCCGCTCCAACGACGAAGGTTGGCGGAAAAGTCGCCCAATCGAGGGCTCCAAGACGTGCGCACGCCGGCCTCGTCGTGATCGAAGTCTGCATCGTCAGATAAGAACATCACAGGAGACATTGAAGACATGCGCAAAGCCTGATGGACATCCGCATTCAGAGCGTCATGCCACGAATCACGACGGTCATCAGTCTCACTTCCGGTTGTGTCTAGAGCATCCTCTGCAGGCACTAGCATGTCGTCGGAAAGGGAAAATACATGTCCAATGTGGGCTAGAAGTTCACGGGAGATCCTTGGCTGCTCGCCGGGGCGGGCGAGGGACGACTCTTGACCTTCAGTTGGGTGGCTTGTATAAAGATGATCATATCCGTCCGTATCATCATCATCCCATACCGACGATAAAGTGGGGAACTGCGCCGGTGTGAGACCACTCCGTGGCGAAGGAGGTTGAGAGAAAACGGTCTCTTGAGTCATGTCGTCAGCCGTGTAGCCGCACTCAACGGAGAGTATGGACGTATTCGGAGACGAGCGACCAGACAGGAAAGTGCCTAAAGATAACAATGACACCTTTGATGACAATTCTCCCTCCATAAATTCGCTGTCATTCACATCCGAGGAATCTGAGGGGGTAATGACGTCATCGGCTCTACTGACGAAATGAACAACGTCGGAAGAAGCAGGTTCGGGTAATGGAGAGGGCGGAAGACTGCGAAATTCCATGTCAAGGAGCACCGCTTCCTGGGATGGAAAAGTCCCTTTGACAGAGGACGGGTGAGCCGTAGATGACGAAAGGGGAGAGACTAGTGACTCTAGAGGGCCGTCAGCATTGAAAGACGCATGTTCGGCATCATCCTCAGGCGCGGAATCGGGTTGAAGTGATGATACTTCTAAGGCGTTGTCATGAATGGGCGCACTCTCAGAAATGAGAACAGATGGCTGTTTTGGAAAGGATGGTTCTGCTGGAGGACTTAACGGAGGTGTTAACACCATCCCAGTGAGACGGACGGTGGGGGGGAGAGGCTCTTCGTCGAGATCAGACGACAAGTCATAAGCATCTAAAATAGATAAAGTCGAGGATATGTCATCGTCATGCTCTTCGGCCACCACCGGTTGGCGAGGGGAAGGTCGAACGCCGCGAACATCATATGACACGCGTCTATCTTGTAACAAAGATACTGAAGTACGGCGAAAGGGAGTTGAATCGGATGCAATGTTATTGCGCATGGAATGAGGTGGAGAACGAGCTAGCAGCGCTGGTCCCGTCCAACTGTCGGCATAGCCCGAGTCGATAGAGTCTTGCCGCTTTGGCGGAGTGTAGTTGTACATTGAGAAAGGTCGCAAGCGTGCAGAAAGCTCGACAGGAGACAGAAGGTTATTGTAAACTTCCTGTCCTGAATTGTGCAAGGGCTCCTCCGTTGGCAAGTCATGAGGGCGTACAAGAAGTGACAAGACAGAGCTGGCAGTACTCATAGAAGAGAAACTGGAAGGCGGGGTGGGGAATCGCAAGACGGTCATTGAAATGGAATGCGACTTGTCTTCTCCAACCTCTTCGGAGTCCTGTTCCTGCTCTTCTTCCCCGTCCTCGTCACCCACCACATACAAGGGAAATACATCCCCAGCCTCTTTAGAATCATCTGAGCCGATATCATGACGTGCGAGTATCTCCCGTGTCTCCCCCACATCCCGAGGCACTTCAATAACAGACGAGTCCTGAGTATCACATAAATCTGATTCTTCCACCAACGCAGAAATGTCCGTGAAAGGAGTGTGCGGGGAGAAACCAACCAGGGTGGTATCTGCTTGGGAATTCTGCAAAAAAATATCGTTCATGTCAACAGGTCGAGGTGTGAGTGTTTCACCGTCCTCGTGAGTAGTTGGGCCAATTACATCTTGAAGAGCCGAAAGTAAACCAGAATAACGAGAAGTGTCATCCACCGGGCTGACAAGTTGGGTAGAGCGTGGACTCGCAGAGTTGACCACGACCGAAGGAGGATTGAAAACGGTCTTCGGAAACGAAAACACGCGTGGCCTGACAGGCTGCGCGACGTGCACGTCAACAAGCGACTGGCCGGGAGGATTCTTTACTTTGATATCGTGAAGGAAGTTGCACGAATCCGCGAACAGACAGCGTCCTTGAGAGTAAAACGGACACGGGCGCGCTATGAGAAATCAAAATATATTTATATAAGATATACGAAGAAACAAACTTTTCTGGCGCCATGGAGGGTCCTGAACTGTCATTCCACTGATTCATCGAATGACCATGGACGCGGACGGTGTACAGAACATTTGCTTCCGTTATTATTGAACCAAAAGGCCACAACTATAATAGGAATTATGACAACGGACCCCAGATACCACCCTCCAATGGCTGCCCGTCTCCCCCAAGTTGCCCGCCTCATTCTCTTCACTGGCCCAAATTGTTCGCTTTGTGACGTCGGTATTGTTTCTTTTTCTTTATGAAACTTTCTAATCATTCATGCTAGGTTGCAAAATTAGAATTGGCGAAAGTCAGGCAGTCAGTACGTTGCAACTCAAAACTCTAATGCGACATACAAGTTGCTGATGAATGAGTAGCATCAATTCGACCTTGAAATAGTCAACATACAGGACAAAGGCCAAGAAAGGTGGAAGAAGAAATACATCTACTGGATTCCCGCGCTCCATCTGGATGGGAGGGAGATAGCGAAAGGTCGCTGGGATGCCTCCACCATACTCGAATCCATGAAGCAGCGGAAAGCGGCACTAGAAGCTCAGGAGGAAGTTGTCTAGAAAGTAATCCTTGCGGGTCCAATGTTGTCCGCAACTTTTACATCGATACTTCTGGGTCAGCTTGGTTCCAGGAATTGTCACCTCAGTCATGCTTTTATGAGAGGCACGTTTCGGGTATCCTAGGCGAGAATCGAACTCCATCCAGTTCCACTGCACTCCTCGATGCTCGCTTTTGTTTCAACTGCGGCTCGCCTGATCACATCGTTGGGTCCTGTCCTGAACAACATAATCGCCCCCTCATCGCGCTGTCGCGGACAACTCTTCAATTTTTTGCGTTCTGACTCGGACGGGGAAACGAGGGAACCGGGCAGGTTTCATGTTGTTGAAGCTTGGAAGAAACAACGGCTTGAATGGTTGGAGTTTTTTCAGCCCGGAAAGGTTGTTGGTCCCACCTTGCGCGAAGCTTTGGGCTTGCAGCATGAAGACTCAGGTCGTCAGTGTGCATGGCTATATAACATGTCATGTTGGGGCTATCCTGCAGGATGGATAAGTGATACCGATCCAAGGGATGCCGTTCGCCAAAGAATTTTGGGAGACTTCCACACTCTAACACACGACCATCCACTTGAGGATGTCGATGACTCTTTCCTCATAATTAGTGATGAAGAGGACCGCAAAGTAATCGACCTAAGTCTTGCAACATCTTTCTATCCTAAATCAGGCGGGGACGAAACACCAGTTGTCGATGATACTTCGTCTGCCAATTCTGATTTGGAGCCTCGCTCATCGACAGCCCGTAGGTGGGCAACATACCCTAACGATTATTTCTCCTCAAACCACCTCACTGTCTATAATGGAATGATATTCATGCCATCGGACCTCGCTACTTCTCGTCCCAGTATTACCTTTACTGCAGAAAGAAGAGCTCTTTGGGAGCAAATCATATCCGGAACTCAATCTGCCAAAGCACTTGTTCCCCCTTGGAGATTACCTGAGGCATTTTCTTCGCTACAATCGCACATCGAGTATCAACCACCTCCACCCCCATCCACCCCCCCTCCACTGCCACCTTCTCCACCTCCATTCCCGCCGCCGCCTGCACACCCTCAATCTTGTGCACTTGTCACTGTCGCAGACGATGACTCAAATGACGGCGGACATGGACATGGATCTTTCAGACGATGATTAACGCGCTTCACCACTATGCTAGCATGCTCTCGTACTTCACAAATCATAGGGGTATCATATGAGTCAGTAAACTCCGCGATGTTGCCCGTACTCGAGTTTGAGCACATGAATTTACGTGATGACATCATGATGGATGCTACGGATTAAGTTAGGAGTCTGGTCGACAACTTGATCTACGTCAACTCGTGAATCAAATCCACCATGTCTCGCTCAATATGCATCACTGCCGCTGATGGCCAGACTGGCCACTTGATTACCGAACTGCTCCTTTCCAACCAGTTCAGACCGAAGTTCAAAGAATTGTTTTGCGTCACCCTCCATCCCGAGAAATGCGAAGACCTCGAAACGATGGGTGCTAAAATCATCGCTCATAAACACAGTGACCCCGCGGGGCTTGTGCAATCCCTCAAGGAATCTGGTGCAGACACTATATTCATGATCCCTCCTGCACACGCCCATAAGCTACGACTCGCACGAGATGTGCTCAAGGCTGTGGCAGCCGCTGACATCAAAAACACAGTCTTGCTCAGTGCAGCTGGGACAGACCTTGCTGAGGAAAAGGCTCAGCCCCACATTCGCCAATTCACAAAAATCGAAACCGAAATGATGCACTTGCGATATACGGGGGGCACAGAGGCAGGGACAAGCCAGTGTATCATTCGGTAAGAGCTAAAATACCTTGAAATTTTCCTGCATCACTTATTGTTGCAAAGTGCCGGGTATTACGCCGAAAACCTCTTGCTCTATGAAAAGGACATGAAGACGAACGGAAGGCTTCGCTTGCCGATCGGTGATGTGAATTCGTTCGCCCCTGTCGCGCTTGGCGATGTTGTCAAGGTCGCGGCGAACATCCTTGTCAGTGAGGGGCCGAAAGGTTTGAGTGATAGATTCCGAGGCCAATTGATCACGCTTACGGGACCCACGTATGCATATCTTAAGTTCTTGATTCACACAGATCGCCTTAATCACCCCTTAACGCAACGCAGGATGTGCAATGGTGTTGAACTAGCCGCTGCGGCTTCCCAAGCTGGAGTTAACATCGAATTCACCGATACCTCTAAGTAAGCCTATGACATACGTTCCCAGTACTTTGTTGAGCCGATGTTTTTTTTCAGCACGGAAGCAAAACAGCTAGTCCTTGAATTGGACACTGATGTCGATGACTCCGAGAAACAGTATCTTCTTGAGTACTACTCGCTTGTGCGCGAGGGGAAAACGAACTATGTCAGTACTCTTGATTTCGCGCCCATAACAGGGGAAGAACCTACGAACCCCCCTGACTTTTTCAAAACGTATGAGTCGACAAAGCAGTGAGTCACATTCTCTAGAGTTCATCTTCCCCAATCAAACATTGTCATCTTAGACGTCACATCGTCTGTCAGTGAATGGAGTTGGCAAACCAGGCTTCGGAAAATCATCTAGGCAAACACCAAATGTATCATAGCTATTGGGTTATCAACCTTTTTATGCGAGAACTGTATGATACGCTTATATTTTGTGGACTAGCAGGTGCTTCAAGTAATTAATGATATGGAAGTTCTGACCGTTCGATTGTCGGTATTGACGACTACTACAATGTGTAGATGCGCCTATTTGCAAATGGTCCATCACAACCTTAACAGTGTGGGTATATCTCACTGCCAGTGATGTTCCAGCCCAGCTTGGGCTCAAAGCCCCGGCTTAGGCTCAGCCTAGGGGGGCTTATGGCTTACCAGATTCCAAGCCGTGACTTGAGCCAGACCAGGCCGCGGCTCAGCTATCTGCAAAAGTCATTCGAAGTCGGAGCATAATGGTCCAGGACGCTACTCGTTCGTCAATCGTCCCCAATACTAGGTTTCAAAGTCGGGTAAATCGGACTCTCCAGTGCAACGGAGTCAGAGAATCGAAGGTTTCTATCAATATGGCGCCCTTGATACCTTGAAATGAGTCCGCAACCCCAAAACAAATTGCGCGAGGCTGATGGCAGAACGGGTGTCAGTGAAGTCAAACACCCCTATCGAGGGATTTAAGCGGACATCCTGCTAATTTTAAAGCGAGGTGCGCTGTAGGTTTTAGGAAGAGTCAGCAGTGGAAAAATATGCATTGATTTCGAACTTGCCATGCGACCTTCTTCTGACTGATCGAAGTCGAACCATCCGAAGATGGCCATGGCAATCGTACCCGTGATGGAACAGCACAGGCCGACCACAGGCTGACGGATCCCCCACACGTGTTTCTGGTAAAGAGCACTGCAAAGTAGGGGAACGATATTATGGGAGTCGGCGACTAGTAAGACTGGCACCACGGCGGAAATGCGGCTGCCTCGACCCGGAAGCATGTACGCTTGCAAGGGCAGGTCAAGTGAGTCAACAGAACCATCGCATGAGTCAGATTCTAGCGGAATACATTGATTCATCCTCGTCTTCCTCGTTCTATAGCTGGTGGTGGATCTGTCTGAATGAGTTCTATGCGTGAAAAAGATGGCATGCGTAGGCAAGAAGGATTGCATATGTCATACTAATGTTGGGGTGTGCCGCGCACACCCCGACATTAGTATGGCATGCTTGCAGGAAGTGCTCGATAAGCTGAAAATAGAAAAAACCGCGAAAGACCCGCACGGCCGTGTATAAGACCAAAGGAGATGCTTCTATCGGGGTGAAGCACACACAACGAGGATTGATGTGACTCTACTGAAGCTCAGCTCCATGGCGGGTCAAGGCAGGAAGTCCTCGGCAACCGCCGAGGTGCCATGCCCCGCCTTCTCCGGGTTCACGAGTCGCCGTTTTTAGCACTCGTTCAGACTCGTTCCTCATACCTAGAACGGGCACAAGCTGGGTACAACGGAAATTGATCCTTAAGAGGGCACCCTTAGGGATCGACTTCCGTTGACGGCCTAGTTCAGGTTCCCTGTATTACCCCCAAATCACTTAATTCGCAGTTTGTACTATACTAGTAGCAGCCTCAATGGCGCGCTCGAGGTCATCGAGATGGTTGGCCGTCGCCCCTCTAAGCGCGATCGTCGCTGTACGTGTCTTCTTTGAGTGGCTCTGATACTCGTCCTCGCCGGGAGCGAGCTGACGGAGGACGGTGACAGTCTTCGCCAATCTCCGCCATCTCAAAGATGTCGACGTAGCTGGCTTCCTCCGTGGATGCGCCGACGTGGGCGAGGTGTGGCGTTGACGACGCAATCTACCCGGCGGAGGTTGATTTTGGAGAGGACTTTGAGAATGACAATGTTGAAGCGATTGAGGTAGTGTAAGGCGAGATCGCCAACGGATGAGCCTGCGATGATGACTCTGATGCCTGAATCAGCGATTTCTTTGAGAATTTGTTTATCGAGTAATGGTTAGAGGATGTAGAAAGTAATGTGATGGAGAACATACCCTTTCGAATTGTTGTTCCTCGCTGCGCGTGAAATTGAGCATTTCGTCTGCGTTGTTGAGGAGGACGGTGCGTTCGGTTTCGGTTTGGGAGATATCGAGAGTACACGTGAAGATGGCCACTTTCGCGCCTGAAACTTTTTGATGATACCTTGGGAAGGGATGTGAGTATGGCCGTTGTATCGAGGATTTGAGTAGAATCGGAATGGTGTCGATCACATATCGAAGTGCTTGAATCCATCAAGTTCTGCAATCCAGACCCAGGTGGTAGCAGCGAAGTTGTTGCGTCCAGGTGGAGAACGTGAATTAAATTGTCAAAGGATGGTGAGACGTGTACCGACACTAATTATTGCCTTCGACGATTAACATACTGTTAATATTGTCGTACACACGGCGCGAATATTAGTATCAGAGTCCAGATCTTCGTGAGTCGAAGGGATCGCAGAATAGAAGCCGGTTTATATCGAACTGAAATGAATACGCGCGTTCTTGCAATCGAGCATCAACTTGATTAAAAGGAAAGTAGAACGTACCATGTAAGGGAAGTAATTTCCACCAAAATAAATACAGACAGCATGATATTTAAATTCTACAGAACCCTCTCCCCACTAAAGTGAGTGTCAGGGGACCTTTGTTGTAATTGCACATGCCAGAACTGTGTGATGCGCTTATATTTTGGGGACTAGCTAGTGCTTTCCGATATGGAAGTTTTCAACGTTTGATTGTCGGTATTGACACTACGCAAATGGTACTTTAATATAAACTAGTACTGCACTGATCCATAACCCGACACGCAATTCTGCTTGGCGATACTAGAAGAGCCACTACGGATGTAGCAGATCCTAGCAGGAATGCATTCGCCCGTGCATGGCTGAGTGAGTATCGAGCCCTTTCCTTGGTAGGAATTGAAAGTCTAGGAATAGGTGACACAACAAGTTAAAACATCCAGTCACAAACTTACCTGCATCAAAGTCGGGTCTGCTTCCATCTCTGAAATAACATATATAGCGATAATGGGAAAAAATAAAGGAACACACGCACGCTCAGTCACAAGATGCCACCAGGTCGCGTTCAGTGGGTCGGTTGCCCCCCAAGTAATGTTTCCTCCATATGCCTCACGAGTGCTATACTCGAACTCGAAAGTAGGGCCGAATTGAGTCTGCGAGTCCAGCGCAGGATAATCGTTAACATAACTCTTCCAGCTGTAGGGAACTTGTTAGTAAGCAGAAGACCAGCTGATGACAGCAATCTGGAGAACAAAACTGACGTATAAGCCTCGATCACTTCAAAGGTCTGCGTGGATGTATAAGCTAGATTTAGCAGACGTTAGCAGGAAAACTTACAGCAGAGTCAACTTCATAAACACGGAACCCAGAGTTCAGGTTGTTGAGGGGTGTTACAGATGGCCCAGTCTGGAAGCTGAGTTAGATTGATTGTCAACATGAACCCGTCAAAGGACACACCCAGGATACCGCCTGAGCGGTCTCAGCACTCATATTCGTACCATTATTGGCATAGAAGATCTGGACCAGGAAGATATGTCAGCGTTCCCTCTCTATGAAGTGGTATCGGCTCATACGGATAGCTGGTCCTCGTGTGTATGACCCCAGAAGATGTCTGATTATGTGAGTCGTCAAACTTGGTCGAGCATCATAGAGAAATAACATACTAGCAATAACGTGAGGGGAAAAGCGATCGACGCTAGGTACATCAGCTCCACGCAGAATGAATTTGACGTCCAGCGAACGTACATCTGGTAAACTAGCACAGACGCTGCTCAGTAAATTGCACGTTGATCGAGAGGTTCAACTTACAGAGATTGGTTGGGTGCGGCAACGAATTATAACCATCCCAACCGCTGATGACGTGGCCAATGATCCAGACTGAACATCGTCAGATCGATTGGAATGTAGTATTATCAATCAGCGTACCTCGGTCTCCCGCGTCTTCCGCGTCCTGAAGTTCGTCGGTGAGGAACCTCAGTATACCAGAAACGTCCGGTTCGGACGAGTTGATGTAGTTGAAGTAGTTTGACCTTTGCACAGTTTAGATCATGGAGTTTTGACTGTGTGTAGACCGTTGATTACGTACCTGTACCCTGTAAACCAGTTTGTCAGTGCTCATGCCGGTTAAACATTTTGCCTCACATAAGTTGGTGTCCAAGCTGATCACCCTCAGGCCATCTGCACGCTTGACCAGTGTATGCTGCATAGTGAGCACGCGAAAACTCGACGGAAGCCGACGGAAGCCATCCCTCTTGCTCCCATAACGCTGTAACGTGGTCGTATAGCCTAGTGGATGAGGTAATGCATAAAATAGAAACTGATGAGAGAAATTATACCAGCTGAACTGTTGCCCCAAAGCGCCTCCCAGGGATAAAGGCGAAGCTAAATTTGGCAGGCAAGTTTCGTGATTTCCGAGTGTAGCATAGGTAGGGCCAGGTCCGAGCATGCGCTTGAATAGATCATAAAGGACGACCTGCCAGGATGTATGATATGTAACGGTCCAATTTTGAAACACAAATATTACCTGAGAGTACTCGGTGAAAGCTCTTGAAGGGAAGTGAGAAAAGACCGACAATAAGTATAAAATACGTACCTAGACTGTTGGTTATCTGGGTCATGCGCCAACATGTCGCCAGTGAACAAAGTAAAATCGAGGCCAGTTGATTCAGTTCCGGTCAACGGTGGGATGGCCTCCAGCACGGACGTGATCAATGAATATGGAGCATCGCTAAAACGACGTCAAACTGTATTCTTCCAGTGAAGGCGAGTTCTAACCAGAGGAACGAACCATATCGTGGCGCAGGAACGAGAGGTGTCTGAGGGCTGAGAGAATTGTAAGCATTGTCGCGGCAACACAAACCGCTGGTGCAGTTTGCCTCTGCGCCGTTCGCATAACCTGGCAAAAGATGATCAGTGGAGATAAACAATGCATACGTGCAAATGCCGCGCACGGGGATCAATATGCAGGTCCGAAAGATGTAAGACTTTCAGCAGTTGACTACTGGGCTGCTTCGGAGGAGGAAGAGGGTTGGGCTTTGGCTTTGCGAACCAGCCAGTGAGGTTGAGAGTCGTTGTCGTGGGCGCTGGACACAAACCAAGGAAGTTAGAGCAAATCGACTGGGAAACATCGTGAGACACAAAGCATTCTTCCGTTTCAGCGACTTATTTTACCTGTCCGTCATATCCTCCGACATCAGCAAAAGATACAACTTGAGTAAGGATCGGTCCCATGACGAGGGGTCCATAACTTTTCTCGCAAGAGGATGAATAATTGAAGTACTGGCAAAGCGCCAGAGCTAGATTCGTCCCTTGTTCAGGAGCCGCAAGAGCAAGAAATTTTGCCACTTCTAGGGAGGCCTGGCACCGTGCACATGTACTAAACATTGGGTTCACTGCAATAGATTTGATCTGTGCCACCGCTTGTTGAAGAAGCTGTTGGGAGGAGGCCTTGGGTGGAAGCGGGTGAGGATCCACGGTGTCATACTGTCAAAGCGGGAGGGTCAAAACGATAAAACCAACTTGAACGTGCACACTGGGAGTGCTGGTTACCTGAGGAATGTTATCCGGGTCTGTCAGGGAAAAAGGAAAGATTTCATGCTGAAGAGCGAGTTACTTTCAGTTACACGACAGTTACATTAGATATTTACTGTGACAGGATCTGAAATGACTGGCTGTGGCTGCGCAGAGGTGGCCGTTGGATTATTGTAGTATTGAGAGTAGAGAGAAGTTGGAAACGCTCCTGCGACCGCATATGAAGAGGGAACAGTCCTTGTAGTACTACTATCCGCTGCAGCCAGGACGAGCTCGGATCCCTGCGAGTAGCGACCGTTCCAAGCCTAAGAAATACCTGATTTTAACAGACATTCCAAGCCTCATGAAGCTTGTCACTCAGGAAGACGAACTGCACGTACGACTCGGAGGGCTTCGCACAATACGATGAAATCACGGCTTTAAGGCTTCATTAGAGGTCCTTCGGTGACCGTTGTGTAAGCCAAATCTAAGACTGGGTCATCGGACAAAACCGATGATCCGGGTAGAATTTCTAATCTGGATTCCGGGCCCCGGCATCAATCCTTTGAAGCACCTGTGGTAAGGTAACTTATGTTTCTCGCCAGACCTGACTCATGCCTCCTACTTTCTCCAAGACTCTCAAACCCTAGCCCCTTCCTGCATTGCCTTTTTATATGTCAGTCAAGCTTTGGGCGTTAATCGACTGAACTATGCACTTCCTACAGATCTCATACAATACGTGTTTGCCTTCTTGCGCTTCATTCGTTCCGTTCTGCTACTTATAATGGAGTCTGGACTGGCTCTCACAAAACTGTTTAGGGCTGCACGAAGATTCCATTCACTATGTTTACACATTCTCCTGAGTCTCTTCTCGTTGCTACTGTACTATCTAGAATCGCTTCCTCGTTCACTTCCTGCAGGACAAACCGTGCAAGTAAGAACTCGTTGTGAACTTCTAACATCACTCGACAAGGGTTACTTTGCCTCATCCAGCATCACCCCTTCCTCGTCAGACTCCACCCTTCTGATCTAAACAGATGGCTCGCCGCAATTGACCTCAAAGCCGTTCCCACCAAGCTGTTTGGACGATGACGCCATCCAACTACCCGAACAATGCTCGTCCGCAATCAGCATCTCCCGAGCATATCAAGGAATACTTCACTTATGATGCGCATTGAGGGGGAGGAAGGGCGAAAGGATGAGTAGGCGATGGTGATCGCAAGAGGTGAAGCGAAGAGGAGGCCGCGTGTGGAATTTGGTGTTAAAGAGGAATGGTTTGGGGCGTCGACTACTGCTTAGAGGGTCGTTCCACCATATGATAGGACGGGGCATAGAGCCGCGTCACCGTCGCACATATCTTTGAAATAAACAGGCTCTCCGTCGAGATGCTTAGCGGTGCCCGTTTTAGAAAGATTTTAGTTTGTAAAGGGTAGCGGGGTAGCAACGCGTCGTGATCAAGTTGGCTTGATAGGTTACACTTACCGGGGGCACAGCAGGATAGTATGGTGGATAGTATATTCGACTGATGCGAGGACATGCTGTTACAGATCTAAATCAGATATAGACGGTAGCAATTCAGAAAGGAAACCGCGACGGGAGCGACTGGTCCTCGTCCCAATAATGCGAATCATACTCATCACTGGGAGTGCATCATCAGCGTCAGTGCACTTTAACCGGGAGCAATGGTGAAAAATTACTTGCATAGGTATGTTATCCCGCTGCACAACGGCACTGCGACACAATCGGTTAATCGAGGAGGTGTCGACCCGTTCTCTGGGAAACGTTCCGAATATTCTCGCGTCCTTTGATTGTTTTCATCACATCTGAACAGAGAACATCGCTTGCGGATGGAAGAGAGTGAAATAAGCTCCTGCGAGTATGCATATGAGTGCTTAGGAGACCTTTGCAGTTGATGAGGACAGCGTGATCGATGGTGAGGAGAGTGAATCTATTATTACACTCACTCTTGGCTATACTTCGACGTTCAAAATTTCCTACATCGAATATTTTGTGGACTAGCAGGTACTTCAAGCTAAGTTGACGATATGAAAGTTCTGAACGTTCCATTGTTGGGATTGACGACTACTTTTGTAGTAAACGCGCCTATTTGCAAATGGTCCATCACAACTTTAATATAAACTACTACTGCACTGATCCATAACCTGACACGCAGTTCTGCTTGGCGATGCTAGCAGAGCCACTACGGATGTAGCAGATCCTAGCAGGAATACATTCGCCCGTGCATGACGGAGTGAGTATTGAGCCCTTTCCCTGGTATGAATTGAAGGTCTGGGAATAGGTGAGACAACAAGTTAAAAGCATCCAGTCACGAACTTACCTGCATCAAAGTCGGGTCCACTTCCATCTCTGAAATAACATATATAGCGATGGTGGAGGAAAAGAAGGAACACACGCACGCTCAGTCACAAGATGCCACCAAGTCGCGTTCAGTGGGTCGGTTGCTCCCCAAGTAATGTTTCCTCCGTATGCCTCACGACTGCTATACTCGTACTCGAAAGTAGGGCCGAATTCAGTCTGCGAGTCCAGCGCAGGATAGTCATTGACGTAACTCTTCCAGCTGCAGGGAACTTGTAAGCAAAAGACCAGTTGATGACAGCAATCTGAAGAACAAAACTGACGTATAAGCCTCGACCACTTCAAAAGTCTGTGTGGATGCGTAAGCTGTATTTAGCAGACATTGGCAGGAAAACTTACAGCAGAGTCAACTTCATAAACACGGAACCCAGAGTTTAGGTTGGTGAGGGGTGTTACAGATGGCCCGGTCTGGAAGCCCGCGAGTTAGATTGATCGTCATCATGAACCCGTCAAAGGACACACCCAGGATACCGCCTGAGCGGTCTCAGCACTCATATTCGTGCCATTATTGGCATAGAAGATCTGGACCAGGAAGATATGTCAGCGTTCCCTCTCTATGAAGTGGCATCGGCTCATACAGATAGCTGGTCCTCGTGTGTGTGACCCCAGAAGATGTCTGGTTGTGAGTCGTCAAACTTGGTCGGCATCACAGAGAAATAACATACTAGCAATAACGTGAGGGGAAAAGCGATCAACGCTAGGTATATCAGCTCCAAGCAGAGTGAATCTGACATCCAGCAGACTTACATCTGGTAAACTAGTGCAGATGCTGCTCAGCAAATTGCACGTTGATCGGGAGATTGATTAAACTTACAGAGATTGGTTGGGTTCGGCAACGAATTAGAACCATCCCAACCGCTGACGACGTGGCCAATGATCCAGACTAAGCATTGTCAGATCGAATGGAATGTAGTATCATCAATCAGCGCACCTCGGTCTCCCGCGTCTTCCGCGTCCTGAAGTTCATCGGTGAGGAACCTCAGTATACCAGAAACGTCCGGTTCGGACGAGTTGATGTAATTAAAGTAGTTTGACCTTTGCACAGTTTAGATCATGGAGCTTTTGACTGTGGCTTCCGGACCATTGATTACGTACCTGTACCCTGTAGACCAGTTTGTCAGTGCTCATGCCAGTTAAAACATTTCGCCTCACACAAGTTGGTGTCCAAGCTGATCACCCTCAGGCCATCTGCACGCTTGACCATGTATGCTGCATAGTGAGCACGCGAAAACTCGACGGAAGCCGACGGAAGCCATCCCTTTTGCTCCCATAACGCTGTAACGTGGTCGTATAGCCTAGTGGATAAGGTAATGCATAAAATAGAAACTGATGAGAGAAATTATACCAGCTGAACTGTTGCCCCAAAGCGCCTCCCAGGGATAAAGGCGAAGCTAGATCTGGAAGACAAGTATCGTGATTTCCGAGTGTAGCATAGGTAGGACCAGGTCCGAGCATGCGCTTGAATAGATCATAAAGGACGACCTGCCAGTATGTATGATATATAACGGTCCAATTTGGAAACACAAATATTACCTCAGAGTACTCGTTCAAAGCCCTTGAAGGGAAGTGAGAAAAGACCGACAATAAGTATAAAACACGTACCTAGACTGCTGATTATCTGGGTCATGCGCCAACATGTCGCCAGTGAACAAAGTAAAGTCGAAGCCAGTTGATTCGGTTCCGGTCAATGGTGGGATGGCCTCCAGCACGGACGTGATCAATGAATATGGAGCATCGCTGAAACGACATCAAACTACATTCTTCCAGTGAAGGTGAGATCTAACCAGAGGAACGAACCATATCGTGGCGCAGGAACGAGAGGTGTCTGAGGGCTGAGAGAATTGTAAGCATTGTCGCGGCAACACAAACCGCTGGTGCAGTTTGCCTCTGCGCCGTTCGCATAACCTGGCAAAAGATGATCAGTGGAGATAAACAACGCATACGTGCAAATGGCACGTACGGGGATCAATATGCAGGTCCGAAAGATGCAACACTTTGAGCAGTTGACCACTGGGCTGCTTTGGAGGAGGAAGAGGGTTGGGCTTTGGCTTTGCAAACCAGCCAGTGAGGTTGAGAGCCGTTGTCGTAGGTGCTGGACATAAACCAAGGAACTCAGAGCAAATCGACTAGAAACATCATGAGACAAAACATTCTTCCGTTTCAGCGACTTGTTTTACCTGTCCGTCATATCCTCCAACATCAGCAAAAGATACAACTTGAGTAAGGATCGGTCCCATGACGAGGGGTCCATAACTTTTCTCGCAAGAGGATGAATAATTGAAGTACTGGCAAAGCGCCAGAGCTAGATTCGTCCCTTGTTCAGGAGCCGCAAGAGCAAGAAATTTTGCCACTTCTAGGGAGGCCTGGCACCGTGCACATGTACTAAACATCGGGTTCACTGCAATAGACTTGATCTGCGCTACCGCTTGTTGAAGAAGCTGTTGGGAGGAGGCCTTGGGTGGAAGCGGATGAGGGTCCACGGTGTCATACTGTTAAAGCCGGAGGGTCAAAACGATAAAACCAACGCGGACACTGGGAGTGCACGTTACCTGAGGAATGTTATCCGGGTCTGTCAAGGAAAAAGGAAAGATTTCATGCTGAAGAGCGAGTTACTTTCAGTTACACGACAGTTGCATGAGACATTTACCGTGACAGGATCTGAAATGACTGGCTGTGGCTGCGCAGAGGTGGCCGTTGGATTATTGTAGTAATGAGAGTAGAGAGAAGTTGGGAACGCTCCTGGGACCGCATATGAAGAGGGAACAGTACTTGTAGTACTATCCGTTGCAGCCAGGACGAACTCGGATCCCTGCGAGTAGTGACTCCAAGCCAAAATGGCTAAACCTAAGAAATACCTGATTTTAATAGACATTCCAAGCCTCATGAAGCTTTGAAGCTTGCTACCCAGGAAGACGAACTGAACTGCGTACACGTACGAGGGCTTCGCACAATACGACTCATTTTTTCATTTAAGGCTTCATTAATCATTAAGGCTAGACTCTCGTGTGAGGGTTCTATCGGTTAGCACGAACGTTCGCGTTGATCAGGTGCATTTGCACACGGATATAGTGCTAAATCAGGAAGTGAATGAGCACGATAAGACGGTAATTAAGTTTAGTACTTAAGCTCAAGTACACATATATATACCAAGTTGCTTCGAGCGCTCACTCGAAATGTTGCCAGTGCTTAGCATCTGTAAAACACCCAAGTTCTAGTGTTGCCGTCGAGGCGAGTTAAACTCGATGTGAAATCGATTCGGTTCGAAAATGACCAAAATCGTTTCAACTCGAAACTCCGATTTGAATCAAGTTGCAACTCGTTGGGTTCGAGATTTACTATCGATTTGGTGTACTTCATATCCATACATCGTAATCCCCTGTGAATGGCCCCAGGCCCTATAATATGATTATCGTTACAATGAGCTGCAGTGGACTCGACATAGCTGCCACTCCCTCTGTAAGTCTTCAAAAACCTTGTTCAAGCTGGCACTGACTCGGGTACATGCAGTGAGATGCGATAGATCATCATTGATCAAACGTTCGGTTCTCCATCTCTCGTAAGTTCAGACTGGCGAAATAAAATAATAACATCGAGAGCATCTCCACCAATCGCGTGAGTGCGCTACAGCTGAGGTCGTAAGCGTTCGTAAGCGTCCGTAACGCGCGTCAGTTAAACGTTCATTTCAGTGGTTTTTTGCAGATTAGTAGAGTCCCACACTGCATTCGCGTACATTAAGTATTTCCCATCTCCGTACCCCAACGTATCCTTTAGGATTGACCTTCATCACAGTCTTGAACTCCGACTCTATTTCGGATTGTGAAGGGCGATGACCTGAATATGGTGCACCCGCTTGCGGCCTCCTGTTTTCCGTGCTTCTTGTAATGCGAGGAGCTTGCCCAGAACCGGGTCGGAAGTCCCACTCATCTGGCGTTCTCCTGACAGACAGGTTCGTCCATCAAAATTTAGTCAGTCTTGAACTCCGACTTTCAGATTGTGAATGTTTTCCGTGCTTCTTGTAATGCGAGGAGCTTGCCCAAAACCGGGTCGGAAGTCCCGCTCATCTGGCGTTCTCCTGACAGACAGGTTCGTCCATCAAAATTTAGTTAGTCTTGAACTCCGACTTTCAGATTGTGAAGGGCGATGACCTGGATATGGTGCACCCGCTTGCGGCCTCCTGTTTTCCGTGCTTCTTGTAATGCGAGGAGCTTGCCCAAAACCGGGTCGGAAGTCCCGCTCATCTGGCGTTCTCCTGAAATACAGGTTCGTCTTTCCCCGTCGCGAGCCGAGCTCAGGACGCCTCAAATCTCCGATGTTGTCAGTTGCTAGTTGATAATCTCGTTCCACCGAAAAAAAAAACTGTATAAAGACTGACGACCTTGCACATACATGTTCCTCATCTCGATGTTCACAATATGAATCCGACGACCCACACAACCGCTCCTGACTGCGAGTCCTCACAATTCATTTTACCTGACCTTATCAATGATTGCCACTATCCCTTGCATAAGAACCCTCACTGTGATGCGGTGTCCCGCGCATCTGATCAATGGTTTACTGACGTAGCGCAACTTGTAGAGTCCGAGCTCAGGAAGTATCTTGATGTGGACTTAGGCGCATATGCTTCCGTTTGCTGGCCTAATGCAGATGCTTTCCATCTCCGAGTCTGCGCCGATTTCTTCAACTGGATAGCCATTATAGACGACTGGATGGAGTATGGTGTCGTCGATGCACGGGAAGCGCATGAATCCTGTCTTCTTGCACTCCGCGATCCCGTCAATTTTGACACGGAACAGCTTGGTGGAAAGATGTGCAAATCGTATGACTATTTTTTTACATTGCATAAACTCTTTCTAAAAGTTATTATGCGGTTAGGTTTTTTAGCCGCTTCAGGGAGACTGCTGGTCCCGGCTGCACAGAGCGGTTTATCCAAGGAAGCGAATTGTACTTCGCTGCTGTGGCTAAGCAGCTGGACGACCGTGCCAAAGGAAATATGTATGAACTGCAATATTACATCGCCGTGAGGCGAGAGATAGGCGCAATGAAGCTCTGCTTTGCCCTCATCGAATTCGCAGCTCGAATTGATCTTCCCGACGAAGTTCTGTCGCATCCAGTTGTCAAGGCCTTGGAGAACGCGACCAACGATTATGCTACTTGGGTTAACGTAATTCTTTTCAGTCGTTGAACACTGTGGCGCCGCTGACATTACCGCCAACAGGATATTATCTCTTACAACAAGGAGCAATCTCACGGTGGCGCACCCTGGGAAAACATAGTTTCCGTGCTCATGCACGATCGAGGACTAGACCTGCAAGGTGCCATCGACTATGCTGGCCAGATGTGCAAAGATGCTATACAGCGTTTTGAAACTAACCGTGTCATCCTCCCCTCATGGGATGAAGAGGTTGACAGGCAGGTGGCTATCTATGTCGAAGGGATGCAGGACTGGATGGTCGGCTCACTTCACTGGCAATTGGGTTCCATCCGGTATTCTGGCAAGGATGGACGTGCTGCGAAGCAGGACCGAATCGTCAAGCTGCTTCCCAAAGAGCCTTTGTAGAGCCTGACACCTGATACATGGCTTCTGGAGGTGAGATCAGTTTCACTTCTCTGACGCACTACACAATTCTTACGACTAGCTTAGTTGAATGTTAATACATGATGCACATCTCACACGTTTGCTTCAGTTGCATAATACATGACATCCCGCCTTCCTTGCTTTGTCGTGGTTTCAACTTCTTGTTAAGCTCCTTGCGTGTAACACTTCCTGTCCGTCTTTTGTGTCACCACTGCATGAACATATAATAGCCTCGTATCCTTGTGCAAATCAAAGTTGTGCCACAGGAAGGACCGATTTACCAACTTGCACCTCCGAGTCCTGCAGTGGTGGGTGAGCTATAGGGACATTTAAATGCATTTTGGTTGTGGATCGATATGCAGGAACATAACCTTCATCAGGAGAAGTCTCCTGTGTACGAATGGCGGGAAGTGCATGGATTAATTTGAATGTGACTTACATGTGTGCACTATGAATTCGGGCGCCAGCGGACAAAATTCTCAGCGATTTCAATCAAGGGTTTCGAAGTTTCGTTTCGCTTTCAGAAATTCAAACGCAAGTATGTAGTTGAAAACACCTGTTAATAAATGATCTGAAGCGGTCTGTTTATAAACAGCTGGTGAAAAGTTGCGAGGATTCTTCAACCGTACCCTAATGGCGTCTGGTTGACAGGCAAATTAGCATGGCCCTCGCGGAAAAAAATGGCTTGGCGTGCTGTCGACTGGTGTGTCGAGTTAAACAACTTGTTCACAAAGGTAAGTAGTACACCCCCACGTGCACGTTGTCAATGTGCCTGAGACTTCTCGCGATGTTCAAAACATCGACGAATGTCGAAATTGAGAAGCTTGGATAATGTCACAGCAGGAAAGCAGGAGGAGGAAGACCATCTAGATTCTAGAATACTTGCACGCCCAGTGTTTTTATCGACTATGAATTGCATTCCCTTCCCCTGGTTCAGAGGTTGCCCTCATTGTGCACTGGAAACGTGATCCTTGCTCCTATTATTTTACTGTGAAGCTGTCTCAGCTGTCTCAGCCTGGGAGCGAACTGAAGTGTTTCGTTGGCAAAGCAAATGCAATGTTTAAAAAGCGACGTACATCATAACAATCCATACATTTATAATCCGGGCAATTCGGACACAAAGGTGCCCCACACTCCATGCACTCGATTTCATAATCGGCTATGCATTCATGGCAATGAAGGCCACCCATGATACAAACCCTGCAAGATAATAATTCGCATCCCGTCACGAGGACTACACCCTTGTTTGACAGTGAAGGCCCTTCTTCGTCGGGTATATCTTCCTCCGCGCAATCTTTGCATAGTGTCCTCTTTCGACACTCCGTGCACGCACGGATATATTTACACCTTCTGAAGCAATAAAACGTCTGACATCTCGGACAGCGTCGACCGCTCCTCTGAATTTCCTTCTGAGCACATAGCCCACAAATCCAGGCCAGTCCACAAGGGCAAGTTACATGACTGCGAATGGTTTCAATGCAATCAAGACAAATATCTGGATCATCATGTTCACGAGGCCGCCAGATGTGCTCGCTGCACTTCTTCCAATTGGCTTCGGTGAATCTGTTGGAAATGGACATGAGATAGATTTAAGAATGCACTCGATGGAAATTTTTGAAAGGGGAGGGGTTGTCCCACGCACTTCGTCATGAGCCTTGGGGGATAACGGACCTCGCAGAGTATGCACTCGCTAAGTGCACCTAAGTCGTCTGAGTCATATATAAGACAATCATGGCAGAACATCATGGTATCGTAGGAGCAACAACGGGACACACGGACGAGGTTGGCACCTACACATCGACTATTAGCGCCGCAGGTGACAGTTGAAGAACTACTGCACGCGATGAGCCGGTGCGAGCAGAGTGGACAACAAGGACATATGGTTCGTGAGCTGGTTTCTTTACTTGCTTGTGAATCGGGTATCAAATTGTGATCAAAGAGTCGCTGATAAAAATCCTACGAAACAACATCGTTCGAGCGCAAAGTGCTTTGGATGCAAAGTTGCACATACCTGGATACCAACCTCGAGCCTGAGACCCAACATTGACCATCGCTTGTCAGGTGTCCTCGATGATGATGACGTGTGCTTGGTCACCTACATACACTATATCATCTACGCCATGTACAGCAGGTACAGACATACCTTCATGAAGTGATGGTTGAACGAAAGAATCAGGCAGCTTAGGGGTCAAGACGTCAAATGGTCGACCGTTTTCAAACTCCGCTCGCGCGCCATACATGACAAGTTGTTACTGCCAAAGAAAGAAACCCTCAGGCTCGTTGAACAGCCTTAGAATCTGCGTAGCCATGCAATAGAGAATAAGATCATGATGTCATTGTACAAGTTAAAGAAATGATTTCGTTTCAAAATAACATACCTCCCTGCAAATACTAGACTTGAACACCACCTCTCGGAGCAGCGGATGCTGAAGCTCTCGCTCGCATCGTTTGCACCCGGCTCTTCATTTACCCAGTTAGCATGTTGACTGGAAGTTATGGGATGAAATCAACACCCGTCTCGTATCTTTGAAATTTGCTGTTCTGCATGTCATAGGAGTCGCCTCGAATACCCGAGCTTTGGATATATTCACGTTCAGGGAATATCTGCCTCATTAGTTTGTGTTCGTTCATGCATGTCGGAAACGTTTCGCAAAAGCGAAAATTTGCATTCGGGCAGGTAAAATTACTTCGAAAGGCGAAGCACACCGAGTGAAAGTGACAAAATATTTTGTCGACACCCGTCCGTCAACACTTGCTACTGGTCGATTCCGAGTCGGCAGACTTCGCTCGACTGCGGGTATCCGGAAGCTGCCACGCATAGACTACCTTATTTCGATATGTCAATGGCAACCAACATTCGTTGTTTGAAAATCGACATACCTCGCACCCCCGACACCCATCTTCCGTGGCGCAAGTCAGGCACATAAGCTCCCCACAACTCGGACACTCTTCGTAGTCCACGCAATCCTGGCAATGAACACTGAGACAAGATCGACAACGGGATCCACAATCATTAAAGCAATCTGTGCAGATTCTGCCCCGACATTCTTCGCACGTCGCCACGAGGAATGTTGCAGTTGAAGACTCCTCCTCGGACATGTCTTCTTCCATGCAATCATTGCATAGCGTCATCATGCGACAGTCCACGCACACGTCGATGTATCTGCACCTGAAGAAACAAAAATAGTTCTGACATTTTGGACAGCGTCCACAATGGTTCAGAACTTTCTCGTTAGTGGCACACGTGCCACAAATCCAGTTGTCCTCGCAGGGACAAAGTATGTGACCGTCCGTGGGTCTGACGCAATCAGGACAGATTACGCCACCAGTAAAATGTGCGCGAGAGGAACAGTCGTACTGGCTGCACTTCTTCACCGTCGCAAGGGTCGAAAAGCACGATTGACACGAAGACACAAAACTAATGAGGTTAGCACCTTTACAGCAACTGTTATCGCAGGTGACGTTCGAACAACCATAACATGTGACGAGAAGGTGTGAGCAGATCGGACAGCGAGGATAGTCTGACGAGGATGATGAAATGGGTGTTTCAAGTGCTCGACTTGCTTGTGATTGGGATATCAAACTATGATCGACGAGTCGCTGGTAATAGTTCTACGAAATATTGTCATTTATATGCGAAGTGTCTGAACGCTGAGTGTACGCACTTGGAAACCAAGCTCTGAGAGACTTTGATTCATTGCTAACTATTCGTGCCCTCGCGCTCGCTGCGAGAACTTACTTATCAGGTTTTCATCTTTGAGTTCACGTGTCCTCATGCTGTCGAATCCAGATGGTTTACCAGGAAGCGGCGAAAGCATGTTTCAGGAACTATGCTCATTGTAGTGGTCCGGATGTTTCCGGTGTTCCTAGAACGAGAGTAGCTGTGCAGAGCTGTGTGACAGCAGGTCACCGACTGTGTCTTCTCTTAACTTTCAAATTTCAGATCTCAGAAGTTCGACATCGTGCTGTGTCTTCAAAGGCTGTGCCACCTTCGAAATCGAATCACCTGTGCGTGTTCCGTGTTGACGCTCCGGCTGCCCTATGGACACGGTAGAACTGGTACCATCAGCCCGAGGCTCTACTTATTTCCGAAATTCTCGTGACGATTTTCGCGCATGTGAATCAAATACCGTCGATCACATTATCTATTGATGAGATATCATATTCAAGTCGGCCCCGAAATCCCTAACCGCACTTGCAACAGCATGCAAAGCCTTCCATAAGCCCACGATGGGTATGCTGTAGGCTGAAATAAACCAATTAGAGCAACTGCCAGGCTGTGTCCACTGATATATCGTAGTGGCGTCAGGGTCAGTTTCGTGCTGTTCATTTCTTCACGTTCTTATCATTGGCAGCCTTGGCTGACCGAACATTTACTAAATAGTGGAACTGCTGGGCAAAAGGCGTCGAACCATTATCTGCCAATGACGCACGTCAATTTTTGCTGTCGCTCCTCCTGTGTTTCCTCATTGGTTTGAGCGCCTGTTCACCTTCTCTCGATCATCCCTATCGAGACTGCGTCTTTCCGGGGCTGTAGTCGTTAACCTAGACTCAGAGTCAGGGGTGTTCTTCTGGGCGATAATGAATTGTTCCTGCACATACGCAGTTCTGTTCTCTATCGGCCATCTGTCAAGATCTGAACTCTATTGCGACCTACTGTGCTTTCACCATCTGGAAATAGATAACTCGCGTCGTCATTCACCTACCGTCACAGTCCACGGATTATTCACAGCGCTTCGTAGATGACCACTTTTTTTTTTGCTGCGAGTGTTAATTGATACCGTGAATCTCGATATCAGTCGTGCTGCTGAGCTAACACGGCGTACCTCTCGGAGTCCCATAGCGGATGCTAAAACTCTCCCTTCCATTGACCAAGTCAGCACGCTCACTGGCACAGATTGGGAGCTTGGGATGAAGTCAACATCCATCACAACCCAAATATTTGAAAGCTGCTGCGCTGCGTGTTCACAAGACCTGAATTAGATATTCTTGGAGTTGCCGCATTCATTGGCGTTCGTTCGCAAAAGCGAGGTTTGCATTGGATGGTTGGCAAGGAAGGCTAAAAACTTGAATAGGTAAAACTGCCGTCCACTCAAGAGCCAAAGCATACTGAGCGCAAGTGACAAGGTTTTATCCACACCCGTCCGTCGATAGTCGTTACTATTGGTCAACTCCGAGTCGACAAGACAGCTTACATGGAAAAAGTATTATAATTGCAATATGAAACGCTAATAAAACTACAATTGTCTATATAGCGCAAAATAGTGTACCGCAAAACACCATACAGTAAAGGTATCAACGTGAGACCAGCGTTCCCGCTGGGGTTATCCGTGGTTGTGCACATGTGAATAATACAAGTCCAGTCAAGTTAATGCCATGCACGTGGCGTCGTAACAGTTCTCATAGGGAGCGTCGGTGCTTCTGTCAAATCGCCGAACCGCTGGAGGCGAAATGAGGTTCAGGCGAGGGGGAACGAGAGGTCCGGGACGACCGGGAAGGAATGCTAGTGGGACGAGCTGCATAGCGGGGGAGACTCTCGATAGGTTTGGATATCAAGAAGCCTAAGAACCATGATGAGGATATTGTGCGAACCAAAAAAAAACAATAAGACTGACCTCTGAGGCCTGCAGCCTTCTCACCTTGGCGCCCAAAGCCGTAACCAGCTCTGCTTCCATTCCGCACAGCACCGAACTCCGAAGCACCCGTCTTCTCATCATATACTGTAGAAGAGGTGGATGACTGCCCGGAGCCAGATGAGCCGGAGCGATTGAGATCGAGATTTGCGGCAGAACGCAGGTTCGTCGTTGGCAATACACCCTTGGCTTCCTCGCGCCACGACGTGATTGAACGCCTGCTCTTGGCTGATTCCCGGAAGAGAAGACCAAGGAACATGTTGATACAGCCGAGGACGAAAAGGAAGAAAGCGGAGACAAGGGTGAAGTCATCCACATGCTGCGAGAGGACTGCAGCTCCGATACTATAAAAAAAGTCAGCGTTGTGTACAAACCCACGCAAAGAAGATAACTTACAGTCCTTGGAAGATACCCAAGGCGCCGAGTCCAAAACCCGTACCAAGCACAGGGAAAAAGCGATCAAAGAAAGCAGATGGCCAACCAATCTCAGAAAGGAAGAGCATGACAACTTGGAAGATAATAAGTAGGCGGTTGATGACAGCCCAGAAAACACCGCCAATCTGGTTAGGTACGGTGCTGTTCCTGTTTCCGACGTTAGCACACCATGATACTTATACATGTAACATTTGAACTTACTCGATGTATTCGCAGTCAGCAAAGTCTTGCGCTGTGACATTGCCACTTTGCTTGGCAGCTTCGAACGCGTTAACAGCTTCGACGTCCGTGACGATAACAAAGATGCTGCTGGCAAAGACCAGTATGAGAGACACTATGCTCAGGAAACGGACAACATTGAGTGCAAAGAAGATATCTGAGGCAAAGTCAGCTAATCCGCCCAAGATACAAAAACAAGCTGTACTCACATGCTCGTGGGCCGACCATTATAAAAGATAGAAAGGATTGATGATGTCTAGGAGATAGTTGGGATCGTAGACTGTTTGAGTTGAAAGGATAGCAATTGCAAGAATGTCTTTAGTGAATGAATGATCACTGATCAGGTGGCCCAGCACCGGTAGAAAGCAACGATGAAGGTTAAAGAAACGAGGCGGGATACATTTTGACCAGCTGAGAGCGGCGGTTTATGTAGTTTGGACTGATGTGGACTGGGCCATTGACATCCCAACCTTATTGTTCTCGAGAAAGCCCACACACGATCGATTCGTTGAACAAAAAGAGCAAGGACAATGCCTAACCTAGCTCTTACGTAACTAATACCCGGAATCAAAATTAAAAATGCCTGAATCGCGGAGTTAAAAAGTACCACAACACTTTGCTGGCTCATCCGACTTTATTGTTGGTCCACAGCGCTCGATGCTCGTCGTTGTCAGCCTTGCGTTGCCCAGTGGACGTAGTACAACGCGTAACGATTATTATATTCATGATTTCCCAATTACATACGGAAATCGCCGCACTTCTTGAATCATAGTACTATGTAACCGAGTCGACCGCTCACCAAGCTACAACGTAGTAAGGGTATTTGTACCCAGGATCAGCCGATATAATTATATCAAGATAACAAACAGCGCTGGCATACAATTCGTATCTATCCACTCCGAGGTCAGAATGTGAAATCAGTGTGAATATCTTCAGAGACGATTAGAGAGTGCATTGTCCATAGGCTACGTTCAAACAACTATGTATGGTGGTGGAGAACGTGAAAGCGTTGGTGGTTATAGTACGGTCATCGTAAGTCCATTGGGTAGAGTTAGTAAAAGTGATATGTCAGTGCTCAGTGGACTGTTTTGCTCAAGGGAGATGAACTATTCTCTCGAGTAGGGTGGGGGTTCGATTGATGTAGTACCACCCGTGTTGGGAGAAACCGATCCGGCATCTGTGTGCACGACAACACCATTAGACCGCCTTCGTCTAGGGGCACGTTTACCGGGCGGTCTGGCAGGCGCAGATGAAGGAGCGGAGAGTAGGAGCGGGAACGGGAGCAGGAGCAGGAGCAGGAGTAGTACTGGATTTAGGTGATTGGGGGTCATCATTGATGATTTGCAAGACCCGTCTGTCGATCACAGGGGAAGGACTTCCTGTGCGATTAAGCGGATCAAATGCGCCAAGCTCATCAACGCGATTGCTCGGCGAAAGCGATGAAGATCCGGATCTACCTAACAAAGGCATCGCGCTACTGCTCGAAACCACAGACAGCGATCGAGGGCCCGTGGAAGATTGGGACGTCGATTGGGATGTTGCACTGAGATGCCTCTGCGCAGTGGCAGTCTGTGCTGCCTGCATGGACCCTGAGATGGAAGCCTTCGAAGCGTTCCCAGGTGCAGAACTAATGCCAAGCAAAGGGGTAACTGACGTATTGCGGCTGTGGGTACTTGCCAGGGAGGCACTGAATGAAGGATGATGAGAGCTTGGCGGGGAACCAGACCCTGGTGGTGGCGTCACATGTCCAACAAGTCCATACTGATACGGTTTAGGCTCAGCGCCGAGATCAAGCATGGACCTGTCATGATTTCGGCGCACAGCAATAGGGGAGTCAAATTCTTCATCTTCAACAGCTTCTCTGTCAAATATATCATCCCAGGATCTGCGTCTGCGACTGAAAAAGAGGGAGAAAGGGAAACGTAAATCGGAGAAACAAATACTAGGGTGATAGAATTTACCAGAGGTACCACAAAGCGCTCACGATCACAACCAATCCAACAAAACCACCAATCACGCCACCGACTATGGGGGCTACATCTGTGCCTGACCCACTCGCGCTTTTAGTACTTGTGGCAGTTGGGCTTGAGATCACAGACGGTACGTAAACAGAAGATGCTGGCAGTGTAGACGTTGTAGTGACTACAGTCGCAACCACATCGCCGTTCGAAAGGGTTGTAGAAGATGATTGGGTGATAATGGATGGTGCAGGTGTGGTCACTACCAGTACAGACGTTGTCACTGGGGGAGTTGAACTAGAAGAACTTGTTTGACTAGTCGTGGAAGATGTTGTCTGCGACGGGGTGGAACCGTCAGAGCAAGAGGCAAAGAGAGTATTCGTTGGTTGAGTCTGGGTGACTGGAACTGTCACGATTATGGGTACTTGTGTGGTGGCAGCCCCGCCTGGAAAGAATTCAACCATCAGCGCCCATTCAGAAGCGAAGGATGACCAAAATAACCGCGATAGGTGGAAGCATCATTGCCGTCAAAGCGGTCAAACAACACCGCGGTGCGACGGAAGAAGGGAAGCAGGTACAATAATGAACTGCGCACCTCCAATGGTGTTCACCTGCGTGACTGCTGCGCTCGAGAGACAACCTGTACTATTGGATCCACTCAAGGTGCCAGTAGCAATACAGCTCTGCTGCACGATGGTTGTGACTGTGTCCTGGTTGTTCAATACACTCTGTGAGAGCGACGTGGAGGTCGTAAATGTAGTGATAGTGGCATACTCCGTTGCAGTGGCAGACGGAGTGCAAGACATGGTCCTTGGCAACAGAATCAAGCAAGTGTAACACCAAGGGTAACACCAAGGGTCAGGCAAAAGGTAGGAAAAAAACAGAAAAATCCGGGTCCAAAAATGCCCGAAAAAAAGAAAAAGCGAGCGATTAATCGAGAAAAAGGGAAGAAGTGAGGAGAATGAAACAAAGGTAGAAAGTTGAGCAAAGCTTACTTGTGCAATTCAAGAAGGTACGAAGGCACTGCCTCGCTACCTTTTCATTATCGGAACGGTTACTTCAAATCTACGTCGTGCAGGGCTGCACACGACGGACAAACTGAGGCTCCGACAGTGCGCGAATGCAACAATAATAGCAACAGTATTACTGATAAAAAAAAATAACACAACACTGAAAACCTAATTAATCGCAGACAAGTAGAGGTCCTGGTACGAATTATCTGCATGGAAGATCACATTAACCCGCCGTAAAAGGTCTTGAAGAAATTAATGTAAGCCTGGACCAGAAGGCGTAGTACTGCCCGTACTTCTTCTCCACCGCCGCGGCCACCTCAAGTTGTTGTCAATGTTATTAAGCGCACTGCGCTTCTCTGAGGCAGCTCTTTGCCTGTGCTCTGGCTTCACTTCCACTGGCAGCTGCTCTTGACCATCCATTGGTCTGATATCAAGAACGACATCATGTTGAATAGGCTCCTCCTCGCCCACGAGCCCATTTCTCTCTCTCACGCGCCGCCATAGGCTTTTGGTTGTGTTTTTCACGAACTTCCCCAAGGTGATAAGCGGATCCTCAAGCAGTGGGTCTGCAGCAGGGTCGCTGGTCCACGAAGACCGTCCTTGGCGAGCATCACGCGCGGGACGTCTTCTCCGCGAACGGGCCGCCACCCCGAGCGGCAATTTCGAACGCTTCCGGTTAGGGTCTGGTGGTGGAAGTGGTGCAAATCTGACACTTGGTACGTGCCCCAGCGAGAAGCATGTACATGTTGAATGAGAGGGGTTTGATGAATTAAAGTTTGTGATGGTGGGGAAAATCAAGGATGACTCGGAGTCAGGGGATGGGGTATGCTCGGACGAGAGCTTGGTCGCCACTTCATGGGCATCATCGAGGCGGGCAGCGATGGACATAACTGACTCTGAAGAAAAGAGCGTAGGGTGTTCAAAGAATGTGATGAGTCTCCGAAAAATGTAATCGAGACGAAAACGCCGTGCACTGCAGCCCAGTTAACTGGCAGCTTCAGATGGAGGATTGGAGCAAAAAGGTTGAAAAATGATTTATTATTAGTATACTTGCATCTCTTGGTAACAGTATGGCGTGGTCACTGCTTGACAATTAGCAGCCGACTCTTTGACGTCTGGACTCGGAGCTAAGCGCGTAGTATCCGCTTTTGGCTGCACCTTCTGCCAGGAGTTTTTATTGTAACTTATTCTGCACCGCGGAGAAATAACTGAATGTCATGAGCACAGTCCGGAGGAGGTCCAATACTGCACAATCAGTCCTTCGCAATCTCCCTGGACCACCTCCGCAACCTTTGAAGCTCGGAGATGTCAAAGTTCTCAATTCATGGGTACACGACCAGAAGGAGTCATCCACCGCCATATTGAATCAAACATGGTTGCCCGGTGTAGCAGAGGGAGACATGCTACAATTCTCGGGTTGCAATGCAGGGAATGCCACTGCTGGGTATCTATTCATGGTTCCAAAGGACGAAGGCTGCCCGAAACCCGCATTACAGGTGCCTGTTCTACCTCGGTACCGTGAAGTCGCGCTCAGATAGGCCTAGATTTCACTTCCAAAGAATGTCGCAGACGCGTTTGGGATAAAGAACAATGGCGAGGTGACCGTAACGAAAGTAATCGTATTCTTCGCAATTTCGGTTAAAGCCATACTCATAATCGAGGCAGGTGGATAAGCAGCTGTATTGCGCAGACTATATCGAGTTCACATTCCAAGACCAATATCTTGGTCGAAATGAAATGTGGAGACTGGCCGAACACCTTGTGGGGCAGTGTGTATTTGTCGACCAGGAAATATCCTTCATAAGCGTGATCGCCGCCAAGATACAATCCATTTATGTCAAGGGTCGAAAAGTAGGTGTATAGCCTTCCGCTTCCCTGTCATTTTCAAAAGGCGTATTCGCAGGTATCTGCAGGATACGTTACTGCCACTACCAAAGCGATATACCGGTCTCTCTCTGCGAAGGTGACAATCTTCATTCAAGTCTGCCGTGAACTCTGGGAATTTGCGGGAGATGGTGAACGCTACAATGAGAAAATCGTACACTCATTTCTCCCGGCCTTATTTACAAAGTGGCGCGAGGCTGGCACGAATCACACAGTCACCATCGTGCTTATCTCGAGGGTGTATTACGATGACTCTGAAAAAGAGTATGCCGCAGGACCTCTAAGACTGGATGAAGATGGTCGACGGTACAAGGATTTTTACAAGGTTATTACTGACTTGGAAGTCATTCATGACTGGAAACCTACACTTGTAGGACTCAAAGTGTCCTTCTGGGCCTTCCAAAGGGATATCTTGCTCGCCCATCACTACCACCAAGCCTCTGTCGAATCTACCCCACCAGAGCAAGCCAGACTCGTTGGTCAGCTATCGGATGCGCATGATGGTCCTATTTTGGAGGCTCTCAACTTGGGCCTTAACCCAAACGAAACGCACTACATCGATCGCTCACTGTCAAACACTGGGGCATCAACCATCCTCATCACCCCTGGTACAGGCTATTACAAAGTGTCCAAGCAATTGCTCCGATTAACCACAACCCGCATGCTCGACCAGGGCTTCGGCTTGGATCTCGTATCATTAGCAAAACGCCCTTTACACCAGACTCCTATATTCGCTTTCAAGGGATACGAGCCACGTTTGGATAAGGACGGGAAGAACGGCGGCCGAGCCCTAGATCCGCTTTGGGGAGGTGATGAAGACCCAGATGAGTCCAGGAGATTGGAGAAGACTACGTTCTGGTGGGAACCATTCTGGATAGGTGTTTCGTTCTGGGACAAGCAGATGGATCTACCTTTTCGCGAGGATAGGTCTGTTGTTCGAGCTCGATCCTTTACCTTACTGATGGCATTCTCAGGTTCGTTGCCAGAGCAAAAATGCATGAGATACAGATGCTCGGGCTGCTCGAGCATGACGTCCTTTCTGGCATAGAAGTCCCTTACCTCCCAGAGTTACGTGACCCATACGCCACGCCGCCACGAGATAGCTTTTCGGAAGATGACCGTACTCCCACACAAGCAGATGCTGATCAAGCCGATATGGATGTGTTCATCTTGAAGAAAGAGTCCCGGACCGTTACCAGCACGCGCAATTCATATGGCTCTTCTACGGGTGGGACTATCATGGCTTCGTCCTATCGTTCATCGATCATGAGTGAGAGACGTGGGCTGGCATCACAACGCAGTTCTATCGCGTCCACGCGTATAGCACCAATTGAAGAGAGCCCCAGAAAGATCATCATGGATCTACCTCCTGAAGGCAATGAAGATGGGCTGCTACCCTCCGTGACCGGACTCAGCAGATCTCCTTCGCAATCCTCCATACGTTCAGTGAGAACCAATGCGTCTGTCACAACCAATAACGGAAGTGACCCACAATCGCGCAATGCGAGCTCTTCCCGTCTTGCTAAAATTGCATCCTCTTGGTTTTACAACCCCTTCCAAAGAAGCTCGGGTGACTCTCAGACACCTTCGATTCCTACTTCACCAGTCTTAGTTCCTACATCTCCCCCCACTCCAAGCATGCGTGTCCCGATCGCATCAAATCTCTCCGCTACAGCTTCTGCTTCGCTTTCCCGCTCACCTCAGCCAATGGCCATATTGCACGGTGCATCCGGTCGATCTGCTCTGAGCAGGACGTATGAGGAAGAAAGCATTCTTCCACATCGAAGCTCCTTGAATCGGCATTCACCGCTGAATACCCCTCCCCGTGATGAAAGCACCTTTGGGAAGAGGCGCAATACGACACTAAATTCGTTCAACCTGCCCTTCTTGTCGTCCTCCCCGATCCCGACTTGTCGTACCAATCCGTCGCGACCCCAATCTACAGTCTCGTACGCGCAGTCTTCACTTGCCAGACGCTGGCAGCATGTATTTCCTACACCCACATACAAGCACGAGGTGAAATGGAAGTCTATGGTCACTCCAGCGTGTCTTCCGCTCACAGTGGACCACTTCCCCAGCAATTCGGAGCTAGAATTGTCATATGATGTATTCTCGTATGACTTTGTGGTCGATCCGACGGAGATGCGTTCTTTCCTCGTGAAGCCGCCTTCTGTTCAGGGGAACACCGATGAAGTGCGACGTGCGTGGGCACTCACTGTAATGCGTGGTATGGTTGCCGTTCGACTTGCACAAGGGTTCCAGTTTGTCTTGCGACCGCATAAAACGGGTGACGGTGAAGACCACACAACCATGCGGCGGACGAAATCTTTCATGGGCGAGGACGATGCATCGCCAAAGCCGACTGGGGCAGCGGAAGTTCTCAAGTCCACCAATCTACCTGTTTACTTGAGCATGAGCAATGAGATTCATCGGATATCTTATACTGGCGAGGCGATCCAGGTGAGGCGGTATGTGAGAAGGATGCCGCCGAGCCAACCCTTTGAGTACGAGTGTCTTATTTGGCCTAAGCTCGGGGTGGGGTATACGGAGTTGACGACAAAGTTCGTCTCACATGGGCTGGAAAATTTCGGCTGGAACAGGTCTGTTTTTCGTGTTTGAGGACGATGTCAAAGTGCTGATTACTTATCCTAGATTGGATATGTTGGTTGCTGGCTACGAACACCAATTCAATGAATCCTTGCGATACTGGCGCACTCGATTCGTAGTCATACCGTCCGCCGTCCCTGAGGGTAATGTGGGACCCTCTGGAGAGAAACTCAACGACGAAGAAATTCGGCTTATGGGAATCGACAAGCTTGCTGAAATATTCACAAAATTGCGGTGGCAACCTCCGGATGAGCGTGGTTCATCCATTGCACCCGTACGCTTCCTCCCTACGACACTCGGCCCTGCACACTCTGTCCTGGACGAGTCGCTAATGGCACAGCTGGACGAAATACATGCTGCAGGACCCCTGAAGAAGAAAATGCAGAGCACCAGGGAAATCGCAGATACCCCTCTTTCGTTGATTGCGAAACTCATGCGTGAAGAGGATGGCGTACCGATCAAGTTTCATCAGTGGCATGGAGCGAAGTATCCTGATTCTTTCACTGGGTTTGACCTTGTTTCGTGGCTTGTGCGCGAGTTCCGGGATGTATCGTCAAGGGAGCAAGGTGCTGAATGCGGGGCGAGGCTCCTTGAACAAGGGTTGTTCTCCCATTGCCGAGGACGCCACGGCTTACTCGACGGGTAAGTTCCCTGGATGATTCATACTATAATTTGATATTGAATTCATTTGTCATTTCGCTACAGGCATTACTTCTATCAGCTAAATGGTGAATATGCAACCGTCAGCACCCCGAGAGGAGGATGGATCAAGACATCTCGTTACATCAACAGCGATGAGATCAGCATCACTAGACCAGGGGGATATTACCCATCCAGTCTCAGTAGACCCTGTGGAGTTAGGCGGAACAGGAAGTGTCTGATCCTGAGCCAAACTATGGTGATCGATATTGACCCTACCAAGGTAGGCAAAGTTGCGCCCTGCGAATTCCCTGAACCAACGTTATTTATACACAGCGGAGCGACCAGGCTGAATCGGTAGTTCTTCACCATGACATCATTCAAAACCCTGGGACAGTCTTTCACTTTGAGCTGCAATGGATCGGATCCACTGCACGTTGCATTGAAGACTCGCTTCGGCAATGGAGCCGGGCGATTGAGAGGTACGGCCTCAAATTGATCGAGGCCTACGTTATGGAAATTAGCGATATACGAGAAGGCAACGCGTTCCAGTCTTGCTTCCCTTTGCGTTTGGTAATACCACCACCCATCGTTCCAGGTCTTGAGAAACGGGTACCTGAAGGAACGCACACCACGCATTACTTTGAATATGCAATTCTCAAACACTTTGACTTTGTGCTTGATGTGGAGGCCACCAACCTATACCCGAAGGATGTGGACGTCTCCTACTCTTATCGCCGAGCACCTTTCAAACATTCGCAATTTGTGCATCGGTCTGGTGTCGCGTTTGTGCAGGTTATAGGTGGTTCGCAGGGGCTCTTGTTCCTGACTAACCGTTTGTTGGGTCCAGGTCGCATGGGTAGTGCAATGAAGAGTAAGGAGCAGAGACCTGAAACTGTGGCGGAAGAGATTCGGATAAAGATGCAGGAGTTCTGCTCGGACGAAGCTACATTGATACAGTTTTATGATGAGGAGCTGGCTGCTCTTGGGCCGGATGACCCTCCACCACTTAGTATATGATGTGTTCGGTGTATCGTAATGGAGGTAGTAGTTTGTCAGCGAGCATCCGCGAAATATGTCTACCGGTTTATGAGACATCATGAGCGCTGACTATCATATCTCGACCATTAGGCCGTATAGATCGTTGTGCCACATCGCGTGACAGAGATTTTCGCATATCTATCAGATATCAGTATGGTTCAAAGCACCAGTGAATGCATACGCACCAAACGCGTCTTCCTCGTCTCGTCCACCCTTCCCTACCCCCAGATTACCATAGTATTCTCTCACTCGTCGATATACGCTATATCCCATACCCTCGTACATTTTGATGGCCAGTGCATTGTTACAGCGGCACATAAAGATCCACAAAGTACCCTTTGTATATCTCGTCTGAGGCGAATTCGAGACGCTGGCACATGTTTCGTGCTAGTGAGAGACGGCGATACTCTGGAGCAACGGAGACGGCTGTAATATGGCCGTGCCATTCTGTTTGTGCACCTTCGGCCTTTCCGAGAACTTTCAAAATGTGTGATTTGTATCGGCTAAGGACATGAAGGTGATTCACGCACTGTAGCCTTGCAATCGGCCTCTTGGACTTTCTTGAGTGAAACAGAGGTCTGACCACCTTTGAAGGTAAGTTAGATAGAAGGTGATACCGTACTGTTAAAAACTATGAGTTAAATCTATGGTCGAAGGTATGAGCGACTTGCAGTCTCTGTCCAGACGTCCAAATTACTAAATTGATTTTAGGACATGACGGTAGGTTTCAAATATATCAAGCTTACATGTTGTTGAACCTGAATAAATCATTTGCTTTGAAGGGCCTGAGGACGCTCATCGTGATGAGGTTTATCTTAAGAACAGTGGAGTAGTAAGGAAGCGGGTTATTGACAGCTGACGTACATACTGCCCAGTAAGCATTTACTAAGGTCCAAACTCAGCCCAGGCGCTGAGTCCTTTCGACGTCGAAAACCAGCATATAGTACGGTACCGAAATATATATCGAAATATATACATATGGAGTACTAATGATCTCATAGTTCACTGACGGTTCCCGGACCAGTAATTAGAAAGAAGCTCTGATTTGCTTACACTTAGTCACTGCTACAGTAAGCACTTTGCACAGGGATTCTCAGGGTGAAACCGCTAATTTTGTGCAAGCATGCTCATCAGTCAGCTGGAGTTGCCAGATTTTCACACTGAGAATCCCTGTGCAAAGTGCTTACTGTAGCAGTGACGTGCTCTGAACCGAACAGCCGTGTCACCGCCTAGCTAGATCCTTCTCAGCTTCTCCCGCAAATTATGCATTAAAATCTTAAGTCAGATCTGCATGCATCGTCTTCGAATCTACCTTGAAAGAAGATGAAGTAAGTGTCCCAATTCGTGTCAATAGCCTTGGTTCCTAATAACAACAAACACCTGCTAGCAGTGCACGGAGTCCTAGCAAATTCTGCACTCAACCCACTCACACACCTACCCGAGACCCCAGGGCCCTTCACTGCAGCTGGCTCGATTTCTGACATTTCCAATGTATCAACAGTTCCCCGCTGCATCATCCAACGATTATGGCCAAATGATAATGTCTGCGCCTGCTGCAGGCCCCAGCACCGTAGCACCACATGCAACTACTACCGCTCCACAACCAGTCACACCAAAACCGCAGCCGCTTGTGGCGACTGGTAATTGGACGACTGAGCTCGTCCAGCTTGCTAAGACAGCTGAACTCAAGTGAGTTGCGCGCGTCATTAAACTGGATTTGGCTTCCAACATCGTGATACTGAACTAGTTGTGGGCAGAAAACATTCCCTGACACTGCAACTCCATACCGCTAATATAGTTGCTGCCCATAATACCCTCGAACAAAAGGATAAGACAATTCAGGATATCAAAGAGCAAAAAAACCGGTATGAATCGCCTTTTCAATGATTCGACAAATCTATCACATCACTTTGCGCAATCGATCGTGACCGTGTCTGATTCGCCCATTTTTTTGATTCTCGCGTATTACTAGCAGTGATTGCTAATCGTCCTATGGTAGATTGGACAGCGAACGTGCACGGTTACTTAACGCACTAGCAGAGGTACACAATTCCGTTACTTATCTTATGTTATACTGATAACAGCTTGTCGTTCTGACAGATCAATGCAGACCGTGACAAGGTGCGTTCCAGCGTCGGTATTAAACGTGCCATATAAGGATATCGCTCACATGCCATCTTTCACCTTTCCCCAAAGGTGGATCTCCTCGAAGCCTCTATCACACGAGAGTACGTACTCTTCTCACGTCTCTATTCCCCCACAGCCAGTCCTAATCGACTCAACTGTGGACTTTGTAGGTGTGCGGATCTGAGGCAACAAATCCAAAACCTCCAAGAAGGTGAATATGCTATCGCAAAAGCGGACGTTGATCGCTTGCGGGCCGAGCTCGGTCAGCCTCCGCTCCCCCCACTCCAAACTAAGCTTGATGAGAAGACATCTCAGTAAGTCCAAGTTCTTCCCGGCAGTGGTTTTAGGGAACTTCTGGCCGGTTCGGGCGTGTGCCCCGCAGCATGTTTCGCCCATCGGCTTCCCGCCACAGGAGTGTAGTAGTCCTGTCGCACGGCGGGCTCGGGTGCTTTCTCTGTGCATTATGAAGCGGCGCCTTGCGTATTCGTGGGCGTGTGCTAACTACTCGCTATTCCCTAAACAGGTATTTGCGTGATCGTCGGGTGAATGGGGAAAAACGCACTGTGAGCGACAGTCAACCAGATCAGCCTAGTACTACGAAACGCCCACGAGGTCGACCCAAGGGCAGCAAAAACCGTGGTGGCAAAGCAGGTGGCAACGCACCTAGCGGAAGTGCGAGTACTAGCGGCAGTGCAGTAGCTGGTGGCGCTACGTGATTGACCAGTGACATGTGACAATGTAGGCGATCTGGTATGTGATGGCTTGGCGGGCGTGAATGAAGGACAATCATTTTGCGGGCCACATACCTATGAGTTAGTTTTGAGTTTTATTGATAGCAGGCTTGAGGCCTGAGGCTTGGGCTCGATGCAGGGACAGCTAGGGACGGACGTTGTGGGTTCTATATGGATACCTGTAGATACAAGCTGTACTTGCATCACATACATCACGAATTACTTTATCGAACTTCGTAACTGATCGATGATCTGCTCCCCTGTGATGCTGTGTCCAACATAACGGCTATTTGTGTGCCTTGGTACGAGCGCTGGAGTCACTCTCCTAACGACCACGCTAGGTGGTTTAGGATGACTCCGCATAAGAATCGACTTTATCCATGACTACGCATGACTATTACGCATACGTCGACTAAGATACCGGGATGGCCGTGTGTATTCGTGTGCAACGCACATGCCAATGGACGGAGCCTATAAATCACCGCACTTGATGGACGTACGGGTTGTCTTGGCCTTGATCGTGACTTTGCTGTGGAAGCTACTTGAATTACCCCTTGGTTTAGCATATCGGAAGACGCCACAGGCCATTTGACATGGGATCATTGTAGGCATGTTCCAGATACCGTGACTCGTCACCACAGGGCATATTAGATTTGCATGGACAATCGATGTGTACATCCGACTAGGATGGGAAGAAGGCTAGATATGATACAGGGTACGATCTCGTATGGGTAAGTGGAGATGCGCTATTGAGTCATCTTCCCCGCAACAATCGCGGCTAAGGGTGCTTGAGCGCAGAAGATCGTCGATAGATGTAGAATATTCCCCCTTCTACACGGAACCCGTGTCAGCATGACTAGACTGGCCTTCTACCGTACCGGGCAGCGTACCCGACACATTTCTAGAGATGCTAAATTGATACTCTTGGAGTGGCGGGAAATTAAGACTTATTATAAGTACTTGAACAGAAGATTCCATATTAGCGTTATACGGTGCACTTAACCCGGTTAGATGTTCCCAAGCAATCCGAACAAGTGAGACTATCTGACAGCAGCTGAGCTCGTTGTTCGGGTTCCATACCATGGTCCCATCGGAAGGTTAGCATTGGCTGCAGCCGGCGGCAAGAAGTCGCTTCACGTTCGTATCGGCTAATGACACTGCGAGTGTTACGGTGCTGTGCCGCGCTTTGCCGAATTTAACATTAAATCCTGATTTGGAAGTATTAGTAATTATGAGCCCTTTAACGGCGGAGTGATTCGTGTTCATTCACCGACGCCGAGTCATCACAGGCAGTGAAAAGCCGAAATCGATTATGCATACTCCGGCCCTTCCTTTCTAATCGCTCATGTCACTGGTCCCTTTTCGTAAGTAACCGATCCGGCTCTCTTGCTGTTCCTCCCATCCGGTGTCCCTTTATATACCACGCTATCCATCCAACATGAATACCCCAAAGCTGTCTCTGCCCAGGTTTTCCCTGCCATCATCGTATACTCTAGACAGTCATGGTCTGCTCTACTTCTTCTTCTCCAATCCACAAGGCAAGCCTTGTAGACCCTGCTCTACATTCACCTGCTCTCTTGGAGCTCATCGAAATAAAGCTATCGCGACCTGTTATCGGTATGTCATCTTCTGTTTTCCATGTCTCACTCAGCCTAACAAATCTCCTAGAATATGTCGTTGATTGTGTGGTAGACACTGTTAACTATGCTATGGGTCGTGCATCATCATCTCGTCGTGGCCGCAGCATGTCTCGCCGCCCAGAGCACACAAAATTCACTACATTCGTCTCCAATGTCATCACTCGGGCAGAAGTCACAATTCCTACGCTTCTTGTCTCCCTGGTTTACATCAATCGCGCCAAACCTCACTTGCAAATTGCTCTAGAGGAGTGGGCGTGCGAGCGCGTCTTTCTCGGCGCCGTAATGGTTGCCAGCAAGGTACATTAACTTTACTTCCCATGCCACCGGCCCCAACCCCTGACTAACTCAACCGTTATAGTTCTCAAATGATTCCACACTTAAAAATGTTCACTGGGCGCTCTGCACCGGTGTATTCGGCAAACGTGACGTCGGCCGAATTGAACGAGAATTCCTCGACGTTCTTGACTTTGATTTGTCGATTACCGAAGATGACATTCTAAGCCACCACGATAGCTTGTCTTCAGTCGCTCTCCCTTCCCACGACTTTCGCAGGCTCGCAGACTACTCTTCATCCCACGCGCACCCACAATACCACCGTTCACACCATGTTAATTGCCCAGATTTGGATCCGTCTAGCCCCCACTCTTCGTCTTCTGAGAGTTTGCCTCAGCCACTTACTCCCGAGGCTGTGGAAAACTCTTCATTCGAGCCTGTTGTCAAGTCGCACGACGACGCCATGGAACTTGTGATTCCTCCCCCACCACCACCAAAGAAGTCGCATCATCCTTCATCCACACTCGACTTGATACGGTCATTCCCACTTCCCGTACCTCATTCAAATTCACGTTCTCAGCCTCCCAGTTCGCACAAGTCGCACAATCGTTATTCGCATTTCCCTTTTAAGAATCCAGTGATGTCAGTCGCTGCATAGATAACTTTCTCCAACACAACGTCATAATTCGTTCTGTGGTGTTTTTCTCATCTTCTTCTTCGTAACCTTATTATGTGGTGTCGTTATATTTTCAAGACTTATTCCACAACGGCCTCGTGCTCAAAAGCTTATCGTCATACATAAAGTACTATCGCCAATACTATGGTCATCCACTCCAAGCACACGTTCATCAGATCTGACATGTCCGGTGACTCCACTCCATGCATCCCCGTGAATCTGCCACGTTGCAATTGAGTATTATTGCGTGCAAATCATACCAATCACATTATGAGAGAGCTTTCGCGTCACTTCCACATGCATCACTCATTGACGGTAAGCGCTAACCCGGGTTCCGATGCTTCTCGAAGTCGAGGGAGCCGCAAATTATCACTTGGTCGGGTGCGAACCGCATAGGGCCGTCGCAGGCTAACCGGGACCACATCCTTATTACAACGCGAGGACCGTGTCACCCCAGAACTTCCTTAACCACCGGATAGCGGTGGTGACTCGGAATGAATGAAACACCTATGAACGCGGATGTCGTGCGAGCACGACTAACTCTAGTTACATGTGGCCTTGTATTTACTTATAGCAAGTCGTCATCTGGCTTACACGAGTATAAACGGCCCGGGTATGACGAAAAAGGAACTTTTGCTCATCCACCGGCCAGAGTTAATATTCGACTTCTAGGCTATCATGATGGCATGTGCATATGGTCAGCTGTTGTACCAATAATCTAACATAATCGTATACCTCAAATATAATTACTCAACTCAACCCAATTCCTTCCTTCTTTCTCACGAGGGGAATCACGGACATGATGCTGCGAAGGCCCAGGTCACTCGTACTGCGATGCGCGACGATCGGGCACACGTTGAGCCCGCGAGTCAATCATACTATGTATGTACCACAGTCTGCGGCATCTCAGGAACACATGACAACAACCCTAACCGCAAATCTCCCGAAATCAATAGTCCTGCCTAGTCGGACTCTGGGAATCGTCACATGTTGGCTTGGCTTGGGTTTTTCTTGGGTGGGTTGGGGGTGTGACCTAATAATTTTGACAAGTGATTGGATGCGAGTACCTGACTCAAGGGCCTGAATCTGATGGGGTTTTCAGAGTCTGGCCGTTTATGGGCGTCCGACATCAGTGGGAGAGGTTTGTCATTCATATTACTGCATCACTTCTGTGGGTTTGACGCATGGGTGATGTCGCAGCAGCGTGTACGGTCTCAACTGATCAATACTGCGGGAGGATATTCCCCATGATGACAGCATTTTGGTATGTGCACACGAACACGAAGGCGCCCGCACTGCATGGCATTAGCGGCCGATTGGCCTTCAATTTTGGTTGGGTGCTATTTTTCTATTATGAGCAGTTAACTGATAAGCAGTAATTATAGATCGTCCAATTGACGCTGCGGAGCATATTGCTCGAGTCTCGGTTGTTCGACGCAGTTTACTCACTTGAAACCTTGCAGGCATGCTGGATCCGGTCAACGACTCATGGGCGCCTGGGCATTCCAATCAGTGGGAGAGGTTTGTCATGTGCCGTTTGTAGTCGGCCGGCGCCACAGCAGCATGACCAGCCAGTGCACAGTTCTTTACTTCACTGCGGGAGCATATCACCGAATGCTGTCGAGGCAGCGCTTAGGCTTTACTATATGGCGCACAATAGCGCCCGAGCCTTCCAACGGATGATGGCGGTCTTCAATCCTGTACGTTCTGGCCGGATTGCCATGTACGCATATTACGAGCAGATGCCCTGATAAGCGGCACGTCTCAACCGGGGTACTTTTGTTCGAACCGTTTAAGGGATCCATAAGGGATGATGGCACGCTATAATGGGCTGAGACACAACGACTTCGCCACGCGTACTAACGATTCTCAATCCGCAGTGGTGACTGCGACTAGTGGCTGATTGTCCTCCTAGGTTTATTTCGTATTTGCAGTTGCTGTCAATGACAGGCGGTATTACCTACCAAATAGATAATCTATCTTGACTGGGGTTGCGTGGCCTTTGCGTATTTTTGCTATTAATCACTCATTCCTTTTAAGGGATGATAGCATGTTGCATAATGTGCTTCGTAGACATCTATCACGATAATGGCCTCGTTATGAACGGTTCCGCTAGTGGTGACTAGTAGGTGTGGTGTGCCTCATATTTCCAATCACCCTTAACTCCAACGTTATGTCAACGGGGTTAGTGGCGTATCATTGGTTGAACTGAGATAGGATGGGATACGTTGCTTGGCCACTTCGTTCCTGTATGCTAGTCTATGTAGACTCATGTTTTCCCTGATACGTGCGACCTTGTATTATAGTACATTCCTGTCTTGCAACTAGGCCGGGTCTTCCCCGCACACGTTATCTTGTCAAAACAGATATGCAAGAATAGATCTAGGGGACTAATAGAACACGCAATCATCTACGATCCACGACAGGAATAGCGACGTCTGCCATTGTAATGTTACATTATTGGATTACACCCAATAAAGGCATTGGGATTAGGGGATGTAGATCTTCGAATACCCATCCACACTTGAGCAAATGAAATGTCAGATGGAGTTTCGTTACGGCCCAGTAGATACTCACTTTCTTCGACAGCAAGGACACGTGTGAGTAGATGCGGACGAACGGGATGCAAGATTTTCGCGGCAGTCATCACACACCGCGAGACATCTGCCAGAGGAGTCAGTGTGACATCGATTCCCAGAAGAAATCGCACTCTGTTACTCACCGACATGGCCAACATATGATTTGGCGTGGCTCAACTGTGCATATCACACAATTTCTCCCTGCCTCGGTGTGCGAGTCTCCAGTACCGCTGGAAGATGATCGTCGGATCGCAGCAACGTCACTCCAGTCGCTGAGGAGGCTGTCACTGCGGTGAGAAGGTGTCGACATAAGGTGCTGGAATCGCTGTCTCGTCATTGGTAACGAGGAATTATGAGTCATATGTGCCACCAAAACCGAGGCAGAAGTCATGGCCGAGGGAGCGGAAGAGAGGTCCGAAAACAAGTTCACAGTCTCGTTTGTGTCTTGCCGTAGAACCTCTTCGTCTTCTTCCTCCTCCTCGCTGCCATGTTCAGACCTCGATGAAGTAGGGCTATTGGAGCCGGTCTGCTCCGGTTCGGAGGGGTAATATTCAAAATCTTCATCGTCTTCGTCCATGGATTCTCCCCTAATGAATCTTTCGTACAATTCTTCTTCTTCTTCGGCTTCATCGGTATCTAGATCTTGATTCCGCTCACTCTTGGTGGCCTCGCTCCTGACTACTATACGTCGAGGAGGAAAGTTGGGCGGCTTTCGCGACCTCCGTTTGAGTACATTCCAGGATTTCATTATCAGCCCCCTGACACATCGCACCACACTCACTCCGAGCCTTGCAAGCTCCCTGCACCAAGCCATATCTACCCAGACGTTCCCTCCAGTGGTTGTGACCTTGACGGTCTTGATTTCATTGGAAAAACCTTTTTTGAAACGACGGTGTTTGACGGAACCTGCGACAGCCGGAGAAAGCGAAGCCACCCCCAAGCGATTCAGTTCCACAGTTCCATCGTTCAAGGGAAGGGGCGCGACCGCAGCAATACCCCCTACTTGGTTCCCAAGGCCCAATACGCTCGACGCCTCGAGACTTGCCGTACCCATGCGTAACAATGCGACCGAGAAGTCTTCGTCCCATTGGGGAAGAAGAGCAGCTTGGTGGCCAAATAGGAGACGGGAGACCGTGCCCTCTGTGGCAATTTGGGTAAAGGCATTGAGGAAAAGAGCTAGAAATACGACGGCTAGAAGGGTAGATTCAAACAGGCAAGGCACGTAGTTGAGCAGAGGATAAGATGAATCTGATAGCCACAGAACTGAATGGAAGTGAGTGAGTGTAAGAAACGACACAAACGCCGATGGAATGAGGCGATGTGATGACCAATCTTGCTTAATCCCAATCAAGTGAATGACTGCGAGCTAGAAGGGGTTGTTAATTATCATCCCACGAGGCGAGGTAAGCCAGCGCACCTGAAGCAAAGGTAATAGAATAGTAAATACGACATGCTTGTCTGGCCGTGAAGTTGAGCCCTCGAGCATTATCCAGTGAGTCACCGGGGAAGAGTAGGTATGCAAAAGAAATGCATAGCCGAGCTTTTTCTTCACGTGAGTGAGTGATGTTGCATATTGCGTTAGAACCGCACCAAATTAAATGGCGAAGGGCGGTGCGTTCCGCCTTCTAAACCATGTGTCAGTCCTTCCATGCATAAAACACTGCAGACAGCGCAAAAAGTGGACCAGCAGAGGTCCGCTGTTTCTCTTTTGGCGACATAAGTCCCCACTGACTGCAACCACGACGAGTTCCACGTTGGAAACTTGTCGGCCGCTTGAGCGAGGACAATGAGCCATATAACGACCATCTTGAATATGAAGTATAGTGAGGGCGAACGCAGCACGAGACGACTTATCGAAGACGATAAATCCAAGGGGAAAACCGAAGGAATGGCAGAGTACGGAAATGTACGGAGCCTTCTGGAGCGAGTAAAACGGTTGATGAATTGGTCCCTGGGGACTACGATGTTCCGTATACGATGTAAGAGAACTGCCTGGTGCAAAGTCAGTCGCAGAATACATCACTCGCGGCTACAACACACCATCATGATTAACCCAAAAACATACCAAGATGTCAGAAAGCTCCATGGACCTGGTAAAGGGGTGGAGACGGGTGGGGGAAGAGACTGTGATAAAAAGACTTCATTGGAGTGCAGGTCATGCCTTTCTGCGAAGGCCAACAAATTCTGCGAATTATGCACCCATCTGTCATCTGCGCCTAACCTCCGTATGCGACCCAGCAAATGGACTGGGAAGGTTAACAGCGTGAAAGATGCCTGGATAACACCTGACTTTGCTAGTCTGAACACTTCACCTGTAGCATTCGCTAACATCGTGTAAAGAGAGGATGATCGAAGCGACCAGCAGTTCAGCCTCGTTGTTAGAACCGTACCATCCCGGGACACCGTTGGTGTCTGTTGGAGCAAACGGCTGCGCACCCCCGACTCTGGCTTAGTCAACAGTACTTATAGTAAGTTATACACTTTTTCAATTGACGCCTTTTTGAATTCGGCCGCCGCGGTGTAAGTAGTATTTCAAGCACTTTGAAGATACTTACATGCTCGCAGCAGCATACATAAACGTATGCAGGCATTCTAACACGCACAGGGCACTCCTGAAATGCTTCACTGTTTCAAAATGTGCGCGTAACTTCTCTATAACGCGTAAATTTGATCCTACCATTCGTGAATTCGTATTTCGTCTCGCTCAGAAACAACCAAGCTTCGGGGGGTAGCGTCTAAAGATGTGCATGTGCTCTCACAGCCTTCTGAATTCTATAAAAATCTACTTGTAAGCACTCGAACCCTCTTTTCATGAGATTTTCCGACGGCGCCCATGCTAGAACATCATCCGTCGTGCACGGCAACGGATTTTTCTGTCGTCATTATACATAGGTTTCTCGGAGACAGAACTGGTACGCACTTCATGCATTCTGTGGTGATGAGATGTTTTTCCTAATAGTCACCAGATAAACGCTTTAGACGATGCACTTCGGAGAAATCCTGGTTTACACCTTTACTTAAACTTGGACTACAACCGGTCAACTCGACCAGGACCATCATCTCCCATTCTCTCCCTTCTTCCCCTCCTACGGAACTATGAGCATAGAGTACATATATCCCTTTTTCGGAGTCCAAAGCTCAGCGCAACGATGTCAAAGATAGTCCCTCCTCGATTCAATGAAGGTTGGGGCACCTGGCATGCCAAAATTTACGGTTCTGATGATGATGTCATGATTAGCGGGTCAGTCATTTGGAACTCAAAAAAACCGAGCTGATAAAATAACAGAGCGAACCTGAACAAAGCATACTTTTCGAACAGACAAGATCGCTATCTGCATTTTAGTGCACAACCTGCTCTTGCAGATTACTGTTTCTCATTCTTGCAGACCTTCTCTGGTTTTTTCGTATCGAGTGCTGGCAACTCCAGATGGACCGGCCCTTCATTGGGAAGACAAGTCTGTTTTGCCGTGGCAGATCCAGTCCAAGGCAGAACGTGTGTTGTCGCAGTTTCAAATGAAACATCTGCTTTCATCTGTGTCCTCTACCAGCAGTGAAGAGCAGGCAAATTCGTCGGATGTAGTCATCTTTCCTGTTATTCAAGCTGGGCAGTTCAATATCCGAGAGGAGGAGCACACTCTGTCGATGCTCTTCGATCACTTCGCATCTCGCGAGTACTGCCTTGATCAAGAACCTGTCATGAATCTGACAAGTGGCTACTTTGGACTATCCAAGGAATACCAGGATCTGATTTTGAAATCCAACGTTGGATGTAGTATCATAGCAGCCAGTCCGAAGGTGAATTTTCCCAAGATCAGCCTGCTGATCATGATGTAACCCGCGTTCCTAGGCAAATGGCTTTCTACGGTTCTGGTGGCTTGTCTGGGCTCATTCCTGAGGGATATACCCTATTGGAGAAACGCTTCATGTCGGCGGTAAGAGCCGCAGGTCGACTTTCTTCAAATGTCCCAGACCACCACAATATCAGCCTTAAAGAGTGGGAGAGGGATGGTTGGACATACCACGCGAAAGGTCAGTGCTTTGGGTTGGAGCGTTATCAGATCTCACGTTTCCCATCCAGGAATTTGGCTTTCTCCTTCAATAGATTCACCGCCGGTCCTCACGCTTTTTGGGTCGACGAACTTGAACTCACGTTCAGCAAACCTTGACACAGAGCTGTCTTTCGTGATGGCAACCTCGTCAGATGATTTACGTCAAAAATTACAGGAGGAAATTCAGGGACTGCATCATTGGGCGGTGCCTTGGAGGGGCGGAGAAAGAAAGGTCAGGTGGCGCACGAAAGCTATTGTGGCTCTCGTCGGTGGGATGTTGTAGGCCGGTTACAGTTATTACTGTCATCTCGCATCTTTCCTGATGTCACACCTCCGAGCCAATGCCGCATAACCCAGCTCACTGTGACATCGTTTTTTCAGAGTGTCCAAACTTGCAAAATTAACTTTCGCAGTTCAGTTTGCCTTGTCGGGAACAATAGCAGAGACAGAACTTGATGAGAAATTTCAATCGTTCACCAACACGAACACTACGAAACGTCTACCTCCGAGTCAGTTGGGCCTGGATTCACACTGGCAGCAGATCTCGAGCCAGCTGCGTCAGCCGTTTGGTTCTTGGCCTCTTTATTGCCGTTCTGACTCGTTTTCTTGTCTGTACCTCCTGAAACCGAAAGATACTCAAACTTCCGAGTATCCAATGTCAGAGTAACAGGTCCCTATGCAGACAGCATGCATCACCGCATAAAAAAGTCCAATAACAATACCCCATACCTCGTTTGTCAACGAGACATCCATCATCGCACCAAACTGCCCGTCTGGAAAAATACATTAACCACGTCATCATGCACTCAACTAGAACGAAACTAGCCTTGTATTCGGTCTGGCACGTACATACGCCGCATGTTCTCGAGAAACGTCGTATACAGTTCTCTGGAGGCATTCGAGGACTGCGGAGGACCAATGAAATCGCCGTTAAATTATCAAGAATTGAAATGGCGCACCATCGCACGATGAAAATCAGGTTTGTTGCCCTTGGTAGTGTTCGCCATTAACGTGAACTGGGAGACGCATAGAACCTCGCCAGCAATGTCCTTAACGCTCGATTTCCACATCGTACCATTCGCATCGAAGACACGGATGTTAAGTCTGTTTAGAAGTAGTGCTAGTGGTCAGCGCGGAGGACAAGGGCCGAAGATCCGTTCGTCCTTGCATTTTGTTCGTCAAGGTTTCGATATCCGCAAGCGTGTCATCTATCCTACGTGAGTACTAGTTGGCTATGTATCTGCACAGGATGAGCGGGATGCATATCCATACCAGTACCGATTCCGACTAGGACCATCAGTCCTCGGGATATGCTCGAAATAACTTTTCCGTCAACTGCGATGCAGGTTAGGTATACTAGCTGTGATAACTTTGCTAATAGGTTTTACCTGATACAGAAGCCGATGCGACGCGTTGGACAACAGCCCTCATCTTGTACTACGCGGCGGGCGGTCAATATTCAATATTCAATATTCAATGCTTATGCCGACCTAGTGATGTGACAGCTGAGCGCTGATGAACCGATGACAGTCCGATGGAAGTTACAGCAATGGTTTGATTACGTACTAAGGATTGGTTGGTGACTCATAATGTATGACTCATGATTCGCACTACGTAACGCGTTGAACGGCAGAAATCTGTTAGTACACCGCATCATCGATCATCCATCACGCATGATATCAATACCGGAACTGGAGTGGCCACGTCAAAACATAGCAGATTCTCACAAGAAGGACACGACAGTCTGTCGGCAGTTACTGATGGACTCGTACAGTCCACTCATGACTATCGGCTCCTACGACTAGTGACTAGTGACGGCAACGCACCTCAGAGAAGAGGGCCGATGTGCACGAGTATGTACTATCACAGAATCAGGGGAGACAGCTGCGGTGAGTTTGGAAGACATTACTTACTCAGTCGTTCGTTCTTTAAATTTATCATACTATCATCATTTCAGGTTGTTTTGTCGTTCCTGTTACAGCTCAGTCAGCTCTCGCCACCCATCCCATTTGTGTTCTAATCGCAACATCGACTCGATTCTCAGGAATTCTAGGGCGTTCCCTTATGATTTGGGGTTCAAAAGTACGCCGTTTCCGTCAACAAGATCAGATGATGTGCTCATCTTGAACTGGTCAGCCGAACAAAAACGGTTTAGTGCATATTTACGGGGGACGGGGATTCCGGACTTTCTAGATTGTGTGGCTCTTCCGTGGAGACTGGTGTTTCATTGTGGCCGCATTGGGATTCCCAACCGCAGATCTCTGGCTCGCATATGAAAGAAATCATTACATTCATCTCCGCATCTCGGAAAGACTGCTCACGTCATTGCACGTCATAGGGACTGCATTGAAGACTCTGGTGGTACATGCCTGTCTGGTGCCAGATTTTTGGGATTGCGGTGGATCTGCGCGCAAATAGCACTATGATAACGGGATTGCCTGTTCACTTTTGAAACCCGATATACGTGCGCGTTGGGCTGGCGTCATCTTCAACTTCCCCTCGCGTAGAGTCTTCCCGAGAAATAGAGCGAGCGGCATAGGTTCAAACACACTGATGTTCGCCTCGGGAAATGCAGCCAGTCTGCAAAGAAACTTACAGGTTGCGACGAACATATTATTTGGAATAGACGTGAATGAGCTCGGGCTCCTGAGTACTACGGGGAAGAACGTGGACGTCTACGTCGGGTTCAGAAAATGAGTGGTGTTTGAGTGTAGATCTGACAGGCACAAAGTATTTGAGACAAACAATCCGTAGGTGCATGCAGCAAGAACACCATGATTTGATGAAGTTGAGAAGCGCGTTGATGGCTATATCGTATGTTCCTTCCGCCATACCGTATTAAACTCATTAAACTCATTAAACCCCTTGCCAGTATCACAAGCTTCTCGGAGATAATCTTGTGCCCCAGATTCGCCGCACGTGCGAGGATATTTTTGGTGCTGCGGAGGTCGGGGCTAGTGATCCTCGTCTTGACAAGGTCAAGTTTAGGACAGTGTTGATTGAAGCTACATCAAGCTACTGAGCTGGGTACGCCTTTATCCATTCATGAAATGTCCCACGACCGACGATGAAGCAAAGTGTATGGTTCCTCTGCTGCTGGGCTGTAGGCAGGTTGTCCTCGTCAGCGATAACCAGTAGTTGGTCGGCTCATTATGAACAAAACAGCTATGCGCGCTGGTCTGACTCATTCACTCTTCGAACGTCTGGTCATACTTGGGATCAGACCCTTCCTCTGCAAGTGCAGCATCACATGCGCCCTCGTTTGTCCGAATTCCCCTCATACATGTTCTATGAGGGCATACTACAGATCGGTGCCACTGCTCCGGAGCGTCTTCGCAAGAATGTCGATTTCCCATGGCCCGCCCCAGGCTTGACCATATTGACATTGTCACACCCCACAGTTCCTACATCTTCAACTATATGCAATTCAATGGGTCTCTTCAGGACTTGTACAACGATATTGAAGTGGTTAGTGTCGACGCCTTATTCGGGATATGCAATTCACCATTTTTAGATGCCTTGTTAATACACTAGGTTAACCACTCACCTGTTGGGGTTCCTTCTCTAATTCGCTCAGAGGAACTGACCATATGCGAACGAGCTTGTCCTCACAGCCAGTAGCGATGAGCTGGCTGTCCTCGGAAAATGCCACACACATGACAACATCAGGGTGTTGGAGTGGCCCCCCGATGGGTTCGAATGTGGTGAGATCAAAGAACCGCGTTTTCTTGTCGCATGATGTGGTGGCAAATTTGGTGCCATTGGGGGTAATGGCTAGTGTGACCAGGTAGTCGGTATGCCCGTACAATTGCACTTGTTTGATTATGTCTCCGGTGGCTGCATCTGAAACTCGGATGTCTTTGCTGCTCCCACTGACAAGACGGTGACCATCTGGAGTGAGTGCGAGTCTGTATCCCCGTTGTTCTATTTTCAACAGTTCTTCTCCATTTGCTGTGTTCCAAACGATGATGTGTTTATCGGTGCCTGCTGCTAGTTTTCTCCCATCCAGGGAGTACGACACCGAGTTTGGCAGGCTGTCCAGTCGGAGTGGTCCGAGCACTATTGTTTCCCGTCTCACTCTTCCAAACGCATATTGTCAAGTCATTTGATGCACTCGCAAATGTCTCGCTGTCCGGTGCAAATGCAAGGTCTCGAAGCAGAATCTTGTGGCCCTTGAACGAGACGGGCTCTCTCTTGACATCTGTCTTGTCTGTTGCAACTTCCCAGACCAGGATGCTTCCATTCCACCCTCCACTCGCAATCCAACGCCCATCGGGGGATGCTGCGACCCTCCAGACTGCGCATTCGTGATTCAATAAGGGCTCCCCCACTTGTTTCCCTGTGTTCAGATCCCATACCCGAAGGGTCTTGTCGGCGGAGCTAGTGACGAGGAGATTCGTACGAGGGATGAAAGCTACGCTGGACACCCATTGTTCATGACCACTGAGCGTGAGTTTGGCCTGAGATGTTTCCTCTTGAGTTGGGGTGGACACTTTGGATGTCCCGTTTCTGCGAGTAGTGACTGGCATTCGATCTTGTCTGGTGTGTTGGTTAGCACGCGCGTTGAGCGGGGGAGCAGACACTTACGTGCGCGGTGAGTGGCGGTCAAGTTGAAAAATTGTATCGGTTCTCGGTCCTGACTCCTCGCGATCGTTGAATCCACGTGTCGGCTTTGCTGCAGACACGTGGTGTCCCGCATACAGGTCGTACGTTAGCCAAACTTTCAACGCGTCTTACGCATGATCGCTCTGGGTGGGCCCGTCATCCTCGTTGGCGATCACCAGGTTGTTTGTCTGAATTCCCACCAATATGTTCTATGAAGGCGCTCTACGGAATGGTGCCACTACTCCCAAACGTCTTCACAAGAATATCGATTCATGTGGCCCGCCCCAAACATCTCGGTGTTCTTCTACCAGAACCTTTGTCAGGAGGAAACATCCCGAAATGAACTTCGCTCCTCAATAGGTACTTCTATGTCCTCACCTCCCAGTTGCACCTGCTTAGCTGCCCAAATCCGAGGGCCAGCGTTCCTATATCGGCAACTGCTTACTGTATGCAGTTCAACGAGTCTCTTACTAAGAACGACTTGATCAGGATTTACAATGTACCATGTTTTTGTACGAGTCTTGCAATACACTAGATTGACCATGCTCGTGATATGACACCATGGGGAAGAAGTACTAGTCAGATATCGTCATTACTCTGTACCACAAGTAACGTTATTTGCAACCAACATTGAATTACATGAGTCTTCGAAGTTCAGATACTTAGGACATGTGGTGATATCTACGTCAACAAAAAGGTTCGGAGGGGAGAGGCCGCTTAGCTGGTGCGCGGAGCAGCAGGACTTGTCCGTAGAGTTTGTGAAAGACACGGGAAGCACCTTGTAAGAACTGCAAAGCAGCCAACGTCCGGGACATGTTCGACGTCCAATGGGGAAGGGTGGTTAGCTGTAGCAGAAGCGTTGGCACTTCCGGTCTGTAACGTCGCTGGGGTAGTTGCATCGACCACATTGGATGTCCCTGCTGGTGGCGTGCTGCTGCTTGAAGCACTAGCGTGGGCTTGCCAATGAGGAGGATGTAGTGGCCTCGCCAGATGTCGTTTTCCACTCTGGGCATTAGCGGTGCACTGCGAGACAATATCAACATCATGAGATGTAAAAAGGTTAGGAAAACTTACATATTTGCCTCGTGTTGCGAAGACGTCCACGAGGGGAATGCTCCGTGACTGAGGAGCATGGCCTTGGGGAGCGGAGGAGCGAGAAAAGAGACGATCCATCATGTTCTTGATTTTGAACCCTTCGGCGTGGCGCGTGGCGGTAGCAGTGCGATTGTTGCGTCCAGGTGGAGAATGTGGATCGAACTATCGAATAATGATGAGACGTGCATCGAATGTACTGTATTATATAAACTTACATCACCGAAAAAACTATTACTAGTATTAGTCGGGATTGGAGCGCGTCTTGGGCGAGGCTGTGGGCCTGGGACGGTTTTCTGCAGGACTGAAGTGAGGGGTAGCACAAATCGACGGGCATGAAAGCATAATATTTTAAGAATTTTCTGTATGACAGGTCAGCATGAAGCATGACACAAGAAGAGAATCTGCTCACCTGTTGCGACTCCTTCTCTGACTCGCTCAGAGGGACTGTCCATGTACGAACGAGCTTGTCCTGACAGACAGTTGCTATGAGCTGGCTGTCCTCGGAAAAGGCCACACCCCAGACGACATCAGGGTGTTCGAGTGGCTCGCTGATAGGTCCGAAAGTGGTCAGGTCAAAGAACTGCGTCGTCTTGTCATGTGATGTGGTGGCGAATTTTCGTGCCATTGGGAGCAATGGCTAGCGAGTAAAAGGGTTCGGTAATAGTACTAGTGTGCGCGTCAAACTGTTTGACGACGTCTCCCGTGGTAGCATCTGATATTCTGATGTCATTCCAATTTCCACTGACGAGACGGAGACCATCTGGAGTGAATGAGATTCGCCATGCCCGCTGTTTTATTTTGAGTAATTCTTTTCCTGTTGCTGTGTTCCAAATGATGATGTGTTTGTCGGTGCCTGCTGCTAGTTTTGTCCCATCCGGGGAGTATGCCACCGAGAATGCCTCACTGTCCACTTTGAGTGGTCCTAGGACTATTTTGCCCGTCTCCCTCTTCCACACGCATACCGTTTTGTCATATGATGCACTTGCAAATGTCTCGCTGTCCGGTGCAAATACAACATCCCAAACCCCTTTCGCATGGCCCTCGAACGGGACGAGCACTCTCTTGAACTCTCTCTTGTTTGTCGCAACTTCCCAGACCAGGATGCTTCCGTTTTCTCCTCCACTCACAATCCAACGCCCGTCTGGGGACGCTGCAACGCTCCGGACTATGGCATCGTGACCCAACAAGGGCTCCCCCACTTGTTTTCCTGTGTCCAGATCCCATACTCGAAGACTCTTGTCGCCGGAGCCAGTGACGAGGAGACGGGTACCATGGATGAAAGCTACATCATGCACAAAACTTTCGTGACCCTTGAGCGTCAGTTCAAGAAAAGGTGCTTCCTTTCGTGTGGGCTGGGAGGGCGGTTTGGGGGATGCTTTGTGAGGGGTGACCGCCATTCAATATTCAATCTTTTTCGGTGTCTCAGTTAGCAGGAACACCGAGGGAGTAGCAATCACTTACATGCGCTATGGTGAGCAGTCGTTAAATCGCATCTTCTGTAAGATACTTATTATCACTGAACCCTCATGTCGGCCTTGCTGTAGACACGTGGTGTCCCGTATACGGTTCAACAACATCTTCGGCGCTTATTCGAGGAGGCTACTTCAGTAGGCGCCGTTTCCTGTGTTTCGACCTATTGTAGTTGATAGAATTTCTGAATTACAGACAGGTTGACCTTGGTTATTGGATGCCAGGAGGAGAAATTCAAAAAAAAGGAAGCGGCAGACTGCTATCGCTTGATCGGACATTCAGAAGGTTCAAGCTCAGTTGGCTAGAACATTTTTACTCGTTGCAATGTTCATCAATCGCTTCCTAAGTAGTAGCATTTTGACCAAGCCATTGTTCAGCGCTCAGCTCGGGATCCTCATTGCCTGCATCAATGCCAAGAAAAGAATCCTAGAATGGGGATGGCCGAGTTGGGAGCAGGTTAATTGGACTTCCATCCAGTCTGTCACAGACAAGAAGGATGCCTTATTAACATGGTCCCAGCAGAGCCACCGCTACCCAGTCTTCCTCGGGAGAATGATGAGCCACTACTATGGGGAAGGTTGCACAATTCGTGTAAGTTACAGTGCCACGCATTTCATTCCCGGGGGGCATTCTGCATTCATGTACCCTCTCAGTATTCCCCGGGGTGATTGCAGGCAAGAGAGTGGAATAACGGGATTCAGGCTGTTGTCGCGACTTCGTGAGTATCAGATTGCGAATATTAATCCCAATCGTGCATCCTCGCTCAGGTTCGTGTCCTGTTCTCCTCCTCGCGGTCCCACTTCAACGCATTTCTCCTAGAACCTGCGATACCCCTAGTTCTAAATCAATGATGCACCCGATGTCGAACACATTAACACAATCGCGATCTGCGGGAACACTAGCAGTCCAGGATTCATGTGCACCTTCGCATGCTTACAAGGCAGAGTCTACACTCCGAGCCGTACAATCACGGCTCACTGCTCTATCATACGCTATCTCCCCGCGAGGGCGCCAGTGACCACGCGCTGCGGGCGGCAGTCTAACTGACAATGCTAACGTCAAATTTTAATTGGTTTTTTCCCCCATCACATGGATATAGGGTTTGCTTCTTCTGCAGTGTAGCTCGGGAAATCAACAGCGTAGGCTAACTACTACTGACTATTCATCCATGTGTCAAGTTCAATACAATCTCGTCACCAGCCTGAACTGCCTTAACTTTTCTACGTGGCGGACGGTGCGAACTGTGTAGGAGGGATGGGAACGGATGACCTAGGGGGCTGTTCTCCGAGAAGGATTCTTTACGATCATCACAAGCTGGTCCAAACATTGCTCAGCATCATTCGCTTCCTCACCTGGCCCGCACAATCAGGCGAATAATGTCCCATGGCAGTGGTCACGTTTCAATTCTCTCTATGTGGCTAAGGTTGTCTTGGACTCCGCTTTCGCAAGGTTTGCAATGCTGCACGTTATTTGATCACCCCGGTCATAGATGATTATCCCTGCGCGATCTATGTGATTTAAACTGTCTATCAAAGCTAATCTATTGGTCACATGGCAGGTTTTGCTTGAACTAGAAGTGTTTTCGTCTTTGGCAGCCAACATATCTGTATCCATCCTCGACTTGGGTTATGCCCGGTACTACGGCTCAGTCGTTACAGCGACCAACATCACCAGTTTCCTTGGAATACAGTATGTGGCTTCTCCGGTTGGTGCGTCCAGTTCTATTTGTTGCGCACAATCTCAGCTCACCCACCAAGCACATAGGCGACTTGAGATGAGTAGCTCTGTAGCCTCCATTGACCCCTCTGGCGTTTGGCTGTTGTCGTTGTTGGTGATCACCAGTAACTTGGTCCGGTTATCATGAACGAGAAAGCGGCGCACGCCCATGTGACAAAATCATTCTTCGAACGTCTCGTTGTACTTGGCAACAGATCCATTCGTCCGCATGCACCCTTGTTTGTCTGAATTCCCTCGAAAATGTTCGATGAAAGCACTCTACGGAATGGTGCCACTGCTCCCGAACGTTTTCACAAGAATGTCGATCGCTGTGGCCCGCCCCAAACATCCCGGTGTTCTTCTACCAGAACCTTTGTCAGGAATAAACATCCTCCAAACTTTGCTCCTCAATAGGTACTTCCATGTCCTCATCTCTCAGTTGCACCCGCTTATCATTAGTCGCAGGACAGAAGGATCCAACAAGGAGAAGATCATGATCAAGTTCTTCAAGTCGGGCGTTGTGCCTGCCCCAATCCGAGGGCAAGCGCGGCAACTATGTGCAGTTCAACGAGGGTATCTTGAGAGTGACTTGTACAAGGATATTGAACTGACTAGTGTGAACGTTTTGATCAGGATTTACAATGCACCGTGTTTTTGTATGAGTTTTGTAACACACTAGGTTGACCATGCTCGTGATGCGACACCTTGGGGACGAAGTACTAGTCAGATATCATCATTTACTATATACTACAAGTAATGTCATTCGCGAGTAACATCGATTTACATGTGTCTTCAAAGTTCAGATACTCAGTACATGTGGTGATATCTACTCTAACAAAAAGGTTCGGGAGGGATAGGGCGCTTAGCTGGTGGGCGGAGCAGCAGGAATTGTATGTCGAATTCGTGAAAGACGCGGGAAGCACCTTGTAAGAACTGCGAAGCAGCTAGCGTCTGGAACATGTTCAATTTCTAGGGAAACGCACGGGTACGGGTAACACCGCGGTTCTATGCTGACGGGTTTGGAGGGTACGGGTACGGAGTAGGATAGTCGTACCCTTGAGCATACCGTGGCCATTCACCGCGGGTTGACGGTGTTTGGGCGGGTATAATATACCAAATCGGGAACCAGGCGCGCGACAGCCATTGAACACCGTGTTTGATTCTCTGTTTTTCCTTCCTCTGAGAGCTTGAGGATCACAAGTGAATGCTATACTGATTTCTGTCATGTCTTTTGTACCCCCGTGAATCATTCTAGCAATTTATTGAGCTGACACTTCGTTGCAGAGAAGCTCGAGTCACTACCATAAAGCCAAGGCAAAAACTCGAGACCAGTAAGTCCACTGAGTCGTCTCCCCATGAAAACTAAGCTCACAAAGAAGGCATCTGATGCTTCGTCTACCCAGTCACACTCATCATCTAAGTCTATCTCGTCGTCCATCTCCGAGAAGGCCAGGTCACTCAAAAAGGCTGTTGCAAAGGGTGCTAAGGCTCTGGCCCGCCCCTTGAAGAAGGTCAAGCAGTCATTTGTGTCTCGGTCTTCTCGATCGAGCCCCACAGACACCGTTGATCTTACGCGATCAAGTACTGATTCACTTGCCACTGACGATAACAAATCAACGGCAGGTGCATTCGAGCCTGATCCCGATCCTTCTGCAGATCTTGGTATGTTTCTTTCCATTGATTTTTGGAAGCGAAATGAAGTCGAAGCAGAGGAGAATGACAAGGAAAAGTAGTACTATTTTATTTCATTGTTGTTAATACTTAATACACTCTTCTTGGTAATGTACCCGCGGTGTTCAGAGACACCGCGGTGTTTTCCATAAACCGCGACATTGACGGGTCGGTGTGTACCCGTACCCGTGAAGGGTACGGTGTTGGCGGGTGCGGGTGCGGTGTCAACTTTCCGACCCTCGGTGTTACCCGTGCGGTACCCTATCAATTTCCAATGGGGAAGGGTGGTTAGTTGTAGTAGAAATGTTGGTACTTCCGGTCTGCAGCGTTGCTGGCGTAGTTGCATCGACCACATTGGACGTCCCTGCTGGTGGCGTGGTGCTGCTTGAGGCACCAGCGTGGGCTTGTCGACGAGGAGGATGCAGCGGCCTCGGCAGATGTCGTTTTCCACTCTGGGCATTAGCGGTGCGCTGCGAGACAATATCAGCGTCACGAGATGGATGTCGAAAAGTTAGGAAAACTTACATATTTGCCTCGTGTTGCAAAGACGTCCACGAGGGGAATCCTGCGAGGGCGAGGACCATGGCCCTGGGGAGCGGAGGAGCGAGAGAGAAAACGATTCATCATGGTCTTGATTCCGGACCCTTCAGCATGACGCGTGGTGGTAGCAGCGCGATTGTTGCGTCCAGGATCAAACTATCAAATGATCATGATGTGCATCAAATCTACTGCATCACATGGACTTACATCATCGAAGAACCTACTAGTCTGTATTGGAGCGCGTCTTGGACGAGGCTGTGGGCCTGGGATGGTTTTCTGCAGGACTGAAGTTAGGGATAGCACAAATCGACGGGGATGAAAGCGTACTTCAAGAATTTTCTGTATGACAGGTCAGCATGAAGCATGACACAAGAAGAGAATTTGCTCACCTGTTGCGACTCCTTCTCTGATTCGCTCAGAGGGACTGTCCATGTGCGAACGAGCTTGTCCTCACAGCCAGTAGTGATGAGCTGGCTGTCCTCGGAAAATGCCACACAAATGACAATATCAGGGTGCTCGAGTGGCTCCCCGATGGGTTCGAATGTGGTCAGGTCAAAGAACCGTGTGGTCTTGTCAGATGAAGTGGTTGCAAATTTGCTGCCATTGGGAGCAATGGCTAGTGATTGACAGGTTTGTGTGTGCGCGTCAAACTGTTTTATGATGTCTCCGGTGGCTGCATCTGATATGCGGATGTCATTCCAGTCTCCACTAACGAGACGGAGACTATCTGGAGTGAATGCGATTTTGAAGGCCCGCTTTGGTATCTTGAGCAGTTCTTCTCCATTTGTTGTGTTCCAAACGATGATGTGTTTGTCGGTGCCTGCTGCTAGTTTTTTCCCATCCAAAGAGTATGACACTGAGTTTGGCAGCTCATCCAGTCGGAGTGGTCCGAGCACTATTGTTCCCGTCTCACTCTTCCAAACGCATATTGTCAAGTCATTTGATGCACTTGCAAATGTCTCGCTGCCTGGTGCGAATATGAGGTCTCGAAGCAGAATCTCGTGGCCTTTGAATGAGACGGGCTCTCTCTTGACATCTGTCTTGTCTGTTGCAACTTCCCAGACCAGGATGCTTCCATTCCACCCTCCACTCGCAATCCAACACCCATCGGGGGATGCTGCGACCATCCAGACTGCGCAGTCGTGATTCAACAAGGGCTCCCCCACTTGTTTCCCTGTGTTCAGATCCCATACCCGAAGGGTCTTGTCGGCGGAGCTAGTGACGAGGAGATTCGTACGAGGGATGAAAGCTACGCTGGACACCCATTGTTCATGACCGCTGAGCGTGAGTTTGGCCTGAGATGTTTCCTCTTGAGTTGGGGTGGGCACTTTGGATGTCCCGTTTTTGCGAGTAGTGACTGGCATTCGATCTTGTCTGGTGTCTTGGTCAGCACGAGCGTTGAGTGGGGGAGCAGACACTTACGTGCGCTATGGTGAGTGGCAGTCAAGTTGAAAATTATATCGGTTCTCGGTCCTCGCGATCGTTGAATCCACGTGTCGGCTTTGCTGCAGACACGTGGTGTCCCGCATACAGGTCGTACGTTAGCCAAACTTTCAACGCGTCTTACGCATGATCGCTCTGGGTGGGCCCGTCATCCTCGTTGGCGATCACCAGGTTGTTTGTCTGAATTCCCACCAACATGTTCTATGAAGGCGCTCTACGGAATGGTGCCACTACTCCCGAACGTCTTCGCAAGAATATCGATTCCTGTGGCCCGGCCCAAACATCTCGGTGTTCTTCTACCAGAACCATTGTCAGGAGGAAACATCCCGAAAAGAACTTCGCTCCTCAATAGGTACTTCCAACTCATCTCTTAGTTGCACCTGCTTATCATTGGTCGCAGGACAGAAGGATCCAATGAGGCAAACATCGTGATCAAGTTCTTCAAGTCGGGCGTTGTGCCTGCCCCAATCCGAGGGCCAGCGCGGCAACTATGTGCAGTTCAACAAGAGTCTCTTAAGAACGACTTGTACAAGGATATTGAACTGACTAATGTCAATGACTTGATTAGGATTTACAATGTACCATGCTTTTCTTGTAATACACTAGATTGACAATGCTAGCTGTGATGTGACACCGTGGGGACGAAGTACCAGTCAGATATCATCATTTACTCTCTACCACGAGCGATGTCTCTCGGGATCAACATCAGATTGCACGGGTCTTCAAATACCGGGTACATCTGGTGATATCTACAACAAAAAGGTTCGGAAGGGAGAGGCCGTTTAGCTGGTGCGCGAAGCAGCAGGACTTATTGGCCGAGTTCGTGAAAGACACGGGAAGCACCTTGTAAGAACTGCAAAGCAGCTAACGTCTGGAACATGTTCAACCTCCAACGAGGAAGGGTGATTAGTTGTAGCAGAAGCGTTGACACTTCCGGTCTGCAACGTTGCTGCCGTAGTTTCATTGACTACATTGGATGCCCCTGCTGGCGGCGTGCTGCTGCTTGAGGCATCAGTGTGGGCTTGCCGACGAGGAGGATGTAGCGACCTCGGCAGATGTCGTTTTCCACTCTGGGCATTAGCGTTGCGCTGCGAGACAATATCAGCGTCACGAGATGGATGTCGAAAGGTTAGGAAAACTTACATATTTGCCTCGTGTTGCGAAGACGTCCACGAGGGGAATCCTGCGTGGGCGAGGAGAATGGCCCTGGGGAGCAGAGGAGTGAGAAAAGAAACGATTCATCATGTTCTTGATTCCGGACCCTTCAGCATGACGCGTGGTGGTAGCAGCGTGATTGTTGCGTCCAGGATCAAACTATCAAATGATGATGAGACGTGCATCAAATCTACTGCATCATTTGGACTTACATCATCGAAGAACCTACTAGTCGGTATTGGAGCACGTCTTGGACGAGGCTGTGGGCCTGGGATGGTTTTCTGCAGGACTGAAGTTAGGGATAGCACAAATCGACGGACATGAAAGCATACTTGAAGAATTTTCTGTATGACAGGTCAGCATGAAGCATGACACAAGAAGAGAATTTGCTCACCTGTTGGGACTCCTTCTCTGACTCGCTCAGAGGGACTGTCCATGTGCGAACGAGCTTGTCCCGACAGCCAGTTGCTATGAGCTGGTTGTCCTCGGAAAAGGCCACGCCCCAGACGCCATCAGGGTGTTCGAGTGGTTCGCTGATAGGTTCGAAAGTGCTCAGGTCAAAGAATCGCGTCGTCTTGTCGGCTGAAGTGGTGGCGAATTTTGTGCCATTGGGAGCAATGGCTAGCGAGTAAAAGAACTCGGTGTGCGCGTCAAACTGTTTGATGATATCTCCGGTGGTAGCATCTGAGATTCGGATGTCATTGTGGTTTCCACTGACGAGACGGAGACCATCTGGAGTGAATGCGATTCGCCATGCCCGCTGTTCTATTTTGAGTAATTCTTTTCCTGTCGCTGTATTCCAAATGACGATGTGTTCGGTGGTACCTGCTGCTAGTTTTGTCCCATCCGGGGAGTATGCCACCGAGAGTGCCTGATTGCCCACTTTGAGTGGTCCAAGGACTATTTTTCCTGTCTCCCTCTTCCACACGCATACCGTTTCGTCCCCTGATGCACTTGCAAATGTCTCGCTGTCCGGTGCAAATACAATATTGTAAATCTGTGTCGCATGGCCCTTGAACGAGACGAGCACTCTCTTGAACTCTCTCTTGTTTGTCGCAACTTCCCAGACCAGGATGCTTCCGTTTGTTCCTCCACTCACAATCCAACGCCCGCCTGTGGACGCTGCAACGCTCCGGACTTCGGTATCGTGACCCAACAAGGGCTCCCCCACTTGTTTTCCTGTGTCCAGATCCCATACTCGAAGACTCTTGTCGGCAGAGCCAGTGACGAGGAGACGAGTCCCAGCGATGAAAGCTACATCCTCCACAGATTCTTCGTGACCCTTGAACGTTCGTTCAAGGAAAGGCATTTCCTTGCGTGTTGGCTGGGTAGGCGCTATGAGGGATGCTTTATGAGTCGTGACCGCCATTCAATCTTGTTCGGTGCCTCGGTCAGCAGGAGCATCGAGGGAGCAGCAATCACTTACATGCACTATGATGAGGAGTATTAAGTTGCATCTTCTATGAGATACTTGCCATCACTGAATCCCATGGTGGCCTTGCTGTAGACACGTGGTGTCCTGCGTATGGTTTAGCAACATCTTCAGCGCTTCTTTCTTCAGTAGGCGCTGTGGCCGCTTTTACTGTGTTTCGACCTGTCGTAACTGATACAATTTCTTGGCCACTGATCAGTCGACCCGAGATCTCTTCTCACTAGACTGGCGATTACCCTCTTGGTACGCTCCATTGGATGACTTCTCCTGATCACTATGAGTTGATTTCGTCTACAGGTTGTCGTGCACGAGTATGGTCACCATACGGATGCGCAGCGAGACTCGGACACACTGGCAGGCCTATATATGCGCAAGATTGTGCACATGAACTACGGCATATAATCAAGCCACGACACAACAATACTGTTACACGCATTCTCAACTTCTCATCGAGTACTACCCTCACCAATAAGATTTTCCCGTGCAAACTGGACTGACAGTCATGCCAGGTTCGGCATCTCACTGAGTCTGTGCTCGTTCGAGTTGGACTCCCGAATGCATTTAGCTGAACTGGACATTTCTCGCCGCCAACATCTATGCCCTGGTTGCCATTGGCAAATTCCACCAGAAAGCCGCACACTGGTCCGACGCAATCACGCTGGTTGTACTTGACAACAGACCCTTACTCTGCAAGTGCAGTACCACATGCAACCTTTTTGCCTAAATTTCCTTAGAACATGTTCTATGAAGGCATATTATAGAGTGGTGCCGCTGCTCCAGAGCGTCTTCGCAAGGATGTCCATTTCCTATGGCCTGCCCCGTGTCGTGCCTGCCCGTATCGACGTTATCACACCCTGCGAAGGCTAACCTTCCTACATCGTCAACTACACACAGTTCAATTAAACTCCTAAGGACTTGTACAAGGATTCTGAAGCGGCTAGTGTCGACACCTTAATCAGGACGTGCAATGCACCATGTTTCATAGATGCCTTGTTAATGAACTAGATTAATCATGCGAGTGATGTGATGCCATGGAGACTAAGTATAGTATAGATAGACCCATGCCCTTGGAAAAATCAGCAATGCCTGGTCTCCAAGTATCACTGAATGCTGCATATAATGACAGTCGTCTATCGGAAGCAACATTGATCCACATAAGTATCTTCAGATACATGCCATAGTAGTATCCATTCCAACAAAAGGTTCGAAAGGGAGCGGCGGCTTCGTGGGTGCGGGGAGCAGCAGTACTTGTTTGTCGAATGCGAGAAAGACGCTGGAAGCACCTTGCGAGAACTGACAAACAGCTAATGTCTGGAACATGTTCAACGTCCAATGGGGAAGGGGGTCTGTTAGTTGCAGTAGAAACACTGGAGACACCAGCACAGGTTTGCTGGCGAGGAGGATGTGGTAACTGCACTAAATGCCTTTCCCCACTGTTGGCATTAGCGGTGCGCTGCGGGGAAATGTTGTCATCACGAAATAGATTTCAAAAGGTCAGGAAACTTATATATTTGCCTCGTGGTGCGAAGATGTTGTGGCACAAGGGGAATCCCGCGTGGGCGAGGAGCATGGCCCTGGGGAGTAGTGGTGCGAGAAAATATACCATTCATCATGTTCTTGTTCGGGGGCCTTCGCCATGACGAGTCGTGGTAGCAGTGCCATTGTTGCGTCCAGGCGGGACACGTGTGTCAAACTGCAGAAGGATGGTAAACGTGCATTGAATTTACTGTGTCCTATGGACTATATTCTAGTACTGACGTCATCGAAGAACCTAGTCGGTGTGTTTGGACCGAGGCTGTGTGTCTGAAATGGTTTTCTACAGAGTGAATTTAGAGATAGTAGAAAACAACGAAAGTGAAAGCGTACTTTGTGCAGACTGTCTGACAGGACAGCGTGAAGCATGACGTGATGAGAGAATTTGCTCACCTGTTGGAGCCCATTCTCTCATTCGCTCAGAGGAACTGTTCATGTGCGAACGAGCTTGTCCTCACAGCCAGTAGCGATGAGCTGGCTGTCCTCGGAAAATGTCACACAAATGACAATATCAGAGTGCTCGAGTGACTCCCTGATGGGTTCGAATGTGGTCAAGTCAAAGAACCGCGTGATCTTGTCAGATGAAGTGGTTGTAAATTTGCTGCCATTGGGAGTAAGGTGGGTAGTGATTGACAGGTTTGTGTGTGCGCGTCAAACTGTTTTATGATGTCTCCTGTGCCTGCATCTGATATTCGGATGTCATTCCAGTCTCCACTAACGAGACGAAGACTATCTGGGGGTGAACGCAATTTTGAGATTTGAATGCCCGCTTTGGTATCTTGAGCACTCCAAGTTGACAACATCGTATATCATTGACCGTGAGCAAAAGGATCTGTTCGCAAGTCGAGCACAGTTCGTGGTAGCGTCAGTCCTTGACAACCATTAAAAGTAGTTGCATATGCGAGTCGCAGAGGAAATTCACTGTCCAGGATGAACGATTTGGATGGAACGAAACGTTGATGCGGGGGAATGCAGTGGCTTTCAAATGTATTGAGAAGTTCATCCCAGATGATTGTCGTGGCGTTTCGAATGAGATCCGCGCGCTGAGGAGAGTGAGGATGAATGGAACTATGTAAACTGACATTAATGTCGTCGGCATGTGATGTACCTATAGGGGTTCGCCGTGCGAACTGATGACCTTGCTCCGATTGCAATTTCTCAAGGATATTTGTACATGTGTACGCTTATTGTTCCTCGCTCTTTCGCGCTGCTTCAACCAACCCAAAAAGACATACGCAATACATTCAATCGATAAGGCTTTCTTTGAAGCAATTTATTAGGTTGGTCTTCAGCTTGTTCGATGTTGTCTTCAGTTTGGTCGTAACAGCTTTTGATCGTGTTTGACACACTGATTAAATCGAGTTTAATCTGGTTTACACCAGGGTAATTGGACGAGCGCTCCATAGCAGGCTCGTTTCCCCGGGTCTTCCCGTGGTTTGCCCTTGGTATGGGACTTTCCCTTGGCCACATTCTGGCCGATGCTCCATGCATCTTCGGCACGTCGATCGTGTCTCACTCACCTCCTTTAGTGGAGCTCTTACAGCCTATGTCTAGCGAGGCCGAGTGACATGGGGGTTTTTACCTCTTCTCACTCGTATTATTCGTGTCAATAGCAATTTTGCGCACTTTCTAATACATCGAACACTTGTTCTCATGTCTGAAAATGCAGGAAACTCCCATACAATTTCTTCCAACCCCTCTTCCGAATCCCAGGCAGAGTTTGATCCAGACTCTGTCGCCCAGTGTACTAAGTTCATCGAGGATTTCGGAAACGGCCTCATTTCGAAGGGAGACGCCTTGCTTGAAATACCGTGTGTCCTCCTTGATGCAATCAACGAATCGGAAACACTTACCCAACGAGACTTTAAACCCGGCTTTAATCACTTCCTTGAACTCCTCGACTACACGTCCAAAGAGTCTAATCCCCACCGTGATTCCTCACGAGTTGCGAATGATCCACCCAGAACACAGTCGAAACAACCTGAGGGAGAGTCAGACAAGCCCACATCTCGGAAAGAGAGTGAGCTGCGAAGGAAATTGCACAGATGAGTACCCGAAGAAGAGGATGAGAGTGATGACTCTGGGGAAGAACACGAGAACGTTTTGCGCGGAAAGAGACGCAAACTCACTGCAGAATGAGCCGGATTCTATCCTTGGCTTGACCCAGATCAATTTAGATTCGTCTCTAGTCAGCGTGCCGAAGAGCTCACCTTGGAATGTTATGAGGAATGGTCCGAAGACACCAAATATTACCGAGGCCAGGTTACTGCAACCCCCGGATGCCCCAGCTTCCCTTTATCGCAATGGACACTCCTCCTCGAAGGGAGAGTGCCTGACCTCGAAAAAGTGTTATCAGGGCATTACTCCACATCTATCGATCCCAAGCAAACCCAAACTCTCGGCAAAGGATTTGAAATCACCCTTTCCCAGCCAACCGCTACTCATAAGGTCAGAACATATGGCGACTGGAGTATCGCGACAGACCTCTGGATTGAGGCCCTCTCCTTCATCATGCCTGTTACATCTCCGGCTTCTTCGTCGATGTCCATTACGCCCTCCATTCACGAATTCTCGACTTTGACAAGGCATGTCGACTCAAAATTGAAGGCCAAAAATACATTCGCTTTGATGCCATCTCAAAGTTCTGGCGACTCGAAGTCTCACATCTATCCTCGCTCGGAATGGTCGCCTACGCAGAGTTGCATCAGCTCAGCTCTTCCGGCAGGGATAAGTTTAATGCCAAAGGAGCAGGAGGTGGTAAGAAAGGACGAAGTGAAACTTCTGGCCGAGGGGAGGCGTGCTACAACTGGAACCGAGGAATCTGTGATAAGTCCGCTTCCGACTGTTCCAGGTTCCATGTCTGCAGCAAGTGTCACGCAGGACATAAACGAGCCGACTGTCCATTGGCGAAGGAAACTAAATGAGACCATAGCAGGGTCAAAGGTTTAGGAGAAGGATGGTATGGGGGAACGAAGCAAAGTCCCTCAGTGGAACGGCTATTTGGACTGAGACTGCTGAGCCTCTCCCGCATCCTCCTCCATCTGAATACGATAATCTCACAGCGCTTTCTACTATTGAGAAGTACCCTCATCTTTTCAAGGTCTCTACTCCCATAAATGTCGACAGATTTGAAACCCTTCTTACCCTCGCCCATCATCCTAATCTCCCATTTGTTCACTCAGTATGCCAAGGCCTTCGTGAAGGATTCTGGCCCTGGGCGGATACTCATGCTGGAGTATATCCCACTACGTGGGAGATCCCATCTCCAACTCCGTCAACCATCGCCCAACGCGACTTCATTCGGAGTCAGATTTCAAAGGAGGAGTCCGTTGGAAGGTACTCACCTAATTTCGGTCCCCAACTTCTGCCTGGCATGTATAGCATGCCCATTCATGCGGTTCCTAAAGAAGGTGGCAAGTATTGCCTTGTCACTAATCATAGTGCCGGGGATTTCTCCCTTAACTCCATGATTACTAAGGACGACATTGCTGGGGTGACCTTGGACAATGTCCAGGACCTCGGTGATGCAATCCGAGAATTTCGACATCATCATCCACTCGAGAAACTAATAGTTTGGAAGGCTGACGTCTCTGAGGCGTATCGCCACATGCCTATGCATCCTCTCTGGCAAATCAAACAAGTTGTTACCTTCAAAGGAGAAAGACGTGTTGATAGAGCTAATGTGTTTGGAGGACGAGCTTCGCAGCGTATCTTTCACGCCTTCATGTCCCTCATCATCTGGCTTGCGGTATTCGTCCGGCTCATTCAAGCTTTTATATATGTCGATGATTCTTTCTCTTTCGCCAGGGCCAGTGATATGTCTTACTACGTGAAGTATCGTAAGATGCTTCCTACCCCCATGGTTTCCCTTCTCCTCTTGTGGGATGAACTGGGCAACCCGCATGAAGAACAGAAACAGGTATATGGTTCACCACTACCGGTCATAGGCTTTGAGGTGGATCCTAACTTGATGAAGATATCTCTCAAGGACGAATCGAAGAAAGGACTAGTTTGAGAACTCAAGTCTTTCGCCAGGTATAGTCAGAGGAGGTCGTTATGAGAGTTTGAGCATATCGCGGGCACTCTTAACTGGGCTCTTAACGTATGTCCTCTTCTTCGCCCTGGTCTTTCGGCAGTCTACACCAAGACTAAGGGTAAGACCAATGCAAAAGGAATGATTTGGATCAATCATGCTGTCGTCGAAGAGCTTCAGTGGGCAGCTTTTCATCTTAATCGATCTGACGGCATCTACCTTTTCAAATCCGTTTCTTGGCAGTCCTTCCCTCCTCAATCGGATATCCTTGAAGTCTACTGTGATGCGTTGGGGTCGGGTATGGGTTTCTGGTATCCATCTCTCAACCTCGCATTTCAGTCTAACCTGCCGGAACATCCTCCCGTGGCAGATATCTTTTTCTCTGAAGCACTTTGCGTAGCTTCTGGTATACACGATGGCGTCACTCGGTTGCCGGTCAATGGAAAACTGGCAGTATATACTGACAGTTTGAATACCGTTTATATGTTCAACACCTTATCCACCGGACCCGGGTATAATCATCTTCTTATGGACGTTGTCGAAACCATCCTTGCCTTCGACATCGACTTTCGTGTGTTTCATATTGCAGGAGAGGATAATGTAGTGGCAGATCATCTATCACGTTGGCAAGCACGTGATGCTGTCTCTTGTTCACCAGGGCTTCGGATTGTTCCATTTCAACCCCCTCGGAATGCACTGGGGGCGGGTAAAAAATGATTCCTACAGCGGTTGAGGCTTGGCAGCCTCCTCGTGCTGCCTGGCCTATGGAGCGTCTAATTCATGAGCGCTCCATCAACCTTGGACTTGCCCTTGACAAAACAACTAATCAGACTTATTCATTCGGCCGTCAACTCTTATGTGACTTTCTGTGAGATCCATCATCTTGCTCTTGACCCTACGCCAGACACACTCTCCCTTTTCGTCACTTTTATGTCGGCGCACATTAATCCCCGATCCTGTCGACAACTATCTCTCGGGAATATGTAGCATCCTCGAGGAGTACTATCCCACTGTGCGCCAAAATCGACGCTCTCGCTTAGTGTCACGCACACTTAAAGGTGCAAAACGTCGGTTTGGGGTTCCCATTTGCCGCAAGCTTCCTTTGTCTAGGGCTGACCTAGAAACTACCTCTGCCGCCTTGCCAAATCCCCATCTCACGATGACTTGTTGTTCATAGCCCAACTTTTCGACGGGTTTTTATGGGCTGCTCCGTCTGGGAGAACTTGTCTGGCCTGATAATCCGTCCTTATGGGCTTTTCGAAAAACTCACTCTCTCCGGACATCGGTAATCCTTGCTGAATCTCATCATTCCTTCGTTCTTTGGCGTCACAAGGCAGACACCAATTTTGAAGGAAGTACTATTGTGGTCCAGCGGGCTCAAACATCAGCAAACCCAGGGTCCTCTGTACAACCCTGGACAGTGCTGGACAGAGCCACAGAGCCACAGAGAGGGTTCTCTCTGTGCAGCTCTGTACAGAGTCGTACAGTGTAATGTATGATACTGTACAGAGCTGCACAGAGCGGTACAGAGTGTTAGCTACACTGAGCAAAACAATACAGAGCATTGGGTAGGCCAGACAGGAATACTGCAGAATGCTCACAGCATCACTACAGAAAGTGCACAGTAATTGAAACCAAACAAATCATGATGTCATTGCGTCATACTACAATCAGGTATCCTACAAAAATGCTAAAAACACGATCAGTCCAGTTGGAGTTTTCAAGCCCCAGTCATGGCGGCCTGTTTGGATCATCGCGAGTCAGGATTCTGCATAGCCGTCAGAAAATGATACAAATGATAAAAAAAGCTTCACAATACCCTGCAGTACGAGCCCATTTCTTTCTGGCGGCCCAGCATTTCTTGCATGATAGTGGTCCTTCTGCACATCATGGTAGAGCTGAATGACGCTGTCGTAGATGGGTTGATATAAATCGGTGACGAATTTCATTTGCTTGTAAGTACCGGTCTTGTACTCGTCGATAGCGGCAGCAAGCTAGTTAGAGATGAATGAGCGAAGACGATTATCCGAGCCTGAGATCACATACCGCAGTCGCTGCAAGTGCAACGGCACCTTCGGGGACAGCATCGGCGAACAAGTCTGGAAATGACTTCGCGAGCGTGTTCTCACCCTTGTAAAATAGGACATACAAAAGCTGCCCAGGGCCTCGTTTGCAAGATTATTGGTCCTGCCCTAATACACACCGCGTGAGTCAGTAAGTGCGGGGCTATTTCTCATTAACCTGCTGTGCATCTACTCCATCCCGTAGGAAAGCACCATTCTGCAACAATGTTTTGATGTTGTCACGCACCTCCCGCTCATAGTCGTTCTCGTCGTCAACATCGGGTGGAAGAATTTCGTAATGTGCCAGAACAATCGGACGCGCAGCCTTTTCATTTCGGAACGCATAGTAGCGCGATCGTCCCATAGCTAAAATAATTGTTAGCGTGATCCGACAGAGTAAGAACACAAATACCAGGACTGCCATATCAGATTTATATTCATCCCAGTATCCGTCGTCAACACCAACACCCTGGGATCCAAGTCTTCGAGTGTTTCTAAGAGATATTCAATACCCTTGGTTTTGAGAAAATCACTGCACTTTGACGCTGTGCTAGTGAGCAAGCCTAGGCGTGATTTCTTCTTTGCGGCCTCTAGTAAATCTTCCAAGAAGGAGGATAGAAGCGAATGTTCTGCGCAGTTGCTTTGATCATCCGCGTTCTCTTGCGTGGTACTACAACCTCCTCTTCAGAAGAAGATTGAGCTGAATCTTGAGTAGTAGCGCGACGACGCAAAGTCTCGAGCTCATCCAGGTCAGGCATGCGAGGGCGACAGTTCTTTGCGCGATGGTCTTGGAGGACATCTCGGGCATTGTGTGAGCTGTCGGCGACTCGTGAGCGTGCACGAGTGAATTCATCTGCATAAGGCAAGTGGGCAAGTTCAGTAGCATGATGGACACATGCATGGGATATCTTACCATCGTTGCTATCTTTCGAGGTGTCATGATCCTGGTGGGGGTCGTCAACAAAACTGTCACCATCATCCTGGTCTACACCCAGATTGGTCTTGTCCGAGGAGAGGACTACACCAAGGAGGGATGCACCTTCAGGTAGGTCTTTCTGTGGTCTTGTTAGTTATACAGAACGAGGAATCAAGACACGAGACCTTACCTGAAGGTTCCAAGCATGATCGCCTGTCATGAAACCATGATAAACTCGAACCGCACGTTCGGCAGACTCGTAAACCTTGCATGGGATGAAATCAAAGCTGGCGGCCAACAGTGGGTGACTGAGAAGTGACTGCAAGCACTCGATTGCGTCCCGATAAAATATTTGAAGGGTTTTTGTCGTTGGAAACTCGGTAGTGATTTTTTGATACTTCCATTGAGGGGGAGCTGGGAGCAATTCAACACGTCCTCGGAGTTCTCGCGAAGAGCGAAATGACAACGGGAGTGTTTTGGTCTGAACATAAGTTTAGACGAAGAAATTTAGAGGATAGATGAACTCACAAATTCAAGATTGAGGTACTCGTCGATTTCGGCCATGCTAAGATCGGACCGAAGAATATACGATGCCATCTCCCAGTCCGGTTTGCTAGCGAAAGGAAAGTATTGGTTTTGCTCCCTCTCTGCAGCATATTCATCCTCGTTGAATTGGTCCATGAAAGTCTTCCCAACACCCCACGTCTTGCCTGCACCGTCATAAAACTCCACTTCTTCACCGTAATCTCTGCGAGCCTGAAGACCCATACTCCGCTCCAGTGTCTGCATCAACTCCATGGTCCATATACTCCGGGTCAAAGGTCGGGTCCGTGTCGTTGTGGAGAGGAAATTGAGGACTTGGAGCTTGTGCTGGTCTTAAGATGCGAACTAGGTTACCATCCCACTTGTAACAGTGAGAAGAAGGCTGATTCAGGTGTTGCAGAAAGCGTCCCTCATTCTTAAAACGCTTGCTGCAGGAGGGGCAGCGCATATCGAAGGTGCGAAGTAAGTCATTGAACTCATTTGGATTCAATATTGTCCCGGCAATTTCCGGGACGACGCAAACTGTAACTACAATGTCGAAGTGTCGTTCAAGCTATGCCTCACCATCTCAATCATCTCAATCCCCGTATTCGCTATGTCGAGGCCAACAAATCTCAGATTCTGTAACTCCTTCCGACATCTCAGATGATACATCTGACTCCTCGGAAGTGTATAATATGGTGAGTTATGGGCTGGATTCTAACACTTGCCTTGAATCAGTTTTATCTACAGTACATACGCCGCTACCCAAATGAACCATTTGACGCTTACATGGACTCAATGCCGGAGACTTCAGAGGAAGCATCTTACCTGCTCGAGATGGCACGAGCTGATCTCGAAGTTCGACGTCTCGAGAAGGACCTTGCTGAGCGGCTTCTTCATCAATTTCGCATGCGCAAACACCACCTACGACTTCGAGCGAAGAGGGCAAAGAGAAATTTTGGAGATGCGGAAGCTAATGTAGGGCGCACACGCGCTCTCGTGGTGAGGTGCGGGTTTGTCTGCTCAGAGCGGTCACTTTGGTCTCCTCGTCCAAAATCCACCATCAAGTCATGTAAGCGAATTCGTTCTTAAAATCGGTATGCAGTCGCTGATGAGTACAGCTGATTAGAATATCTGTCTGTTGGATGTTGCATTGTGACCATAGCCTTGTACTGTGTACATGATTGTCAATACATATACGCATTGCACATTTTATATTTTAGCTATCTGTTGAAGTACTTTATTAATGAATATAAGTTGA